CTCCCAGCGATCCAGCGATCGGTTTCATCGACAGGTATACGACAGTAGATCGATCAGGCCGGATGCATGCAGCGATCGATCGATGGCTGCATTGACTACAATCATAGCATCATCATCATGCGATAGGATGCATTATTAGGAGCGTTACGCTGCCACTGTCGAAGGCTATCTATCTAGCTCGCTCATTCAGAGTTCAGACACGCAGTTGCCTCCACTCTCCGATGAATGGCTGCGTGACACGTTTACCCGCCGGCCCCGGGATGATATCTCTCTCATCAATTTCGCAAAGTTGTGGGCGTCGCTTGCTGGGACTGAACGGGCTGATGATCGATCGTCGAAAATGGGTTAATGGTCCCTTCAGAATTGCAACGTGCGAGTGAATAGCTGCTCGCCATTTGGCGCGGCGAGCTTTTAGTTTTTTTTTTTTTTTGGGGTGGGGGTGGGGCTGGGAGGGGGTGGTTTCGAAAAGGGGATTCAAGAAGTGTTAGAGTGCGCAGCTCGACCCACCAATCATGGGCCACCCAGATCATTACATTGGGTTTGCTCCACCACAGGCCTAACCGGAGCCACAAATTTAGGTCCTGGACCTACACAATCCAAAAGACCCAAGACCTAAAGTTGTGGCTCCGGTTGGGCCTGTGGTGGAGCAGGCCCAATGTGACCTGGGTGGTCTATGGTAGGTGGGCCGGGCTGCGTACTCTAACAAGAAGAACAACTTGATCCTTATTTAGCAGAGTTTCGCATGGGATCACGGGCGGATCCAGGAAAAAAATAATAGGGGGGCTGAATAAACCATATAAAACTATAGCCCCTTTCCTAATGAATGCATGCTATAAAATTTTTGTGGGGTTTCATGGGGGGCTCTTATGGTTGCAACGTCAGTAGTGGGGGCTCGAGATGCCCCCATGGTACGTAGATCCGCCCCTGCTTGGGATGGCAACTTCTCAAGCTGGATTTTTTGCAGGCATGTGTGTTCAATGTGATCGAGTATGTTTTCAGTTGTGTTTCTGATGACTCAGGTTTTGTGGGGAAATCGTGAAAGCATGTTCAAACAAATCGTAGTAACAAGATACTCTCTCTGTTATTGAATGACTTACTCTTTTCAATGAGTGAAAGTTGCATGATTATATGTATATGTATGATGTTACACACTTCGTATTATTATTACATCCCTTGCATGAAGGTAGGGGCGGAGCTAGGTGTATCAAGGGGGGTGCTCAGGAACCCGGTTCAGAAATTTTTTCAGCTATAGTTTATCAATTTTCACCATATATACACCTCGATTTAAACTTAGGCACCCGTATAAAGCTAAACTCAATTCAAAATAGACTAAAATATGTGAGTGGAACCCCCTCAATTTCGTTCTAGCTCCGCCCCTGCATGAAGGGATGTAGTGATGCCCTCTGCATGCAAACGGTCCCATGCGCATACAAGCACATATCCATTTACTTCGCATAGAAAAACAAAATGACACTGGGAGGGGTAACAAACATTGTATAAGTGAATGGAGGGAATATCAGTATAGTATGGACTATTGCTTTGATAATCCACGATATGTTTGTTTTGGAATGTATTACTATGAAAAGTGAGAAATCATGATTTAGTTCGAGGTACACACATATATGTGGAAAATTTTTATATTGGCCTTCAACATATAAATGTCATGTTATTGTTTATGCCACGTCAATCAATCTCGTTGACTAGTGGAAAATGACATTTTTTGAGTACACAATGACATGAATGCAGTAGTTTAATAAGTGAGTCCACAAAAATTAGTGACACAGATAACACCGTACATGACTTTTGTTAGCGGAACAAGAAAATATTTTCTTACTAAATTGAATGCTTAGTCATGATTGAATGGTTGAGATAGATACAACAACTTAAACGCCCCATGTCAAATATATGGCAAGACAAATCAATACACATCTGCGTTGTAGTGGATTTCAAATAAATATTATAAAAATTTCAAGACAAGCTTACAATTTATAACCGAACATCAATAACCTATGGAGCAATTGTATTATTACCTTTGCAACTCCAATTGCGATCCTATTCCTATCTTTTTCAACTTCATGATTTTTCTCTCTTCTTTTAAATAAAGCGTGTGTTTCCCATATTCCGTCAAGATGACTTGATGGTGTCAAAAACACTTATGCACTTGAGGATTAAATTTTCATACATATATGAATACTTTTTGTGATATTGGGCATCTTTTGACATAAAATATTTTTGCCATGAATTTCGCTCTATTTTTACTTGAATTTTCGCACATCAATAAGAAGAATGTGGGCAAAACAAGCTTGACATTGATTTTGCTCATATTTTGACATGATCTTTTACGCCATTAAGCTCTCTTGGTGGAATAGGGATAAATAAAAAAAAAGACGAATATTAGGGAAGTACATAATATCAGATAATTAAAAGAAGTGAGACTTCGAACCCAGGTCGTCTAGTACATTGTACCATAAAAGTTCAGTTCTCTTTTATGAAGCTAGCCAAAAAAAACTCCTGGACGTTTCTCTAGGGATAAACACAAGCTTTGGTTTTAAAAAATAAGAGCAAAATTATAAAGTTAGAAAACATGGATAAGGACACCATTTCAATAACCTTCCAGAGCTGTGAACTCATACAGAACCCGCCAACTCAAAAGAGTTAGGATGGCACGTAGACTCACCATCATCGTCAGGCTCTCTCCTAAATTATACATACCGATGTACACCTAAGATTTTTCAGATTCATATATCCATACTCCCGATGTGGTTCATACTAAATATTAACTATGCTGATTTTCATAGCACTGAGAAAAGACAAATTAAAGTTGTTCAAGTCAATCGAATAAAGAGCAAAAAAACAAACTTGACACATGTTTTCTCGAGTCAAGCCACTATCTCTACTAAAAATTATATCTACGACAGTAACGCATTCCCCTTGTTAAATCTCTTTGACAATTCCGTGCTTCCTTCTTTCTCCTAGCTAGCCGCCGTTTTTTTCCTTCTTAGAGAGTGATTAAACAATTGAGCAATCGATCGATAAATCGAGCTCAACGTTGATCGCTCTCCATCGCTAGCTTTGTACGAGCCGGGCCAAGTGGCCGGACCACCGGTAGCTAGGATCGATCAGATCTCGCCGCCGGCAGCCTCTTCTTTTCATTATCTTAGCTTGCCAAAAGACAAAAAAAAATTGCTCGAAAAGATGGATGGATATGGTAGCTAGCTTCGACACTACTCATGGATGGATGGATGGATAGATTGCGTTTTCAGAAAGTCACCACTTGGACTAATATAAAACGGCCGGTGTCATCTTCCCGGCAGATCCTTGATCCTCTTTGCCGATCTCAACCAGCTATCGATCTCGACGGCTCCTTTAATTTTCTTTGTCACCTAAAAAGCTCAATTCGTGTTGCAACTTCTCCATAAACAAAGCATTTGGATTGGCTGATGGTTCTTCTGAACTTTCTCTCTCAGTTGCAACGCACGCAGACAGCGAGTGTAGATGAGAGCTATATATATACTAGCTTAACTCGAGCTGATATGGAGCTAAATTTATCCAGCAGTCACCTTCACGTACCTAATTCCTAGCTAGCTGCAAGGGGATAAGTCTCTGAATTTTCACAATACAGAAAAGAAAACTATCAGTGGGCGTCATGAGAGTATGGGACCAAGGCATGGAGTTGATCTTGGTCGACTAGGATCATCGAACGGCCTCGACAGTGTCATTAGCAGAGCCCTGTAGCACAACAGCGATCGCTGTGAATGCTGCTGCAGACAAGCTGGGATCGATCGAGCTCAGCTTCATCCAATCGACAGGAAAATTTTTGTTCAGTTGTGGGATCAGTGACATGGATTCTCGTGTCCACAGCAATCGACTGGACAGCGTATGCTCTGTCCCCGTATGAGACAAGGCCGTGACAGCCAGGAAACATAATCCTATCCCTAATTACAAGATACTACTCTCCCTCCGTGCCATAATAAACGTAGTTATAGTTTCAGTGATCAACTTTAACCATCTGTCTTATTTGAAATATTTTTATGATTAATATTTTTATTATTGTTAGATGATAAAATATGAATAGTACTTTTATGCGTAACTTAACTTTTAAAAATTTTTCATAAATTTTTCAAATAAGACGGATGGTCAAATATTGGGCACGGGAATTTTTAGCTGCGCTTATAATAGGACGGAGGGAGTACCAATTGTAGGCCCGTCCTTTTGTCGTTCGTTCGTTGGCTAGCTCCATCGATCGCCCCGGCTCAACACGATCACAATCCAACGTTTGATTTTTCATTTCTCTTATTACTGACTTATTTAGTTATCTGATTCACGTTTACGAACGTAACTGTAAAAGAGACGTTTCCCTCCGCTCCGTTGCTGTCGCTGTGCAGACGTTGCTAACACCGGCGGGAATCTTGTCGCGCGCGCGAGAGAGAGAGACAGAGGAATAGTATCGTGCCGTAACCGCAGCTGCAACACTAGTCCACACACAAAAAATTCGCGGGGCGAAACACACAAACACACACACACACACAAACGAAAACGATGTGTCATGTTCGATGTGTCCGCGGCCGCGGTGTCCGCTTCCCCGGCTCGTCGCGCCACCGCGCGAGCTCTCGCCCTCACGTGGCGATCGAACACATCGCGCGCGCGCGCGCGCACGCACGCCGGTGAGCCGAGCGGGCGTCGCGGTCGGCGGCAACCGGAAGAGGGCGGGGTTGCCATGTGGGGGGTGAGTGGGACGGGGGCGAAAGCTACGGCGAAACAGAATAAGCGAGAGGTCGAGACGGCGAAGCATACGTACTACGCATGGCGCGCTATGGACGGCGAGGAAGCGAGGAGAGAGTAGTACAGATGGCAACAACAATTGATTACAAGTGGATTTTGGAGGGACGGGGGGGCCGGGCGGGGCGGCCAGGTTGGTTTGCTTGGTTCCAAAATGGACAACCCCCCCCCCCCCCCCCCCCCCCAAACCAAAAAATTTAACCCAACAACGAGACGAGATGTGTGTCACCGTCGAAAGGCGTCCCAATCTCACCAGGGGGAATGAGAAGAAAAAGAATCAAAGCAGGAAAACGTTTACATCTTTCGTTTTCCCTTTTGCAACTCCTGCTGCAGAGCCGAGCCACAGCCGCCGGCCCTACTGCCCTTGACACGTCGTCCATCCCATCGAACCGAAACCTCCCTCTTTTGCACCCCTCCCAAATGTACCTAACAATGACCCTATCATCATCACCATCATCATTGTGCTCGTCCCGATCCCTCCTCTTCATCCCCATCATCACCATCATCCTCATCGTCGCCATCATCCAGAATTAACCCAGCAAACAGCATAATCACCATCGTCGATCATCCGTCTCTTACACGATCACGGCGGCGGCGGCGGCGACGGAGGAGGGGGTCCGGGCGAAGATGTTCTGGCCGGGGGCGAGGATGGCGAGCGGGTCGTAGCGTGCCTTGCGGTCGACGAAGCGGCTCCACTTGGCGCCGAAGTGGCGCGACCAGTCGGACTGGGCGTGGTAGCTCGGGAAGTATATCTTGTAGTCGTAGCCGTTGGACCGGCAGGCGTCAATGATTGCGTTGTTCTGCGCCACCAGCTCGTCCACCGGCGGGCCACCACCGGGGTAGGGCCGGCAGAATCGGAGCAGCGCCACCAGGTAGAAGATCTCGCCATTCGGCAGCGCCACCGACGTGGCCGGGTCCCACCTGTCACACGCAAACGTGTTAATTAGGGGGCGTTTTAATTAGCAGCTCGTGTGCGTGCGTGCGTGCATTGGCGGCAAACTGAGACAGAGAGAGAGAGAAAAAAAAGAAGAAAAAGGAATTTACATCAATCATAGCAACCTGGGGTTAGTGGCTGCTAAATCCTAATGGCGGCAGATATATGACAAGGCTAAATCCAAAACAGAACGGGATGGAAGACAACCAGAAACCCCCGTCGTATTATAAGTACGGACCAAATGGGCTAATTAATTATCCGATTAAACAAAAACCCATCCCAGGAGATAAACAAATAGTATACTAGTAGTACTCACTTGGACTTGAGCATGGGGTAGATGAGCATGGGCCCGTCGACGCCGTCGGCGAGCATGCCGTTGAGGACGGCGCGGTCGAAGGCGGCGATGTCGCGTGAGGAGATGAAGAGGTTGAGCCACGGGTGCGGCGCGGCCCAGCTCCCGTTGCGGCGGGCCTCGTCCTCCACCCGGTTCACGCGCGAGAGGAAGTCCACGTACCCGACCCCCGCCGCGAACTCCAGGCCCCGCACGTACTTGAGCTGCCGCATCATCTCCCCCACCCTCTGCAAACCAACCACACGTACACACACACACGCCATCATCAGCACGACACGAGACGACACCCCCCCCTCCCAAATGAAACAGAGAAACGGCAGCCCGCGTCACCACCGCGACAAAGCGTGCGCCCGCGCGTGTACAAAACAGGGGATCCGCGTCGTCACGGGCGCGGCAGCGAGCGCGAGCCGCATTGTACGCCAACGCCCAACGCACGCCCCGGCTCACGGGAGATCGAGGCGTGATCCGGCTTGGGCGCGAGCGAGGCAGCGACCGGCGGGTGTGGGTGGGGGCAGGGGAGGGGGTGTGTGTGGTTTGGCGGCACGCGCGCGGGAGGAGCAGAGCACGCACCCGTCACAGAATCCAGCGGGGGGGATACACGACGGAGGCAGACATCCGCCCAGAAAAGTACACCATGTACGGGAATGCCCCCCGCCGCGCGTGGGAATTACTACTCGCTCACGTACCTTGTCCATGTCGTCGCCACCGCCGTCTCCGCCGCCGCCGCGTTGGTACAGGGCGACCTCGAGGCAGTAGAGCACCGGGCCGGCGTTGGCCGGGAGGAGGGAGGCGTCGAAGTGAGCGCCGTCCGGGATGGGCACCGTTGGCCAGCCGTTGACCGGGTCGTCGCTCCGCACGAACGCGAATCCCTCCACGTAGTCGAACGCCTCGTGCGGCGGCCGCGTCACCAGCCACTCCGCGTCCGCCGCGTAGTCCGCGAAGCTCGCGTACACCACCCGCGTCCACCGCACCTGCAGAGCCAGCTCTCGCCGGTCAGCGGCCGCCGGGCGATTGGGCCGTCGTTCGTTCCGATTGGGTGGTGGTGTGGTGCTTACCGTTTGGGGCGCGGGGGAGAGAGGGATGCGGGCGCGGGTGATGACGCCGAACTGGCCGAGGCCGCCGAGGACGGCGAAGAAGAGGTCGGGGTCGGCGGAGCGGGAGCAGACATGGCACTCGCCGTCGCCGGTCACCACCTCGAGCTGGGCGACGTTGGACACCTGGGGCCCGTACCGGAAGGATTGCCCGCTCACGCCGCCGTTGGAGAGCGTGCCGCCGACGGTGAGGCGGAGGTAGTCCGTCCAGGAGGCGGGGGCGAGGCCGTGCTTCGACACTGCCCAGTGGAGCACCTCCTCCCAGAGCGCGCCGCCCGGGACGTCGGCGAACTTCTCGCCGGACGGGGCGACGACGAGCTGCATGCGGCGAGGGAGGGCGCGCATGTCGAGGACGAGGCCGCCGCGGGCCATGGCCTGCCCGGCCACCGAGTGGCCGTTTCCGCGGGCGGCCACGGTCAGGTGCGCGGTGCGCGCCGCCGCGCGGATGGCGCTGGCCACGTCGTCCGAGCTCGCCGGGCGGACGACGGCGGCGGGGCGGGCGCTCACCAGGCCGCCGAAGTCCATCGCCGCCGCGAACTCGGCCGCGTCGACCGCGGCCACCGCCGGCTCGGCGCCGGCGTCCGGCTCCGCGGCCGCGGCGGCGTGGTCCATGTACGCGAGCATCATCTTGGCTCGCCGCTGCGTTTCTTGTTTCTCTGTCTCTCTCTCTCTGCAGCTGAGCTGAGCTGAGCCGAGCCCGAGCAGAGCTAAGCTCTCTCTGTAACCGTGATGTCACTGTGCAGCAGCTCGCTCGCTTGCTCTGCCTCTCTCGTGGTAGTTTGGGTCCTGGGAGTTTATATGGAGCGGACACGCGGACCTCCAAAACAGCCATCACGTCTTTCCAGGACAAAAACAAACCGTTCAAAGCTGAGAATTTTGCTTCAAATTTCCCACATTTCTCCTCACGTTTTTACCTTTTTGCATCTCCTCTCCCTGCAAACTGAAATTGGCCCAAAATCATGAAAATTCCGCATGAAAAAAAATTCTAATTCTACACACGCATTAAGCTACAGTATCCGTAGACATGTATACATATATTTATTCATTTCTGAAGGGAAAAAAAAAGAAGCCATCATTTTTTGCTTTTTCGTGTGCCATGGATGATTGCAAGTCTGATGTTAATGATCGGATCTAGCGTTTGCTTGTCTGCCACTATTGCGCGAATGGTTAGCTACCTTAGGGGCAGGGCAGGGGTCTAACGCATCCATGCATTGCACCTGGAAACTGAGAGAGAGAGGGGGAAAAAAAAGCAATCCAATTCGCAAACCGATTTCCATTCATCGATCGCTTTTCACTTCAAAAGACGGCTGTTTTTTTTTTCTTCTCTTCCGGATAGGCAGGAACACGGTCACATGGCGTCTCCTGCTCTCGCCAAGATTTGCCATGGCCGCGGGCTGATTCGGGGGGCATGGTGCTCAGGCCCCACTGCTCCCCCTTCACCCTCCTGATATAAACTGAACTTTCCATGGCTCATTTCGCCATGGCGATCGATCCAGCCAGCCAGCCATTGAAGCTACAGTGATCAGTAGCAGTTTGCATGCAGAATCGCGGAGAGAGTGAGAGTGTGAGTGAGACTGTGGGCTGCACCACACCGCTGCTCCTGAATTTGTTTCTGTTTTTTTTTTCTTTTCGTTCGAGCAGGTAGGTCCAAGCCAAAGCTAGGATCATTCATTCAACAATCAACAGTACTCCTACATATGCAGCTTGCAGCAGCTGATCGTGTCGTTTTCCTTCGGATTATAAATCTTGGGATGCCTACCTCATGGCTCTGCTCGGATTAGCATGCAGGGATAACAAATTTTTGTTTGGGGAAATGCGACCTGGGAGGAGAGAAACCGGGGCACATGAGCAAAACCGTGAGACCTCGCCTCTCACTGAGATTCAGAGAGACGGAGAGAGAAAAAAAAATTAAGATTCAGAAAGGGAAGTTGTGGACAGTGGACTAGTCGATCAAAAGCCCTTACTTCCTTTTCCTTTGCAACAAGTTGTACTAGTATTTACGAGTACAGGAAATCAAAAGCCTATTGCTCAGATATGTACTAGCATTGCACATGTTGACGAACCCTAATTAATGTGCAGTTGTCGATGGTCTGTCCTAGCAAAACTAGAGATTACGTGAAGTAATAGGAGTACTTGCAAAAGAATATGTACCATGAATACGTAATATACGTAGGAAGAAGGAGAGAGAGAGATATCTGTACTCAACCACACTTAATAAACTTCTGGTTTGTCAGTAACTTGAACATTTACTGCTGGTTAACCCTGAACCTGATTACAGCTTCAGTCTTCAGAAGTTCAGAACAAGATAAAAATGTAAGGTATCGTAGCTGATGAAAAAGTAAAGACTAGAGAGATGTTAATTGCTAAATAAGCTGGTCTTCGCGTTTAGCGGAGAAGCGGCTCAAGTTGCAGCAAAGACGTCAGGGTCGACGGGACCATCAAAACCCTGTAACTTGTCTCGATCAAATCCGGGATTGGAACGGCGAGCGAATCGTATGCCAGCTTGTAGCGTTACGCCACTGTTGCATGCAATAATTGTTGCACCGATTACGGTTGGGGCTTACGATCGCTTTTCGATTTGTCTGTCTGCACTGCACGGGCCTGGGAAGATTTAATTCCAGGGTCCTTCAGAGAAAATGTTCAGGAAGGAGCCAAATTCTCTCTTGTTCATGTTCTTTCTTTCTCTGCCTCTCTTGTGGATGGACAAACCTGAAGCGGAATTTTTTCTCCAGGGATTTGGTGAGCTACATGGTATGTATCTGAATTCTGACCTGAAATTTCACCCGTTCAATTCTACTGAGGACTGCACATAGCACATCAAATTAGCCTAGTATTAGGTTCCAACAATCATGCCGCAAATTGGTACAGGAAAAAATGTTGAGTGTTTTCTCGCTCGGTGTCTTCTGTTCATCGTAAACCACACACTGAAGAGAATTTTTTTACTATCCAAAAATGCAGAAAAAATTGCACATCGATGTTTCTATTTCCCCCTGGCTTTGTCGTTGGTTTGCATGTCAGCATGCTCACGCGCTGATTGGTGCAAAATGTGTTGTCGCGCAGTGCGGTTTGTACTGTACCGTCTGCGAAAATGAAATCCTTTTTCTTGCCGTTTCCATGGACACCAAGGAAAATTCTCCCCGATGGCGTCGTCGCCGTGGCATGTAGTTACAGATCGCCAAGACGGCAATGATTTCTCAGATTCCCCGTGCGTACTCTCTCTTCCCATGCGTCGCGACCTTGATCGTTTCATCGATCTTGTATTTATTATGCTCGCATCACATACAGTCTGAATTTCTGATGTGGACTTGCAGAGGCAATATCAGATGCAGCTGCAATATCTTCATAGAACAAAATGTCATATTCCTGAAGTGATAGCTTGGTTTGCAAGTAGATTGTGCCAATTATCTGTTCAGATTGGAAGAAGAGATAGAACTGTGACTACTGTCCCTGCTCATCTTTAGGAATTGGATGTGATCCCTCTCTATCCAAACAAAGCCTAGGGAATATATAGGAACTGTTCAGTGGTTCATACACTAATGGAACAGCAATGGCATCCTTAGAAATGGAGGAGTTTGGATAATTGTATACGTAAGTCACATGCAGAGCACAGTGCTTGCGATTGTATGTGTAATTTTGGATTATTCTTCCTAGAGAAACATAGAATGGAAATATTCTTCCTAGAGACACATAGAATGGAAATTTTACTAGAAGAGATCACTCCCTATCGAGCGAGTCAAGCAATAATTCCCTTGGAAAAGACCTCATATGATGAAAAGTCCAACTGAGATAGAGCACAATAATTGTTCATGAAATGTCAGTTTCAGTAGACTTAGCCCTTCTTTCTTTTTTTCTCCCTACTTTTGCCATGAAACTTATTTGTGTATGTGTGTTCAATAATCATCCCATGAGAATGAGGATTAGTCCAGAATTGTTCTTTTGGTGCCCTGACATCTCAACTACTAGTGTTTGGCTCTGTTCAGGATAACAACGTGGTGAGCTCATCATCATCAGTACAAGGCTCCATTTTGAGGTGACAGATTGACAATGTGGGCTTGGTGTAGAACATACTAAGCAAATGACAAATGACGGTATCGAAATCAAAGAATAGCGTATGAATTTTGTGAAGCACATCGCAATGCAAAAATAATAATAAAAGAAGAGCTTTGGTCAATATCAATCATTCCATATGTACCTGCTCACTGAGTGCTCACTGATTTGATGGCGGCATATGATTCTTGCAGTTGCAATAGAGCTACTAGTAGAAACTGCCTCAAGCTGAATTCTCAGACATTAATTGTGATATTGCAGCTGCATGATGAGTGTGTCTCCCTCTATCTCTCACCATGTCATAGTAAGCATCCTGCTTCAGGAAGCTGCAAATTCAGAAGAGCCAAGGTTACTTCTCATAACTGTCTTTTTTTAGCCTAACAGGGACCCAATTTTTGTCTCCTTCCTTGAATAGACATGGTGAAATGAAGAGAATTTGCTTCAGTGCTCATCTTTATGGCTTCTGATCAAATTAGCATTGTTTAAAGTCAAGACAAAAATGGTGTTTTCCAGTTTTAGGCCCAACATACTGAATGTATGATGTGCCAAACTCAACAATCCTCCAACTAAATAGAAATATATTCATACCATCTGCTAACCATAAACATTTCTAGCAGCTAGCTAGCTAGCTAGTAGCACTGTCGAAAGTACTAAATATAATAAAGTGATTCTTTCCAACAAAGACTATGCTAGGTGCTAATCACAAATATTTATAAGATTTATTTAGCTTTATACAGATAAAAATGGTAACCCATTGACGTTCATAATAAATATAAAAGGATAAGAAGGGCCACAACTCTACGTCTCTACACTGCATCCTCCCTGGTCCATCTGTCAAAAAATAAGCACACAATTACTGCTAAACAGATGACATCCTCTACGGTTTTGATCTATTGGATGGTTCAATGCAGCAAGTACACACTTGAAACTTCAAAGTTAACCTTAGCTTCCACTTAAACAACTAAGATTGAGGCAGCTTGTACTTTGTATAGGACAGAATATGAATATTTATGACATGCACATTGGAAAAGATTGAGCACTAGATCGTTTCAGAATCAGAACATTTACTGACTTGCGAATTCTGCGCACATTAAGATCTGACCTGAGATGAACCTCTCTTGGATACGCCTGCTTTTGCCATTATTACTCCATATGAAATCTCAAGTAAGATTGCTACAGGTACTCTGATTTGGCTGGGACACACTGGAACTCCATTAAGTTCAGTTATATTCTGATTTCTGAAAGAACAGTCTTCTCCTTTGGCGCCACCATATCGTTGGCTGGTCATTTCCCCGTGGTTTTAATGGCTTTGATGCAGAAACTTGGTGATGCATCGGGGCAAGATCCAGACTCCGAGTACAATATCTCACACAAATATATCTTACAAGAAACTCACGTAATCCATCAGTCAAGAAGTATATTATGTCAATAGAATTTGCATCGCATTACAAACTCATGGGGTAATGAGATAATCCATTAATCAGGAAACGATAAACCGAGCATATGTATTGCTCCCAAGTAGAAGCAACTAGTATGTAGATCAGCAATACAGTATACTCCAGGGTGACAGAAAACAGAATAACATCAGGGTTCAGGAAGAAATAAAAGATACAGGTTACTAGAATATACTAGTATAATCACAAAAGACAGCGAGTGCACCTACGACTAGCAAGCATGGTCTGCTCCAGATCTGCACGGCACTGACAGAACCATGGACGATGGGATGAGAGTCTGTCGCCTCCCGATCCCAGACATGGCCCTCTGGAGAATCAGCATTAACATTGGCAACATGGTTGACGATATGGCCCTCTTCAGAATACACATGTGCATTGCCAACACCGTTACTGACAGGATCAGTAATGTCTCCTTGTCTGAGCATGGCCTTTAACATCAAAAGTTGTATAAGACTTGAATTTAAGATGGGCTGCAATTGTTGTCACATAAAATTATCATCAAAAGTAGTAGGAATCAAGGAAATACATGTTACAGTTGTCAGATAGAAATACAGAATCGATCGAGCATTGCTTACTTGATGAGGAGCTGTTAGCTCTGGAAACTCAGGACAGTCAATGCCACATTCTTTAGATAGAGCCGCATTTCCATCAGCCAGTAATAATCATTTGCTTGTAGGACATATAAAGTTAAGGTCAGTAAAGCTACCATGTTTAGTACCATTATCTTAGCAATGAACCACAGACGTGAGACATCCATGATAGATGACTCATCTGGTGGAGCTGTTCTTCTAGCTTTATCATCACCTCAAACTCCTCCAGTTGTGCCACAGACTCTATGGTCCAGCCGCCGCCGAGGCGCCGACTCCTATGGTCTATGGCTTACTGTCATTGCTCAATCCACTGCTTGTTCATGTCTCCTCCACCTCATTCCTCAGTGGATGTATCCATGATGGCGTTGCATTTCACTGAGAGGAGAAACTCAACGTCATATTCATCGAGATTTTCCAAAAAAAAGGAGATATTTGTTCAAGGTCAGTGTGTTAAAATGATCCAAGCTGTGAACAGATATAAATATAGCATCTCAATTCCATACACATAGATGCTGGTCTTAGATCACTGTTTAAGGCACACATTGAAAATTGAATATATTGTACTTATCGGATGTCCAAAATTGTCTAGAAAAAGGAATTACCCAGTAAAAAATAGCAGTTTAGAACCACTCAAAAATAGATAAATCAATGAATATATGGAGCAAGATGAGAAGAAACTTTCAGAATCAAAATGCTTACTTCAATAAAGATTCTGATTCTCTACCCATGAAGATGATCTCAGCATCAGATGAAGTTCTCGGATATTCTGCTATATCAATAACTGCCTCCTCATTACTGCATATAGCGTAGAATGAAAGACGAACATATAGCTTTCTTAGCAGTCTTGCTTTAGAAAGAACAAACTCCATAAAGTGCATTTCATTACGAACACATGCAATATTCTTCAGTTGCACAACATGAAGTTTCACAAACATATCATCAGTCAACTGAGCATTCAAGAATTTGTCGTTTGCTTCAAATTCCTTAGCTCCTTCAGTGCATCCCTACAAGAAAAATCATACATGTTATCACCTTGAAAGCTGAAACAAGTGATGGCAAAAAAGGAATGAGCAACTGAGTGAGGTTCCTTACCCAAACATCAAGTTCTTCAATAAATGGGGAACTTCTAAAAGGCAGAAAATCGCTAGCATGTGGGACATTTTAAAAAAAATTCACAGCCAGGGATAAATTCTTAAGGTTCTTAAACAAGAACGGTAATCTCTCCAGCACATCAACTTCAGTTGACTGAAAACAATGAGTCATGAACAAAGTATGAGTCAAGAGTTACAATAGTGTTCACATATACATTTATTACTGCTAGTTTAACTAATGGAGAGAATGGCGGATTTGCAGGTCCAAGAAGATAGCCGCAATATTCTAGGTACGTGTATAAAAAAAATCATTTCTTCAAAATTAATCTAACAGCGGTTTGAAACTATCTTCTATCATTCCTTAATTTTAGTGTTGATACATATGTTCTCTGGAAATAATGTCTATACTAATGCTTCAAGTACTTGAAGTGTTAAGACATACTGCTCTTGTGACAGCAAAATAATAGAGAATTGTACCAATGCGTTATATGTATTTAAAAATTGCTGCAACTAAAAGTCTGAATCTATGCACCCCATTTGAATCTGAACCGTCTGATTAACTCAATATTGCCTCATCTATCAGATTCTCTCTCTCTCTCATGAAAAAAAGTTCCCCATAACCAAGTATATATCCCGTTTCGTCTGATCAAATATTCAAATCGTTTCATCAAAAGAGCATAGGTAATCACAAGATAAAAATTAACAAATCGATACAAATATACAATGCAGGAATGAATCGGAGTCTTTACCAACATGCAGTTGCAGAAGAAATCGAGCTTGGTCACCTGCGACATTCCTGCCAAGAACTTTGCGCAATTGGGACCAAACAATCTCCCTTCGTCCAGTCGTGGGAGATCCTCCACTCGGCCACCAAAAGCAGTTTCACACACCATTGTCAGATTACGCAGATTGGGCGCCCGAATAACCCACTCCTCGTCAGGGCCATCCCCAATGAGCTTCACGGCCAAGAGCCCCAAATCCTCGAGCAATGGCGACGCGGCTATCAGCGCCGCCACTTCCTTCCCCCCGTGCCTCGGGACGTCAACATCCTCGAGGCGTAAGGTCTTGATATTGGGGAATCCGGCGAACCCCGAGGGCGCCGGTGGGAGGCGGCAGGAGTTGAGGGCGAGCGAGGTGAACTCCCCGCAGGAGAAGAGGCATGGGTGGAGCCGGAAGCGGAGCTCCGGGAACGAGAGGTCCAGGGCCTGGACGCCGCTCCGGGAGAGGTAGAGGAGCCAGTGGTGCAGGGCGTCGACGGACCAGGTGCCCTTGCGCGCGCGCGCGACGAGGCGGAAGGTGCGGAGCGCGGCGGGGCGGCGGAGGAGGATCGCGTCGACGTCGGGCTCCGAGATCCCCGGGCTGCGGGCGAGGTCGACGGAGGGGAGCGCCGCCCAGCGGCGGCGCCACGCGCGGGAGAGCGCGGAGGTGCGGACCACCTCGTAGATGTGATGTGGAGGCGGGAGAGGATGTTGTCGAGGACGTCGAGGGGGAGCGAGAATAGTGCGTCCGGCGGCGATTCTGCCGCCGCCTCCGCCGCTTGCCGCGGCCTCCGGCGGCGCGGGGGGGGGGGGGGGGGGGGGGGTTGTTCACATGGTGATAAAATTTTACAGTCCCAGCCCCCACCAACGGGCTACATTCTATCCATCCCCATCCCCGCGCGGCATATGCTCACCTTGCTTCATCGCTGTTGGAGCTTATGGGAGAGATCGAAGCGGTGAATTTATCCTCACGGTTATCCCTATCACCACATATGCTCACCTTGCTTTGTCGCCATTGGAGCTTATGGAGGAGGTCGAAACCATAGCCAGTAGTCGGCAAAGAAGAGAAACGGTGGGGTGGCGGCGGAGATGGGGAAGGTTGTTAACTAGGGTTAGAAGTTATATATACGTGGTTATTAGGCTTCAATTTTATAGGAAAAAACTCATAAGGTCTACAATAGGCCCCTAGCTACAATGCACTTGGGTCACCGCGGGGACGGGTTCCCGATGATGATGAGTTTTGCACCATTAAATTCCCTATGGGTGGTAAATATCAAACATCCACATCTTCTAATGTATGAATTCACCGTGGGGAATTAGTGATCGGGTCCCTATTGTCATCTCTACCCTCGAACTATGACCAGCAAACTTTGGATTGATAGTTTGATCGATTGACTGGGTCGCCTTTACTTCCAAAAAATCATTCAATTTATTAGTGTACCTTTGACTCAAGTTAAAGTAGTTTTAAGTTAACATGATTTGGTATAACCTCCATCCCAAAATATATAGTAACTAAAATGAGATAAGACACATCGTAATATGAATCTAGGCATGATCAATTCTAGATTGCTATATTTTGGTACATACTAAGTATAATTTTTAGAGATTTGCTAACTATACGTGGTGATCCAATCAATATTTTTTTTTAAAAAAAAAGAAATAAATAGGCCCCACATGTTCATCACCCCCTTAACCCCCACACCCCCTCCCCTTTCATTCTACATGCACAGCCGCTGCCAGTGTTAACATCGCTTATTCCTGTACTGAATGGTGCCTCTAAGATGAAATAATTTTATTTGCATGTGTAGTCCAATTCAATAGAGCCTTGTCTGCTTGTATTTTATTTGAGATCCTACTTGGACAAGAGATCATACGAAGGATACTAAATAATAAGTCATGATCATATATCACACCACGCCAAGCTTATGCAAGGAGCCAAGGAGGAAAGAGATTATTTGGTAGGTTTGATCTCCCCTTTGCTCAATTTTATAGATCCCAGATCAATACATATAATGATATGAACTAACTACAAATTATTATATAATCATTGAGATTATTTGGTAGGCTTGATTTCCCTTCGTGATAGATCCCAAATCAATACATTAATGATATAAACTAAAGTAGTGCTATTACCTACATTAAGGACCTAAGCTAAATATAAAAGTCTCTGTATTAGCTGTACCCTCCCTCAAATACCGTGGTTAGATATAACACATCAATAGCCACTATCTCGTCATAGCCCACGCAGCCTCCGCCACTCTCTTAAAGTCATCAATGCCGCCGGGTTGATTACTATGTCGTGCCAATTCAATCTATGCAATCCATGCAATTAGTTCTTAAAGTAAAGTATAAAAGTGGTCTCTAAACTTATAATATTGTGCCATCTAGGCCCCAAACTTCGAAAATGAAGTTTCAAGTTCTAAAACTTGTTAAAAATGTGTCATCCTAACAAATATAGAGCCGTGTCCCAAAACTTGTTAAACTGTATCATCCCAATCCAAAATCGCCATGTGCCCTTAGGATCCTACTTCACTGCCACCTCCTCTCTGCATGGAATGACATGAGCGCCACACGAGCGCCACATAGGATCTCAAAGACATGGCAGTTTTGAACATGAAGTCACACTTTAACAAGTTCTAGTATTTAAATATACATTTTCAAAGCTTAGGGACCTAGATAACTTAGCGTGATAAGTTCAAAGACCTTTGGTGCACTTTACAATGGAAAAAGAAAACCAATCACCTGTGTTTCCCCAGGACCATATTTCCTCTCAGGATGTAGGTGGAGTATAATAGTAATATATATTTTCTAGTTGTATACATTTGTTGATCTCGATTGAGAAATAATAAAACAGCATGTACTAAGCTTAAGTCCATATCAATCCGTACATCATTCAGGAAAAGTGCAGACAGATTCCAGCGTTGCAAGAAATCGAACAATTATACATCTTCAGTTTCAGGAGACTTGGATCACGAAGCCAGCAGCTGGAAGACTCGTCAGAGATGATCTTCAGGTTCAGGAGAATTGGCACGAACACTGGCAGCACCCACGACGTCATGGTCTACCCGAGAATCTTCTTGCACTTTGTCAGCGCTACGAACGGCAGGATCTGTAAGAGCCGACCTGGACATGGCCTTTGTTGCCAAACATTTTGTGAGACAAGTATGCAACATCAATACTATTGTTATCCGGTAAGCAAGTACTTACAGGTTGGGAAGACGACGAGACTGAAGAAGAATCAGGAAATGGGGGAATAGGAATGTTGCTTTTCTCGGACAGATACTGCATTTCCAACAGGCAATAAGGACTCTAATGGGTTGAATAAAAATTGAACAACGGTCAACTTAGAATAGTCAGCTACCTTTAGGGCCGATGTGAAGTATTCATTAGCTGCAACGCAGAATTTTAGCCTGCGCTTCGTATCTTCATGACGAGCTTGTGCTTCCTCGTTGCGTTTTTTCCCCTCCTTTTGTGTTTGTAGCAGTACCTTCTCAAGCTGCTTCTGCTGATCCACGGCATCCAGATCCAACCGATGAATTTTCCGAGGGTGTTCAACATCTAACCAGGTGCCTGATCTTATTGTTTCCAACTCATAGTTTACGCTGGATGTGTGCATGTAACCACTGCATTCAGTTAGATGGAACAAAAAAAAAATCAGTACCAGATAAGCTAAGGGAGGGGCAAATTTGATAGTGCTGAACATACAAAAAAATAGAGCAGCTTTTAAGAGTGCCCGTGGGAAGGGGGCGGATACACGCTTCCTGACTTATCACTTTGCCCCACCAACAGATGTTTGACACTCCCCAGCAGTCCATTCCCATTACCTGTCCTAAGCCGGCCCTTGCTTGCTCTTTGAACTCATGTTGCAGTTTCACCTCAAACAAAATTCAGCTTCCAGCTAAGAAGCTAACTATCAGTTGTCAATTGGGAATCTCACCTGGCAAATATATCCACACCACCTTCTCACTGTTGATGGAGGCCCTTGTTGCATGTAAAAGCAACATGGGTAAAAATGTGGAGGTGGTACCATGTAGAAGCTTCTCCAGCAATACTTGCAAGCACACAGAGGCAGCATTTTTTTAGGCCTGCTTTGCAAGGAGATGACACCACCCCTCATCATGCATGGTAGCAACACTTGGAAGGAGAGGAGAATGCCATAGAAACCCTTGATACAAGTGTACGACTATTGACTTGAGTAGCAACCATATGTTTAAAACCGAGAAGCCAAAGTAGGCGGAACAAGCAGCAGACATGCGTGCTCACATACTGGGGAGCTTACAGGATCCCATGGAAGTATGAAACAACAGTTTCAAAGGAAAACAAATAGTTTCTTGGGTGCAATTCACTGCTAGATATTTTCTCTCAGCCCTCACTACCTCAGGGTGCTAAAGATTTTGAGAAGCGCGGATACTTGTTCAACATGTTGGAATGGTCAATTTGAATACTGTAAGCTCTAAAAAGAAACTCAGCAGACATTTGTCGAATTCATACAAATTACAAATACATTGTTCTACTTCTTATAGACAATATAAGACAGTGTATACACCATGAGTTTACTTATCAAATGTCCATATAGTATACAAGCATGGTTGTCACAGAGTACCAGGATAAAGACATGAAATAAAATAGCAAGCAATAGAGTACAGTGACAGTTATAAAAGATAATTTATTTATTTTTTTTAAAAAATGAACTTATCAGACTTGCTCCAAGTAATGGTTAGAGCCAATGCCCAGGAGTAGTTCTACGTTTGTAACTAGCTAAAAAGAGAGAACAAAATAAGAGCAGAGCACAAGAAGAACTGAGAGATGGAGGGAAACAGAAAGAAGAAGTCGATCTGGGCTGTTGAAGCATGAGTGAGAGATGGAAAGGAAAGCCTGTAGATCTGGAGAGTGGTGCCAAAGAGGAATGGAAGGATGGAGCATAAGAGACAGCACAGATTCTTGTAGGACTCAAACCTACCTAGCAAGGCAAGGCAGGACTTGATGATGGTGTCCACCCTGACCCTGGAGTGCCTTTACATCTCAACACCACAATGTAGACCAGAAAGCATTGAAAAGTATAAGTTTGGTTTAGGAGCACACAATGGCTGATGGGCATATGGAACAACACATGGAAATATCAGAATCAGAATGCTTACTTATTTGCAGATTCTCTATTCATGAAGATGACTTGTGCATCAGGTGAAACTCTCGGATGTTCTGTTATAATTGTCTGCTCATTACTACATGTGCTGCCAGAAGAAGGATAAACAGATAGCACTCGCAGTACTCCTGCTTTGTTTAGAACAAACTCCATAAAGTGCATCTCATTACAGAGGCAAGCAACTTTCTTCATTCGCACAACATGAAGTTTCGCAAACATATCATTGGTTGACTGAGCATTCAAGAACTCATCATTCGCATCAATATCCTGAGCATCATCGCCTTGTCCCTATAAAGGAAATACAAACAGTATCATCACCTTGAAACAAGTATAGGCAGTTTGGCACAATGAATTTGGAAGTGATCATTTAACATTACCAAAACATCAAGTTCTTCAAGAACAGGAGCACTTCTAAGTAGACAGAACATAAACAAAATGTGGGACATTCTACAAAAATTAACACTGATGACTAAGCTCCTAAGTTTCTCAAACAAGAATGGCAGTTGCTCAACCACATCAACTTCAGTTGACTTAAACAGGAAAAAAGAATGGTATTAGACAATACATGTGAAATCAAAATGAACAAAAGGTTTGCACAAAAAGTAATATTGCAGTGATATTGTTCAGTTCCTACAATAATGTTGCACATTTTCCTTCTGCATTTGCTAATTTTACTATGAACTTTACTGATGGAAATCATGGTGGGAACAAGAAGTTGGAAATATTCTAGAATGGCAATTGCTCTGTCAAGAATGAAGTGTGATCCCACAATTGTCTCTTCTATGAATAAAAACCATCCTCTTTCTTTTTCCTTTCCCCCTGCTGCAATTAGCAATTTGGCAGTAAACAACTACATAGCCATATTCTATCATTCTATGGTATAAATCCCGGTCACTTAATTAAACACAATCTGTTAGAGAGATTAATCTACAATGGACGTCAGCCATGAAAAAAGTAGTAGAATACTTACCCGCATGAAACTGCACACGAACTCTAGCTTGGTCACATGAGCCATCCCCGTCAAAAACTTGGCGTAATTGGGGCCGCACAGAATCCCTTCCTCAAGTCGTGGAAGATCCTCCACTCGTCCAGCATAAGGAAACGGAGCAACCATTATAAGCTTCCGGAGATTGGGCGCGCGAATCACCCATTCGTCGGCGCCATCGCCGACGAGCAACGCGTTCATAAGCTCCACATCCTCCAACAATGGCGACCCGGCGAACAAGGCCGCCAATGCCTTGTCCCCGTGCTCCGGGAGGGAAACTTTCGTGAGGTGTAGCTTCTTCAGGTTCTGGAACCCCTCGAACCCCGAGGGCGCGGGTGGGAGGCGGCAACCCTCGAGGTCGAGGGAGGTGAGCTCGCGGCAGGAGAAGAGGCAGGAGTGGAGCCGGAAGCTGGGCGTTGGGAACCACAGGTACAGGGCCTGGACGCCGCTGCGGGAGAGGTAGAGGAGCCAGTCGTGGAGGGCGTCGACGAACCAGGAGGGGTCGCGCGCGGCGAGGCGGAAGGCGCGGACGGGGGCGGAGCGCCGGAGGAGGACCGCGTCGACGTCGGACGCCGCGACGCCGGGGCTGCGGGTCAGGTCGACGGTGGGGAGCGACTCCCAGCGGCGCCGCCACGCGCGGGAGAGCGCCGAGGTGCGGACCACGTCGTAGATGTGTAGGCGGCCGAGGATGTTGTCGAGGACTTCGACGGGGAGCGCGCCGAGCGCATCCGGCGGCGACAACTCCGGCTCCGCCTCCGCCTCCGCCGCCGCGAGCCGCCGCTTCCGGTTGGGCGGCGAGGCTGCCATTTCTTAGCGGTTTTCCCCAAATTCGCGCGCTCGGAAACCTAAATTCCTCTGCTAGAAGAAGAAAAAACTGGGCCTTGGGCCAACTTATCGCTGGTTGAGTAAATTGGTAAGTTTAATTGTGGCTATGTTTCTTTTCTGAAACTTGCATAAATACTTTTTAGAAAATATCAACTGAAAAATGAAACTTTCAAGCCAAGACTTTTGGGACTTTCAACTTACTTTCAAACATCTGATTTTGACCATTATGCATTTTGAATTATTGATATTTCAGCTGTGCAATTGGAGACTTCCAACTGACATTTGAAATTAAAAAAAAAAGTCACATAACTGTGACAATGTGTCCTTCATGTGTCGAAGTGAAAACTTCAGTGCAAACCCTTAAACTGTCAACTGCAACAAAGTTGAAAATTGGAAATGGATTACTGGAGTACCACTGTGATTACTTCAACAGATGATAAATTCGATATAGTTCCACAGTCGAGGATGTTGACAACTGAAAATTTCACAGCCAATGAAAGTACACCAATGACTAGTATCATGAAACTCCAGTCAGATATGGCCTTCTGGAGAATCCGCAAAACCATTCGGAGCACCATTGGCAACATTCTTTGTTGGAGAACCAACATGAGCATCAGCAGCATCAAGAGTGGCATGGTCTTCTTGAGAATCCACATGTACATCGGCATTATCAACAGGATCAACTGGAGTGTCTCCTGGTCCGGTGGTAGCCTTTACCATCAAAGAAGTATATAAGACCGTATTCCAAATTACTCCCTCCGTTTCATATTATAAGTCATTTGATTTTTTTACTTAGTTAAGGTTTTTTTAGATTTGACCAAGTTTATAGAAGAAATTAGCAACATCTACAACACTAAATTAGTTTTATTAAATTTAGCATTGAATATATTTTGATAATATGTTTGTTTTGTATTGAAAATGTTATTATATTTTTCTACAAACTTAAAAAAGTTTGACTAAGGAAAAAAGTCAAACAACTTGTAATATAAAACGGAGGGAGTAATATCAGAACCCCGGGAGCATTACTTACCGTATGAGATGACAGCATTGATGGCCGTCCTGGCCATGGGGGAAGGCTAAATTGGTGAAGGTTGCATTGTTTAGACAGAAACTGCATTTCCATCAGCCAGCAAATTCATTCATACATACATACAACTATTGGTTCTTTTTGGGGAAAAAATTAAAGAGTTGTTATGCTAGGACAATGATACCTCAATTGTAGATATGATGTACTCTTGATGTCTAAAGACATTTTCACTCTCCTGGTCCATCTCATTCAATGCTTGCATCCTACGCATGTGGTGCTCTTCCTCCTCCTTTTCCAACTCTAACAGCTGCTCCTCAAGCTGTTGCAGCTGAGCTACAGACTCCCCATTCAACCGCTGCCTTCTCCGAGGGTTAACAGTATCGAGTGATCTTCTGCCTGATGTCTGTATGTCCTCCAAGTCAGACAACTCGGCGGATAAATCAACGAAACCATTCCATTCACTGAGTAAAAAAAACAACTTACTGGATTTGTGCTAAAAATATATATTTTGCATAGCAGTAGTAGCATATCAACAACAGGTAGCTTTCTCAAGTATCACAAGCTTTATCTCACGAGTCATAATTCTAGAGAAAAAATTTTGAGGAAAAGTAGACATTTCAAAGAATAAAGAAACTCACAAATATTTGTCCAACATATAGTGTTTAAAATGGTGAGTTTATTTTGAATATTGTAAGCTCTGAACAAGATAGTACATCACATGTTTGCAAATTCATACAGAATTTAATGTAGATATATCATGTTGATCTTATAGGCAAGATTGAATTTCACCACGTGCAAGTGTGAGATGTCCCATAACTCTCGAGAGTTGAAACTCCGTTTCATCTCTCTTGCAGTTAGCAATTAACACTACTATTATGAATATTGGATTCATGGATATAAACACTGTAGAAGAGAGACTAATTGTGAAGGATTGAAGGCAGAGAGGGACTTCTTTATTCTTGTTTAATCTCCAATGCATGCTGCTGCCTCTATATAGGCCAACCCTAGGGATGGCATTGGACCCCGTCCCCTGTTCCCCGCTGAGAAATTCCCCTACTAGGGGACCGGGATGGGGCCAAAGTTCTTGTTGGTTGAAATTGGTTTTCCCTTTTTTATTTCTTTGCTCTACTCCCAAGTCCCAACAGTGAGCAATGTGGTTGTTTTGCCCAGTGCATATACCTCTCGAGACCCTATAGCCTGGCAGGGGCAGAGACGGGCAGAGACAGCAGTAACGCCAGGGATGGGGAAGAGGGACAGGAGATTTGGAGCTGTCCAGGGGTGGGGACAGGGGCTCATCACCCACCGGAGATGCCCCTGTTGCCATCCCTAGGAGGTAACAGCTCAAATAGGTAAATTAAACGGTCTCTAACAGATGTCCATAACAAAACAGTCTCTAACAGATGTTCATAACAAAACAAGCTACCAAATAGTAATTAATTAAAGGATAACATCACGCTCATTGGGGCACATGTACTATCTGCTAGACCCATGCTCCAAGTTCAAAACCAACCAGACACCGCATCAGCAATCTGTTGCCAGGGGTGGATTCTAAGGGTTTTTTAGTGAAACGGGATTAGTGAGACGAGAGTTTACCCTAGAATGTTGCACACATGCAAGTTAAGGGATTTATAATGCAATTTACCTTATAGACAATATAAACCGCACCGAATACTAAATGCACATAGGGTGTTCAGAAAAGAGTAAACTGGAAGGAATTTTTAAGGCACAAGTGTAGAAAAGAACATCTGAGAAAATTCAAGAATGTATGGAACAGCACGGCAAGGAAATATCAGAATCACAATGCTTACTCATTTGCACATTCTGGTTCTCTACCCGCGAAGATGACCTGCGCATAAGGTGAGGCTCTCGGATATTCAGTTATATCAGTAATTGCTTCCTCGATACTGAACTGGGAATTGGATGCAAGAGTGAGGGACAGCACTCGTAGTGCTCTTGCCTTGGACAGAATGAACTCTATAAGAAGCATTTCATTACAGAGGCAAGAAACCTTCTTCATGCGCACAACATGAAGTTTGGCAAACATATGATTGACCCACTGAGCATCGAAGAACTCATCATCTGTTTTCATTTCCTGGGTCCCATCACTAAATACCTGTAGGGAAACACAAAAGGAATTGTCATCATCTTGAAACAAAATAAAGGAAAAAGGAGCTTGTGAATTCAGCATTTACCCAAACATCGAGTTCTTCAAGAACTGGCGCACTTCTAAGTAGGCAAAAAGTAGCCAAAATGTGAGATAAAATACAAAAATTCACTCCAAGGACTAAGCTCCTAAGGTTCTCAAACAGGAATGGCAATCGCTCCAGCACGTCAACTTCAGTTGACTGGAAAAAAAATCAGTAAATTAGTGTCAAAACATGGTATCAATATTCAATATAAAAAAAGTGACAATAAATTATCAGTTTCTATAATAATACTGTCTATTTCACTAACTTGTTTTTTATTACTAACTAATGGAGCACTTTATAAAAAGTAAAACATGCCATAAGAGTTCCAAACTTCCAATCAACACTTTAGATAACAAAACATCTGTCAGGCTAACTACACTGTCTTCCCTTCAATCAATCCTTGAAAATTGGGGTAAAAAAAAAAGATCTGTAATAACAGATATGAATCAAAATTGATGCAACAATGAAATAAACCAGATGGGTTACCAAAATGGAATTGCAGTAGAAGCTGAGCTTGGTGACATGCGCCATCCGCATCAAGTATTTGGCGTAATTTGGGCCAAAGAGACAACATTCCTCCAGCCGTGCGATGTCTTCGATCCGTCCACCATATTTATGGCCAAGAGCTATGGTCAGTTTCCGGAGATTGGACCCCCGAATCACCCAATCTTCGTCGGGTCCATCTCCGATGAGCTTTCCGTCGATGAGACTCGCCTCCTGGAGCACCGGCGATGCGGCAATCAGGGTGGCTATCCCCCTTCCCCCGGGACTCTGAGCTTGGACCATAGAGAAGTGCAGCGTCTTCAGATTCGGGAACCCGGCGAACTCAGCGGGCAAGTTGGGGAGACCGCAGCAGTAGAGCTTGAGGGAGGTGAGCTCGCGGAAGGAGAAGAGGCAGGAGTTGAGCTTCTGGTACATGAACTCGTACCGGAGGGTCAGCTCCAGGTCCCGGAGGCCGCCGCGGAGGTGGAGGTGGAGGAGCCAGTCGTGGAAGGCGGTGGGGGACCAGGAGCGGTCGCGCGTGGCGAGGCGGAAGGAGCGGACGGGCGCGGTGCGGCGGAGGAGCAGGGCGTCCACGTCGGAGGCGCCGATGCCGGGGCTGTTGAGGAGGCCGACGGTGGGGAGCGACTCCCAGCGGCGGCGCCACGCTCGGGACAGCGCGGAGGTGCGGACCACGTCGTGGATGTGGAGGCGGGAGAGGATGTTGTCGAGGACGTCGAGGGGGAGCGAGCCCAGCGCGTCCATCGCCGGCCCGACGCTTCGCCGCTGCCTGCTCGGCGGCGGCGGCGGCGACCGCACGTCGGCCATTTCCGTTCCCCCGCGCGCTCCAAAACCTAACCGCTCTCGTGCGGTCTTGCGGATCGTGCGCAAGATCAAAATTTTCCCGGGCCGAACTGCGGTTGAGCCAATATGGACTGGGCCGTATGTCCGAGAAACATGACAAAGGCCTGTCTAGAAGCTCTCCAAACAGTTATCTTTTCTCCAACAAGTCGGATGGAAAATTGGATATTCGTGGTACGTTTTTCAAACTACTATACGGTTATATATGGAAGTTGCTCTAAAATATCAGATAAATATATTTTTCAAGTTCATAATAATTAAAATTTAATTAATCATATGTTAATACTACCTCGTTTTGCGTGAAACACTTAATCTTCATCTTTATCTGCACGAGCTTCAAACACCACCTCTGTATAGGTATATAAAATAGTTAAGTGAGAAATAGGTATATAAAATAGTTAAGTGAGAAATAGGACGTATTGCATAAAGAAGATGACATTTTGTTAATCTTGCTGCAAGAACATCTATTGTAGCTCATGATTATCTGTTGGTTGATAATGTACCAGAAAAGAAACCAAGAGAAACAGAGTAGAACAATTTACCGGCATTATGAATTCGAGCTCCCTTGCTCGAGACAATCATGTAATAAGCTTGATGAAATCACAGTCGTTAGAGTATATTGCGTAATCGACTATTGCTTTCTCAAGGGATGGGAGGTTACTGATCTGCCACCCATCTTCATATATTTCAATAATAATCAAATTCTAGATATTTGGAGCCTGATTCCTGAATAACCATCTTCTCCTATCCACCATCTTTGTAAGGAAACAACACCATCAGGAGTGATAGTCTTTTTAGCAATATGGAGATCTAGCCAACAATACTTCAAATCCTTGTGCTCCTTCTTGAAAGCCAACATCTGATAGTGATAGACTAGTTAGATTTAAGAACCCTACGAAGCATGTTGGAAAACCTAGGATGTCGCACTCTATAAGTTCGAGTTGGGTAAGCTCGCAGCATGAGAAGATGGAGTGGAGAATGTAGAGCTCCTCATCCGGCCTTCGCACAGCGAGTCGAGGCCAAAGCGCAGACGGTGTCGTGGATGGGGAGGTGGGAGAGGACGTCATTGAGAATCTCCGGCGGGAGAAAGTCCAGGCCAAGCTGATGGCCCCGCATCGCCCGTGGCGATGACCGTAGCTTGCGACTAGGCAGCGATATCTATATGGATTTCTATTCACCAAAATCGAGCTAGGGTTTAGGGATGGCAAGTGCTAATCGATTGCGAGTAGCAATGGAGAAGCATATACATTGACGAATGATTGGGGTCATCGGCTCGCCGTCGGTGATGCAGGTTCACAGAGGAGGCGGCTCAAACATCGGTGGTGAGGCGGTGAGGTAGAGAAGCAGTGAGGCTAGAAAATAGGAAGTGGGCTTAGCGCCAATGAGGTCTATCTCGGCCTAGCACTTTCCCTAAAATCTTGTGTCAAACTTCTCAAAACGCCGCAACTAGGCTGTTTGAGAGAACCATTAACACATGATTAATTGAGTGTTAATTACTTTAACCTAAAAATGATTAACATAATTCTTAAAATAACGTTTCTACGAAATTTTTGTAACAAAAAAACAACTGTTTAATAGTTTGGGAAGCGTGTACGTAAAAAAGAAATATTTTCTATCATTAATTTTCTATAGAGCGAGGAGTGTAAGTGTACCAGTTAGTAATTAGCTACCAAAAATATAGCATATGCATCTCTTTTCCATGTGGCCATATGGGGTACATAAAGAAAGGATATCTGGGAGCAAGTTTTATAAATAGAGGTGACTACCACCTCTAATTTTATCTATATCATCTATCTACAAATTAAGAGATAACCTATATAATATGTTAAATTTTGGTTTGGGCCTTTGGTAAAACAAAATCTAATGTGAAAGAATTAGAATTATTGAGGTTTATGTGTTAGAGGTATCAAGCATTAGATTTCGCCTACCAAAGGCCCAAATCAAAACGTCAGCTACGAATTCTGTCAAAGCAGAGCGAAGGTTCACAAACTGCCACTCCAGCTTGATTTTCAGTATCTCAGTTAGCTCAAACTGTAACAAAACTCTGAACAGATATTCGAGACCAGCTGATTCGACACGTTTTGAACAAGAGTTGGTCAACCTTTGAAATTTGGACTATCAATACATCTAGCAATTCTTATTTTTAATCATAAAATTGGTAGATATAGCATTATTGATAAATACTTTCATGATCTTATAAAGTTACTAGATTTTATAAACTTTATTCTAACGAGAAATTATGTTCAAAGTCAAGCCTTCAAGATAATGGGCAATACAACAAAATCCAAGAATCATCCATAATTAAAATGTCTGACTAGTATTTGGTGTACAGACAATTACTGTAAACACTTTTTTATCTTCGAAGAAGATTACACTACAAGCCACTGTTACCTCCACCATTTCTGCAAAATTGACACTGAATCAACCAGTGACAATTGATACATGCTCTCGGATACCCACAACAAATATTACCAGAGTCATGTCCGGTAGAAAGAAAACTTAACAATCAAGCTGTTCCGGTAGCAAGTAATATGCGAAAGCATGCTTGACCACAGTCCATGTAAAAGATATCCTCTAGCTCCGCACCAAGAATGCTCTTGGCACTCAAATGCAATAATCCTGTCCAATACAAAGAAAAATAATTACTCAGGCCATAATTTTCTAAACATTTTCCAGACTATAGGCAATCAACAGTAAATTGATATATTTGAGTCTTTTGCAGCGCAACAATCAACTGTGTAAATACCAGAAAGAGGGAAATAAGAGGTGTTACCCAGAATTCGAATAGACAAAAATAAATAGGAATTTGAATAGACAAATGTTCGAGTCTTTGCACAGCAAATGTTCATTTTACCAAGGCATTTTGCAAGGGTTGAGTATTTCTATGCGGAAATCAATTTGGTTGCAAAGGGGTGCAACAGAAAAGGGGTTCTCTATATCAAAGACCTTACATCTTCTGTGTATCCAAACTTTGCATCACAAATACACTAGAAAGCACTTTACATACACAACCTTTTCCAATAAGTTAGACAAAACTGTTTGACAAAATAGTGCTTTGAAAGAGAACTTGAACGGTACCTCAAACAAAAGAATGAATCAAAAGACATTATTATGCTCCTGTTCGTGGAATAAGCCAAACAGGATATTTGCAAACGAAAAGTAATTTGTGAATAAAATATTTATATACGTATTCTTAGCGATCTAAAAGCAAAGGCTGAAAAATAAACTTTAATGAAAAAAGACCAAAATCAGCTCCAAAATTAAGGTTGAAAATTCAAATTTTGGCTGATAAGCATAAGCATAAGCGAAAAGATGAGGTTGTTCATATTTTGGCTTTAACCATCTTGCATGGATTTGTTAAACCCAAAGACCGAACCAAGTAGCCTGCAGTTCAGTCCAAAACAAGCCAAGCAATATATTGCTTCTTCTGTAACTAACAGATACTTGTAATTTAATGTATGTGTAAGACTATATAACAAGAAAATATTAGAGTGAAATAAACTTTTCGGGTATATATTCAAACATCGATACATGGAAGGTATATCCAATGTTCTCCAAAGTTAATGACACCTTATGTTCCAGGGTTTAGTTTGACAAGGGAATGGAATTAAATTAGTAAACTTTGATGTTGACATGCACTTCTGCATATCCAAAGATTCCAAAGGGAAAAACCCTGTTGGAGGGTAGCTATTCCAGCATCACATCCTACTCAGCTATAAAAATACTGAAAAAATTCATACATACTTGTTTCATTAACTAAAAAAAAAAGAAAAAAAATCAGTTGGTTTGTCATATAATATGGATGGATTTAAGATACATAGTAACTCATATGATGCAAGATTGAATATCGTAACCTGAAATAACAATTTCAGAAGATGCCGATAAAAAAAAATATAACAATAGATAACTTTACAGGTTATTGTCACTTACATCCATGCTCCTAAAGAAGACCTTGGCTTTTGGTGACACTCTTCTATATTTTACTAACTCGATAACTGCTTCTTCACTAGGCTTTGAGAATGAGCTACTATCATCTCGAAAAACCCAAAATTTAGTAAGTAGCCTAGCTCTTGACAGAACAAACTCAATAAAGTGCATATCATTTGACAAGCATGGGGTATTCCTCATGGTTATGCCATCCAGATTAGCAAACATATCGTTGGTCCCAATTGTATTGAAAAAATCTACATCTATATCATCATTCTGAGGATAATAACTTTCCATGATCTGCCAAAAATTAACAAATATTTTAAATAGTTCCTGTAAAAATATTTTAAATGAGAGCATTAAATAGGGAAAAGAACTGATGCAATATCACCTCAATGTCCAGAACTTCAATGTTGGGGCACTTATTGAGTAAAGAAAACATACATAAAATGTTAGAGACATCACAGAATTTTGTACGAAGTGTTAATTTCTTCAATTTCTCAAAAGAACATGAAAGTCCCTCCAGAGCATTATCCACTTCTGTATCCTGAAACAAATACAACAATTATACTATATGAGAAGATGGCTCAATAGAAAATATATTTTACAAATCTCACTCTTTTTCTTCGAGTCTAACGTAATTGAACACAAAATTGGACATGACAACATCAACTTCAGCTACTGTACTAGAGATTCAGGCTTTAACAAAAATAACTTAAATGAAACTTGCTTAATGAAAATTAAAACCTATTGGAAGAACTCTAGATAGAAATATAGCACTTTTCGACAGATTTGCCCTAATCTGCCTCACTAAACAACTCATTTTAGTCTTCTCTTCCACTTGCTTGAGTTGCTTATGCTCTAGCAATATCACACATACCACCCTCCTTGCTCTCTGCTCCCCTAAACACTCCTAGCAAACTTGCCACCAATTAAAACAAGCCATAAAATCCACACAGGGAAAACCGTACTCTTACCCTGTGGAGGAATTACTAGAATGTTCAAGATATCGTCTGACGTGAATAGACAGCCATGCAGTACCACTACGAGAACTTGCAGGAACAGGGATTCGGCCAGTTAGGGGAGCAGGGCTCAGAGGAGATGCTTGAGATCAAAATGGGCAAGAGAATCAGAAACAGAACTGGAGTAGGACTGTAAGAGAACCAAAAGCAGAAGCAAGGATCATTCTTCATGGACTGGATTAGTCATGAAGAAACAGAACACCCATTTAAACATGAGACTATGAGAACAACAGTGGTGCTTTTACTGAAATTGTTCAGTAGTTATGGGAATTCAGTAAAAATGCACTTTTAAGTGATATTTCACTAAGAAGAAAGGTCCAGGTGGGCCTGTTCACTAAGGATGTAGCTGTCAATCGTAAGCATCCCAATTCAAAACAAAACTACATGTTGCATATGTAAAATCATAATCTTAACACAAAGGGGGAAATTCACAGCAAATTGTATCCAACAGCATAAAAAATATAAAGCATTTTCTTTCCAATTGACCATTGAAACAAAATAAAAATGACACAATCCCACTGTAGCATCTTTGGTTGCTTCTGGCAGTACATCTATCTATTATATTATTAAAACAACTTTGAAAGGAGACACCATGTTCGTTGTGGAGGCTAGAAATTCCCACATTAATCGGAGAAAAAGAAAAACAGAGTCTATGTAGAAATACAATTTAGAAATAACTGAAATTCGGAATTAAAAATAAGCAATATTAAAAAAAGAGTCCATATAAGAACCCAATACGAGATTAATTAAAATTCAGAATAAAAATAAAATAAATTCTGAAATTAGGAAAAAGAAAAATAAGAGTTCAAGTAGGAATACAATTTTGAAATATATTGAAATTCGGAATTAAAAATAAGCAATATTAGAAAATAGTTCATATAAGAACCCAATACAAGATTAATTAAAATTCGGAATAAAAATAAAATAAATTCTGAAATTAGGAAAAGAAAAAGAAGGGTTGAAGTAGGAATACAATTTTGAAATAACTAAAATTTGAAATAAAAAATAAATATTGAAACAACAATTAATCCATCTAAAACACAATACTAATTAGAATTTGAAATAAGAAATAAAATAAATTCAAAAATTATAAAAACGAAAATAAGAGTTCAATTAGAAATAAACTTTATAAATAACTAAAATTCGTAATAAAAATAAGAGTTAATTGCACTTTGGTCCACCTTTTGTTACCAAAGTTTCGCTTTGGACTATCCTCTAACCTATATTTTCACTTTGGATTAGGTAAGATTACCTTTGGTGCACTTTGGACCACCCCAAGTCATTTTCTGTAGCTGCATCTACTCTATAATGTTGTAAAGAATTGTCCGTGTAAGTTGGAAAAGATTACCGGTTTACGGGTTGCTGATGTGTTTAAAGTTGGAAATGTCATTTATATATTCCTAAAAAGTTTATGGAGTGGTCCAAAGTGAAAGAAAGGTAAAGTAACCTTGCCCAAAGTGAAAAAATGTGTTAAAGGGTAGTCCAAAATGAAACTTTGGTAATAAAATGTGGCCCTAAACACAATTTACTCTAAAAATAAAGAGTATTGAAAAATAAACCATCTAGAACATATGACGAGATTAATTAAAATTTGGAATAACAAATAAAAATAAATTCCAAAAATAGAAAAATAATTATAAGAGTTCAAGTAGAAATACAATTTACAAATAAAAAAATAGAGTAAATAGAACATAACTTGACAAATATAAGATAGATGGCATCGGTTTGGAATTCAACAGAACTAGACAAATTCATAGATAGAGAGTTAGAAGGAAAACCTAACAAAATGTTCAAGATATGACAATGATACAGAAGAAAAAACAACTAGGTTCAGCAAACCAATTTACCGGTATATGAAGGTCGAGCAAAACATGTCAGTAGCTGAACAAAATCACGATCGGTAGATTCATTATCAACACTGATAGTCGCCGTCTGGATGGAAGGAAGCTGCTCGATCTCCCATAGAAAATCGAACTCTAACTGAATAATCAAATCCTTGAGATTTGGTGCCCGAATCACCCACTCATCCCACTCGCCGCCTTCCATACTAACATTCTTAAGCTCCAGCGACTGAAGCAACGGAGCCGAGGAGATCATCGCCTCCAAAGTCCTCTCCCCATGGGGTGGAAAAGCGACCATGGTGAGGGTTAACACGGTGAGATTTGGGAACCCTGAGAAGTCCGAGGGCGCGGCCGGGAGGCGGCAGCTCCCGAGCTCCAGCTTGGTGAGCTCGCGGCACGAGAAGATGGCGGCGTGAAGCGTGTGGAAGAGGAAGTTGTCGGCCTCCGAGAAGATTAGGGCGAGGTGCTCGACGCCCCTCCCGGCGAGGACGACGAACCACTCGTCCGCGCGGGCGGAGCCACCGCTCTCGATCCACCCGTGGCGGAAATGGCGGACGGGGCACGCGTACCGCGCGAGGATTTGGCCGACGGCGGCGGCGGCGCCCGCCTCGCCGCTGCCCCACCCGAAGCGGATCCCCGGGGAGGACTCCCAGCGGCGGCGCCAGTCGCGGGAGAGAGCCGACGTGCGGACGGCCTGGCGGACGGGGAGGCGGCCGACGATGTTCTCGAGGATCTCCGACGGGAGGGAGTTCAGGCTCGGCTTCGGCTGCTGCGGCGCCGCCCCCGGAGACAGCCGCCGCAGCTTCCGGCGTCGGGGCGACCCCTCCATGTTTTTTTTTTTTTTTGATCGGACTCGAGAGGCGGCGGAGACGGCTCGCCGGCGAGCCGACAAGGCGGCGGACGGCGATGTGAATTTGGGATTTTGGATTTGGGAAAGAGTATTTGTAGTATAGGAGCTAGGGCAATTGTGTTAGAGGAAACTACGTAGCGGTATACCGTTCCAACGAAATGGGTAATGTGTATACCGTTTCAACGGAATAGCTAATGTGTATTGATACGACGTGAGTACTATAGTACTTATCAAATAGATACCGGGATCAATTGTTACTGTTTCAATATAATAGCTAATATGTACTGATATGACGTGAGTACAATATCATACTTATCAAATAGATACCGGGATCAATTGTTACTATCCACTGTGAGTGTAATTATGATTTTATCTATACTTTTTAGTGTATATATTATTTCCTTATTTTTCTAAATGAAGTTAGATTTTCTTTCTAATCTGTTAGCTCAGGTTGACGGTGTTAAAGTTGTCGTAACAAGACATATGTATCCTGCATCTGCATGTTGTTGTACCCCTGTTTTTTTTTTATCTGTTGTGTTTTTCACATGTTTTGATGCTGAGGATTTTGACATCATTAATTAAGGTTTGGGTATGCCAAAAATCTAACCGAGCATATAAGTTTAGGACAAGCGTGTAGTCTTAATAAAGAGCATATTCATCTTTTCACACCCATAATATGTTGACTAGGGATGAAGGTGGTATATGTCGTTCTGCATATGTTTTTAAGTTGCACCGTCTAAATATGATACATCTGAGACGTCTCTATCTTTTAAAACATTTAAATTTAAATTAGATGCACAAAAACGATAGGTATATACTTGTCTCAAGAAAATTGAGTTGAAAAGGCTACAACACAAAGGGTTTATTTGACAAGGACAAACATGGAGAAAAATGATTAAAAGTGAGAAAATTTCAAGGGACGTACCTTTAGTTGAAAAGGCTACAGCAACTTATATTTAAAATTATACCAAATGCTCAGTCAACGTAATTTTTCTAAACAATTTATTATGTTTGGATAATTAGATTTGTTCAATCCATGCAATTTAGTTATTTCTCGAAGAAAACAGTCAATTATGTTTCTCCACGACCATATTTTCTCTAAGGCTGCAGATGGAGTGGAGTATAATAGCAATTTCTATTTTCTAGTTATATCCTCCCTCTATCAAGAAATGATAAAACCATCACGCACTAAACTTAAGTCGAGATCATGCCGTACATCATTCAGCAAAAATGCAAACAGAATCCAGAGTTACAAGAAATCGAATAGCTACATCAGGAAGAAAGAAGCAGAAGACAGCAGCTGAAAGACTCGTCAGACATTGTCTTCAGGTTTAGGAGAATTGGCACGAGCACTGGAAGCACCAATGGCTACCTGGTCAGCTCGAGAATCTGCTTGCACATTGTCAGCACTACGACTGGCAGGATCGGTAAGAGCTTCTGCCAACCTGGGCGAGGTCTTTGATGACAAAAAGTATTATGAGACAAGTATGCAAGATGAATACAACTGGTATTCGGTATGCAAGTAATATTACTTACAGGATGGGAAGATGATGAGACTGACGAAGGCTCAGGAAATGGTGGAATGGAAATGTTCAATTGCTCAGACAGATACTGCATTTCCATCAGGAAGTAAGAACTAATGAATTGAAGAATAAAAAATGAAAAATGGTTAATCTTAGCTACCTTTAGGTTAGAAGTGAAGTATTTTTTAACTGCAGCGAAGTAGTTTAGCAAAAGCTTCTTATCTTCATGAAGAGCCTGTGCCATCTCCTTGCGTTCTTTCAGTAACTTTTGCCGTATTAGCAACATCTCCTCAATATGTTTATGCTGATCCACGGCATCTAGATCCAACCGATTAATTTTGCAAGGATGTGCAAGATCTATCCAGTTGCCTGTTCTTGTTGTTTCCAACTTATAATTAACACTGGGAGTGTCCATGTAACCACTGGCATTAAGTTAGATTAAAAGTAAGAAGAATATCAGTATCAGATGGATACGGGGAAGGCAAATTTCATAGTGCTAAATATACAAGAAAAAAAAAGATGAGCAACTATTTTAAGAGTGTTTGTGGGAAGGGGACAGATACACCATTCATGCCTTACTACTTTGTCCCACCAACACATGTTATGAGGACTCCCCACTTCCCCAGTAGCCCTCTCCCACTGCCTGTCCTAAGATTTGTCCCCACATTGGAATCTGCAGCTGCTCATCAACTCGGTTCAAGAAATTTTCAACTCAATACGAAAAACATTTCCCCTATTCAATGTCATCCCACTCATATTAAAAGATTTTTTTTTCAGTTTGATTCAACAATTTACAAATTGATTCAAAATCTTTCAACTCATTCCGGTTTCACCTCAAAACAAAATTCAGCTTCCAGCTAAGAAGCAGATTATCAACTGTCAATCGAGACTACCTCCTAGCAAATGCATCCACGCCACCTTGCCATTGTTGCAGAGGCCCTTGTCACATGTAAAAGTGAAATATGTGGGGTGGTACCACGTGAAGCTTCTCTAATGGTACTTGCAAGCACGCAGGGCCAGGGGCAGCGTGTTTTCAAGTTCTTATTTGTGAGGAGGTACCATTACTCCTCATCATGCATCGCAGCAACACTTTGGAAGGAGAGGAGAATCCACATACTGGGGAGCTTACAGGCTCCCGTGAAAGTATGAAACCGCACTACTGCAGTTTCAAAGAAAAAAATTAGTTTCTTGAGTGCAATTCACTGCTAAAGATTTTGAGAAGCACAAATACATTTTTCAATATGTTGGAAGGACCAACTTAACTTTATAATGTAAGCTATAGCCAATATAAGGCAGTGAATACACTATCAGTTTACTTACCAAGTGTGCATATAGTATACCAGCAAGGTTGTCACAGAGTACAAGGATAAAGGCATGAAATAAATACTCAGTTATAGATTTCAATGACAGTTGTAGTAACAAGCTATAGAGTTCAGTGACAGTTCTAAAATATATCAAAAGATGAACTTATCAGACTTGCTTGGAACTATAGAGTTCAGTGACAGAGTCCTAGTTAGAGTAGATGCATAGGAATAATTCTCTATGTTTGGAACTTGATATAAAAAAGATCAGAAAGGGAAAGCAGAGCAGAAGAACCGAGATATACAGATTGCAGATGTAAACAGATAGAAGTTTATCTGGTTAGCTGAAGCATGAGTAGGAGATGGACAGGTATGCTGTAGATCTGGAGAGTTGTCGATTGTCGAAGGAGGAAGTGGAAGCATGGAGCATGAGGGGGCAGAACAACTTCCTGTAAGACTCAGACCTAACTAGGAATGCAGGTTTCCATGGTGTCCACCCTGGAGTGCATTTACATTTCAACAGCGCGACCAAATATGTATACTAGAAGGCATTGCCAAGTATAACTGTATTTAATTGTGGTTTAGGACAAGACAGTGACCGATGGGTTTATGGAACAACACAAGAAAATATTAGAATCAGAATGCTTACTTGTTTGCAGATTCTCTATTCATGAAGATGACTTGTGCATCAGGTGAAACTCTCGGATGTTCTGTTATAAAAGCCTGCTCATTACTACAAGTGACGCCAGAAGAAGGATAAACAGATAGCACTCGCAGTACTCTTGCTTTGTTTAGAACAAACTCCATAAAGTGCATCTCATTACAGAGGCAAGCAACCTTCTTCATTCGCACAACACGAAGTTTCGCAAACATATCATAGGTTGGCTGAGCATTCAAGAACTCATCATTCGCATCAATATCCTGAGCATCATTGCTTTGTCCCTATGAAGGAAACATAGACAGTATCATTACCTTGAAACAAGTAATGGCATAATGAATTTGCAAGTGATCATTTAACATTACCACAACATCAAGTTCTTCAAGAACAGGAGCACTTCTAAGTAGACAGAACATAAATAAAATGTGGGACATTTTACAGAAATTAACACTAATGACTAAGCTCCTAAGATTCTCAAACAAGAACGGTAGCTGCTCCAGCACATCAACTTCAGTTGACTGAAAAAGGAAAACAAATAAGGTGTTAGACAATACAGATGAAGTAAAAAACGAACAATGAGTTTGCACAAAAAGTAATGTTTCAGTGGGCATTGATTGATTTCTACAGTAATGTTGCATATCATGTTTTTCCATTTCCTAATTCTAATGTGTGGCAGGAAGAAGAAGTTGGAAATATTATACATCTCAGATGATGTAGAACTGCTCTGTCTAAAATGAAGTGTTATCTGAACATTGTCTTTTCTATGAATATAAAAAGCCTCTTCTCTTCTTTTCCTTTCTATCTTTTGCAATTAGCAATTTAGCAGTAAGCAACTACATAGGCATGGTATAATAAGTCCTCAACCACTTATGAAAAAGCAATCAATTAAAACATTAAGCCATGAAAATCCAGAATCTTTACCAACATATAGTGGCACATGAACTCTAGCTTGGTCACATGAGCCATCCCCGTCAAGAACTTGGCGTAGTTGGGGCCGCACAGAATCCCTTGCTCCAGTCGTGGAAGCTCCTCCACTCGGCCACCATAAGGAAACGCAGCAACCATTATAAGCTTCCGGAGATTGGGCGCACGAATCACCCACTCCTCGTCAGGGTAGTCGCCGACAAGAAACACACTTACAAGCTCCACCTCCTCCAGCAATGGCGACGCGGAAATCAAGGCAGCCAACATATTTCCCATGTGCTCCGGGAGGGTAACTTCATGGAGGCGTAGCTTCTTCAGGTTCGGGAATCCCTCAAACCCCATGCGTGCGGGCGGGAGGCGGCAGCTGTCGAGGTCGAGGCAGGCGAGCTCGCGGCAGGAGAAGAGGCAGGAATGGAGCTGGAAGTTGTAGGTCGGGAACCACAGCTCCAGGGCCTGGACGCCGTTGCGGGAGAGGTGGAGGAGCCAGTCGTGGAGGGCGTCGACGAACCAGGAGGGGTCACGCGCGACGAGGCGGAAGGCGCGGACGGGGGCGGCGGCGGAGCGCCGGAGGAGGACCGCGTCGACGTCGGACGCCGCGACGCCGGGGCTGCGGGTCAGGTCGAGGTGGAGAGCGACTCCCAGCGGCGCCGCCACGCGCGGGAGAGCGACGAGGTGCGGACCACCTCGTAGATGTGGAGGCGGCCGAGGATGTTGTCGAGGACCTCTACGGGGAGCGCACCCAGACCGTCCGGCGGCGGCGGCTCCGGCTCCGCCGCTGCGAGCCGCCGCTCCCGGTTGGGCGGCGAGGCGGCCATTGCTCGCTTGGAAACCTAGAATTTCCCAAATTCGCGCGCTCGGGAACCTAACGAAATCTCTCTAGCTATAGAGCCTAGAAGAGCAAGCGGCGAAAGGAATTGGGCCTGGGCCTGGGCCAACTTGTAAAGGAAAAAGTCCACTTTAACTCCCTTAAATATACGTCGAATCTAATTCGTATTCCTAAACCACAAATCAGATAAGACGACTCCCCAAAATATTGAAACTAGTGCAATTTGACTTTCTCAATGGTTTTAGAGGGCGGTTTTGCTGACGTGACGCTGATGTGGCGATGTTGACCTAGTCTTCATCTCACGTGGCGCTTATGTGGCACTGAATTAAAAAAATATCTGTGGGACCCATCCGTGATTCGCACATTAAAAAATTGTGGGCCCCACTGACATGTGGGGCCCACATGTCATCCTCTCTATCTTCTTCTTCCTTCCTCTCTCTCCCTTCTCTCTCTTTCTCTCCCCCTTTCTCTTCACCTTCTCTCTTGGCACAATCGGCGGCAGGGGCGGCGATTCCGGGTGGTAGTTGGAGCGGACGGCCGGTGCTCCACCCGAGCGCCTTGTCCACACCCAGCGCCCTCTCCACCGCCTCGCCGTCCGCATCCCGATGCTGCTCGTCTCGCTGTGGATCGAGACGATGCTAACGCGGGCGGCACCGAGGGAGGACTGCCCCGCCACGTTGCCGAACCTGCCGCGGCTGCGGGACGTGGAAGCGGGTTGGACACGCCGCCGCCGCCGCCACCCGCCTCCTCGCCGGCGTGGTGGGGAGCTCGACGGTGGGGAAAAAAGAGGAGGAGGCCGACGGTGGGAGGCTGTGGGGGAAGATGCTGCACGGGAAGTTGGTCGCCGCAAGACTGCGGGGAGGCTAGTGGAGGCGCTCGTCCGGCGGTGGGGTAGACGAGCATGGCGACGGTCTCGTCCGGGATGGGGAGGCAGGGGAGCTCCGATGGCCTCCCGAAGCCAGCGAGGGCGGCAGCTCTTTGGGGTAGCAGAGACGGTGGGGAGCCCGAAGGGTGGCACGCTCGTCAAGGGGAAAGAGGCGGCTGGCGGTAGTAGGGGGAGAGTGGCACAATGAGCCAATGAGGAATTGCTCCGGGTGGCGTTTTGCTTGATGATGCCGATAGCTTCGAGGAGAAGGAAAGGAGAGAAGCACAGAAACGGCGACAGTGGTGGCGCGACGGCGTGGACGCGGTTCACGCGTGCGGCGGCTTCTTCGACCACATCCCCGCCCTGGTTACCGGCGCCCCTTCCCCCGACGACATCGTCAGCACCGACCCGGTGTCTTTCGCCTTGGACCGCCTCGGCATCCGCGTCCCGACGCTGCTCGTCTCGCTGTGGATCGAGACGATGCTGACACGAGCGACGCCTAGGGAGGACTGCCCCACCCCGCTGCCGAAGCCGGGACGCGGAAGCGGACTGGACACGCTGCCGCCCACCTCCTCGCCGTCGCCGTCGTTCCCCACCTCCGCCGCTATCGACCACCGCCGTCTCCACAGCCGCCGCTGGCCAAGGTGAAGAGAGAGGCCGGGGGAGAGAGATATATAAGGGAGAGAGAGAGGGAGGGAGGAGGAAGAAGGGAAGGAGAGGGTGGTTGACATGTGGGGCCCACATGTCGGTGGGTCCCACCTTTTTGTTTGAATGACATGTTGGTCCTACAAATTTTTGGTTTTTGTTTTTATTCTAATGCCACGTAAGCGACACGTGGGATGAAGGCCAGGTCAACACCGCTACTTAAGCGCCACGTCAGCCAAAACCGCTTTCAAAACCGTTGAGGGAGTCAAATTGCACTGGTTTCAATAGTTGGAGGAGTCGTCCTATCTGGTTTTGCGGTTTAGGGATACGAATTAGATTCGGCCGATATTTAAGGGAGTCAAAGTGGACTTTTTCCACTTGTAAAATAGATGATTTTGCAATCTTACCGTGTACGAAGGACAGAGAACACATACAAAAGCTTAGGAATTTGAGAAGAAGACATGGGAAATATTTTTCATATATGGTGGAATCTTATGGTAAGTTTTTTTTCCAAATTCTTCATACGTTTGAACCATACAAAGCACTACATCTACATGAGAGCCAAAGGGTAAACTATACTCTATAATTTAAATCATACGGAATTTCTCAACAATCCTTTGTTGTATTCCTGTTGGGTGAATGACAAGTGGTTCCTGCTTTCTAGAGTTAGGAGTGAACCCCACCAATCAATTGTACTGTTGTGTTAGGGTATCCACAATGTGCTCAAAAAACAGGTAATAAGCAATAAATGCACCCATCCAAATAGGTAGTAGCCATTGTGGGGGTAGATAATAGCAACATCCAGGCAGTAGCGCTACTGCCGGCAGTAGAGAAATAAAATATAGCATGTGCACAGTGATTTCTAACAGTTGCACTAAAATAATAGAGTAGCAGTTATAGCCGTTATACATTTGTAGCCGTTGCAACTTGTTGCAGCAATGCTGCAACCTCATCCTCTACAAATACAAACACAACTCAAGTCATTTTTTCTGTATTTCATCAAACAAGATGGATCCCCCCCAACAGAGGTTTTATGCACATGCTTAGCCAAGGCTCCCAAAGCCAAGCTTCTGGAAATGGTAGCCAAAACTCCACTTCTCCACAATTCCCCTCAATATTCCCTCAAACACAGTTTTCTCAATTCTCAACACCCACTTTTCAGAACTTCCATCCTTTTGGGGCTCCTACCAACTATCAACCATATGGCAATTCTACTCCAAGCTTCAACGGTTTTCAGCAGCAAGCACATTGGTTACAATCTACACCAATGAGTTTTCAAGGTTTTCGTCCTCCGGAAAATTGTGTGTACTCACCAAATCAAATTGTTGGGTCTGCTTCTTCCCACGGATCAGAATCAGCCTCTCAGTGCCCTGCAAGACACGAAGAGAACAATGTGGTTAATATCGAAGAGTCAAGTGACAACAGTGAAGAGGCAGGGAGGAGAGGGACAAGAGTCAACTGGACTAAAGAGGAAAACATAAGACTCCTTAGCTCTTGGCTGAATAATTCAGTGGATCCCATAAAAGGTAATGATCAGAAGTCAGAATACTATTGGAAGGCTGTTGCTGCAGAGTTTAACAGCAATACATCTAGAAGTAACCGCAAAAGGATAGCCGTGCAATGCAAGACACATTGGGGTGGTGTTAAGAAGGAAATTGGGAAATTTTGTGGAGCTTATTCTCGAGTTAGAAGAACCTTTAGGAGTGGATACTCTGATGATATGATCATGGAAAAGGCTCATATTATTTTTAAGTCAGAAAACAATGAAAAACCTTTCACATTGGAATACATGTGGAGGGAACTGAAAGATCAACCAAAATGGCGAAGGGTCTTAGAAGAAGATAGTAAGAATAAGAGGACTAAGATCTCTGAAACAGGTGCATACACATCATCATCCAATCAAGACACGGAGGAGGAGACCAGCCGCAAAGAGAAGCGCCCTGAGGGGCAGAAAAAAGCCAAAGCCAAGCTAAAAGGGAGGGGTAAAAATGCCGCACCTTCTCCTTTGGGGGACCAGCCATGTCAAGACTTTGTTCTTTACAATGAAGCTATAAAATTAAAAGCAGAAGCGATGCTGAAATCTGCAGAAGCAGCATCGAAAGCAGCTGAAAGCAAAGAAGGAACAAACAAGAATGGAGAAGTATCAGACATACTTAAGATTGTTGGACAAGGACACTTCAAATTTTAGTGAAGCAAAATTGAAGAGGCATGAAGCTGTCCTGGAAAAGCTAGCTACAGAACTTACTAAAGAATAAATGATCACCAATTGATGTTGTATCCCAAGTACTTAGTGTGCCACTATGTGGGTCTATCATCAATTTGCTGCTAGGATTTAGACTTAGCAATTATTAGACTTGTGAGCTCAGTGATAAGTTTGTAGGTTTTGTAGGTCAGTAAATTTGCTCAGTTATAAGATAAGCAAGTCATGTATAAAGGATTGAAGGGGTTATCAAAACAAACATATTGAATACATACTCCGTCATTTCCTCTATATAGCATCAGGCACTGCCAAAATTTAAAATTTAAAACTTAATTTTGAAGTTTTTTTTTCATCATTGGCATTTAAGTCATTGAGAACACATAAAAGTTTTACCCATAAATTATTATTTTTTGCTATACGCGAATGACTTATTATCCGTATTTCACCAAATGACGAGGCATATAATTCATTAATCTATTGTTCTTCTTCTACCTTTGTTATATGTTATGTTCTTCGTTATCTTTTGTTCTTATATCCTTCTTATCCTCGGTTTTCTATCTTTATTATATTTTGTTCTCCACTAATTCTCTAATCTATATTTTATATAAAGTTATAGCCCACTAAATATCTAAAACTTAACATATAACCATATATAATTATTAATACACTTAAAGGATAACATGCGAGCATGCCACATCAACCCACTATCTAAAACTCATCATGCATGCATAGCAATGACATCTACAATTTATTACATTCTAAACCTCAATATATAAGCATGCTAAATTACCATTTCTCATATTGTTTTCATACTATTTAAATCCAAACCAAACCTATCCATCAGTTTTACGACATTTAACATATTTCATCCATATATCCCGCATCACAGAGCGGCGTTTCATCTATTTTCTTCTTAAATTATGTCTTATGTCTTTGTTACCTTATGTTTTTCGATCTTTGTTATCTTTTGTTCTTCACTGATTCCCTAATTTCTTCTTTGTTATCCTCTGTTTTTCTACCTTTATTATCTTTTGTTCTCCACTGATTCCCTAATTTCTTCTCAAATTATCTTGAGTTATCGGTGTATTTTATTGCTAATTCGTGTGATTCGCCTCGAGTTCAGGTCATAACAAGGACCTGAGTGGTTGGAAACTCAAATCGTTGCATCAATGAACTAGTATATTGCTATGTTTCTTTCTTTTTTTTTTTTGAAACTTGCATAAGTACTGAAATACTATCAATTGAAGAAATGAAATATTCAAGCCAAAACTTTGAACCTTTCAACTTCGATTTACTTTTAAAGATTCGATTTTTTCCACATTATGTATTTTGCTATTTCAGCTGTGCGATTGGAAACCTCCAACTGGACAGTGGGTTCTTATATGTGCCGAAAGCGAAAACTGCAGTGTGAACCCAAATGTCAATTCCAAAAGCAGTCTTTGTTCATCCAAAGGCTGTCAATCTATAACTAGAGTACCATCGTGAATTTGTGTATTTGTTCATCCAAAAACTGTCGCTGCCTTCCCTTACCCGACTAAATTGGCTATGCAATGTTTATCAACAGATCATAACCTAGCTGTTAAGTTCCACCATCGAGGGGTGTCAAGAACTAAAAATTTCACATCAAAAGGAAGTACAGAAATGGCTAGAATCATGAAACTCTCGTCAGATTTGGTCTTCTGGAGATTCTGCACAACCATTCCCAACACATTTGGCAACGAAGTCTATTGGAGAACGGACATGAACATCAGCATCACCAGAAGTAGCATGGCCTTCTCGAGAATCCTCAGGTACATTAGCAGCAACATTGTCAGCAGGATCGACAGGAGTGTCTCCTGGTCTGGTGGTGACCTTTATTATCAAAAATTATATAAGCACATATGGCATATTCCAAGTTTCCAACTATTCCAATTAATATAAAAACCTTGGCATTACTTACCGGATGAGATGACAGCTCCGATGGGAACTCTGGCAATGGGGGAAGCCTAAATTGGCTAAGGTCGTGTTGCTTAGACAGAGACTGCATTCCATCAGCCAGCAAAATTCATTCACTCAACAACTATTTGTTCTTTCTGGAAAGCGAAGATTGTTGTGCTAGTACAACTACAGTACCTGGATGGTAGATTCGAAGTAATTTTGAAATTTAATTGCGTTTTTTTTACCCTCCTGGATAATCTCTTTCAATTCTTCCACCGTAGGCTTGTGGTGCTGATCCTTCTCCTTTTCCAGCTCTTGCAGCTGCTCCTGAAGCAGCTGCAGCTGAGCTACAGACTCCCCGTTGGATCGCTGCCTTCTCCGAGGGTGTACAGTATCCAGCGATCCTAAGCCTGATGTCTCTTCCTCCTCCACGTCAGGAAACTCAGCGGATAAATCCAGGAAACCATTCATATCACTGAGGAAAAAAAGAGTTATTGGATGTGCAGTAAAAAAATGCTTATAAGTTCAGGGAGTAATTTCGCACTCAAGCAAGTTTAGGGATGTATAATACAATTTACACTATAGACAATATTAACAGCGAAGAATACTAAAAACACATAGGGTGTCCAGAAAAGACTGAACCGGAAGGAATTTTTAAGTCAAGTGTAGTAAAGAACATCTGAGAAGTTGGATGAATGTATGGAACAGCATGGCTAGGAAATCAGAATCACAATGTTTACTTATTTGCAGATTCTGGCTCTACACCCATGAAGATGACCTGCGCATCAGGTGATGCTCTTGGATATTCTGTTATATCAATAATTGCTTCCTCAATACTGCTCAGGGAATCAGACGCAAGAGTGAGGGAAAGCACTCGCAGTACTCTTGCCTTGGACAGAATGAACTCTATAAAGTGCATCTCATTATTGAGGCAATAAACCTTCTTCATGCGCACAACATGAAGTTTGGCAAACATATGATTGATCCACTGAGCATTCAAGAACACATCATTTGCTTCCATTTCCTGGGCACCCTCACTCCAATTCTGTAGGAAAGCACAAAAGTATTGCCATCAACTTGTCATCTTGAAACAAAGTTAAGGGAAAAGCAGCTTGTGAGCTAAAGTTCAGCATTTACCCAAACATCGAGTTCTTCAAGAACAGGCGCACTTCTAAGTAGGCAGAAAATAGCCAAGATGTGAGACATCATACAAAAATTCACTCCAAGGATTAAGCTTCTAAGGTTCTCAAACAGGAACGGCAATCGCTCCAGCACGTCAACTTCAGTTGACTGGAAAAAAATTTACAGTGTTAAACATGATATCGACGTAAAAAAGTGACAATAAGTAGTCAGTTTCTATATAATATTGTCTATTTCACTCATCTCTTTTCTGATTACTGTCAGGTTAACCAATTGAACACTTCATAAAAAGTAATCTTAAGCACCACACAGAATATCTTCTGACAAAACTTCTGTACAAAATCTCAAAGTCCTTGAAATTGGTAAAGTTCTGCTTCTGCAACAGTTGTAACAAATAAAGTCTTTACAGATTCTAAGGACATCATTAATTACTAAGGGCTTGATTGGGTTCCCCCAATCAGGCCAGAAGAGTTCAAATAAACAAATTGCATAAACAACTACACTGCCTTTCCTTCAATCACTACTCAGCCATTTGGGGTAAAACAAAAAGATCTGTAAGCATAATGAACACGAATCGAATTGATGCAATGATGAAGTGAGCCAGAGGGTTTACCAACATGCAATTGCAGTAGAAAGTGAGCTTGGTGACTCGCGCCATCCCCGTCAAGTATTTGGCATAATTCAGGCCAAAGAGACAACATTCCTCCAGCCGTGGAAGGTCTTCCATCCGGCCACCATATTCAGAGCCAAGAGCTATCGTCAATTTCCGCAGATTGGAAGCCCGAATCACCCAATCTTCGTCGGGTCCATCTCCAATGAGCACTACGTCGATGAGAGTCACCTCCTGGAGCACCGGCGATGCAGCAATCAGGGTGGCCAACCCCCTTCCCCCGTGCCTCTGAACTTTGACCACCGAGAGGTACATCGTCTTCAGATTCGGGAACCCGGCGAACTCAGTGGGCACGTGCGGGAGGCCGCAGCAGTGGAGTCTCAGCGAGGTGAGCTCGCGAAAGGAGAAGAGGCAGGAGTTGAGCTTGCTGTTGATGTACGTGTACCGGAGGGTCAGCTCCAGGTCGCGGAGGCCGCCGCCGCCACCGCCGCGGGAGAGGCGGAGGAGCCAGTCGTGGAAGGCGGTAGGGGACCAGGAGCGGTCGCGCGTGGCGAGGCGGAAGGAGCGGGCGGGCGCGGTGCGGCGGAGGAGCAGCGCGTCCACGTCGGAGGCGCTGATGCCGGGGCTCCGCGTGAGGTCGACGGTGGGGAGCGACTCCCAGCGGCGGCGCCACGATCGGGACAGCGCGGAGGTGCGGACCACGTCGTGGATGTGGAGGCGGGAGAGGATGCTGTCGAGGACGTCGAGGGGGAGCGAGCCCAGGGCGTCCGGCGCTGGCCCGACGAGCCGCCGCTGGCCGCTCGGCGGCGGCGGCGGCGGCGGCGACTGCACGTCCGCCATTTCTTCCCCAGAATCTGCCGTCCCGTTCCGTTCCCCGCGCTCGGAAACCTAACCGCCCTTGAGCCCTCCTGCTTTTGTTGCGGCGGACTTGCGAATGTGTCTTGATCCCGTGGGCCGAATTCGGTTGGGTTGGGCCGTCTCTCCGAGAAAAAAGAATAAGACGCTAGTAGGCCCTCCGGATAGGCTAACATGGGCCACGCGGTCCGCTACTCAAGCGGCCTAACATATGTTGGACCGACCATGTCTGAGATCCAAAAGCTTTGTGGAAAGACCGAATATGAGCCGAAGCTTTCGTGCATTGAGGGTTTGTTTGATAGAGTTACAACTCCACATCTTTTATAGGAGTTCAGTCAAACAGTGTTTAAAAAAAAAAGAACTAAAGAGATAAAACTGAGTTTAGACTGTTCACTTCAAACCCATCTCTTTAGAGTTAAATTTATGAGTTAGAACCTTACAAACAGGTCCTGAAAGGCACATGTTATCGCCTAGTTCTAGTCGCAGTGCTCAACGACTCAAATGAGCTCACAATACTAAGGGTTGGTTGAGTAGATGAGGAAAGAGAAGGAGAAGATATGCACAAGAAGAGTCATTAGTATATAATTAATTAAATATTAATTATTTTAAACTTAAATAGTGAATTAAAAGGTTTTTTTTAAAAAAAAGCACATCCTGCAGTTCTAAAGTCCCAAAGCGTGCTCATGAAAAATGAGAAAAAGTTTCTCAATATCTCCCTCAGTTGAACGAAGCCAGGATAAGATTGAATCATTCCACTTTTCTCAAAGAAAGATTCAACATCAGGCTTGCTATTTTGTGGCAATTTTTTTCTATTGGAACTCACCAACTAAAACCAGGATTTTTTTTGGAGGAAAAACCCAGGATGACTAACAATGTACTAGTATTAGACTCTGATATTTCAGGAATAAAATTAGATGATCTGATGTTGTCATTTGCACTGTAGACAGTTTGAGAGGTCAATGTTCAGATTCGACTGCTGGAAAGTACAAGAGGGTTATAATGACTTCTCTCCCCGAGAGATTTAGCAATTCAGAAGCAGGAAGGACCACCACGAGAAGGCAAAAGCACAAAAAATCCAACATTTTGTTCAGTAACAATCTATTACTACTTCCACAATTCTACATCGCACCCAGAGTTAGACTTACAATAATCATAGGTGCCGCATCCAAATAATTCTTACAATAATCGTAGCTGCTTCATCCACATAATTCAGATCTAGCGCCTGAAGTTTCAAGCTTAACTTGACTTTCTTTTTTCTTAGGAGGAGGACCAAAGCTGGGAGCCTGGGTCCTAATTCACGCAAGTTACAGATACTTCAAAAATTAATCTTACTCAACACGGCTGAAGAATACCTTGGCTTGTGGAGAAGCTCGCCTATATTTTATTTTGCAAGTTCTATAACTGCCTCTTCATTAGATTTCGAACAATCTTCAGCTAGGCAGACATCATTTTTTTCAAGATTTCTTGCCTTTGACAAAATAAACTCAATAAAATGCATCTCACTTAACTTGCACGTCATATTTCTCACGTAAACACTTTTAAGATTGGAGAATAAGTCATCAGTCCACTGTCCATTTAGAAAATCATTATCAACTTCATCGTCTTGAGTGGAATCATCAAAGAGCTGCCAAAATCGACAATTATAACTTATATACTTACAGAAGTCTATAGAAAACTGTACTATTAAATTTTCAATTACTAACGATATTACCTTAATACGCAAAGTTTCGAGTTTAGAGGCATTCCTGATTATACAAAAAAACGACAAAACATTTGACAACAAGTGAAGACTTGTACATAACGATAAACATTTCAGATTCTTAAAGGAGCACGACAGTCCCTCCAGAACATTAACATCTCTCACCTGACATAAAGTGAAACATTAGATACAAGTCAAGACAAAGTCAATACAAATTAGATTTGTGCACTTGCCATTAGGTACTAAAATGGTCTGCTTTATGAAATTATCAATATAAAATATTTGGAATTATGAAAGTAATGAAAACATATTCAACCCAAACAATAATAACATAACATACACACAACAACAGAAGAGAATGGACTTCAACAATCACTATTTATAAAATTGCAATTCAAAAATACTTTTTTTTTTGTATTCCTCGATGCAACAGGATGTTCTGTAAGAAAATACTACCAAAATCTACAAATATAACGCTTCCAATTTCTTAGAATCCCTCGCAACACTGTAATTGAACCAAAAATTCTAAAAGTTGTTTTCTTACAATCGAAGGCTTTCTCTATGATCTACATGTTCAGATAAAACAGAAAACTATTATTCATTGCACTAGCATTGCTACAAAAAAAAATGGCACAATACGGAAAATTATTTCGTCGTGTCAACAAGGCCACTTTCACACTGTGTTTGGCTGGGTTTTAAGCTCCAATCAAGTCCAAACTACCCCATCTCAGCACATTAGGCAGCCAACTCAGAACTGCCATGTTAAAACTCAATATGCCATCACCCTAGTCAACTGCCCCAGTCTCAAAATGGCTCAGTTGAGTGCCACATTAAAGGTGCAACATCACCATTCCATTTACTAATCTCCATGTTTTCGCCATGCGCCATGCGATCAACTAACATGGCATACAAGCTAAATGTGGCATGGTAATGTATTTGGAAGTTGACTAGGATAGTGGGATGGCAATGTATTTCACAAGCTCTGAGTTGGGCGCATAATTTGATGAAATGAGCTATTGCAGACTTGAACTCATAATTTAAATTGGTTCTGATGATAAATTAGTTTGGTAGGATATTACATAAAGATGACATTTTGTTAATCTTAGTGCAAGAAAATCCATTGTGACTCATAACTTCTCTGAAACCAATAATTGAGGTGAGAAGGGCGACGAACAATGCGACCTCGCCGCGATCGTGGCCGGCGGGCTACACCTTCGCCGACGTGCTCACTGCGGCGGCGTGTGCTCCAGAGGGCAAGCCACGCGGCGTGCTCACGGCGGCGGCGTGTGCCCCAGGGGGCAAGCCACGCGGCGGTAATAGGGCTGAGGGGGTCAGCTTTGACCAGATCAAGGGGAAGGCGCCATTGGAAGCGTTCGGAGAGGTCGCCTCCTCCTCGGCGACGGCGAACTCGTCGGCTCTTCCGGCAACGAGCCACTGCCATGAGGGCCCTTCTCCGCAATTCCCACGAGAGAAACTTGACGCGTGTTCGTTCAATATCCATGCCGATTTTGGCGCGATTCAAGAGGTGCGACCCAGCCCGCTAGCTACAGTGAGACTCGTGCAGGGGGGAGCATCCATGGCAGACACGTGGCGGTTGCTATGGGGATAAACTCGAGGACCTCTTTCCCCGAGTCTCCAGAGGCTTCCGTGAGTGGGTGTGGGTGAGAAAGGGTTCGCTCTCTCCGCAGCTAGGGTTTCCGGCGAGAAGCGAAGAAATCCGGCGATTTGGCGACTCCGCACGCCGGATCTGGAGAGTTCTGGAGAGAAGGTGTGATCACCGCACTTTCGCGCAAGTGGTGATGAAGCGACGTCCCCCTCCAGGCCGTCCGGATTGGCAAGCGAACAAGAGGAAGGCGATGGAGTCGGGAGACGGAGGTGGTGATTGGGGTCGACAAGCTGGAGGCGACTGGGGGAAGCAAGCTGGTGGAAGTTGGGCGCACCGTGAGGAAGAGGAACTTCGCAAGCAGCTTCTAGCAAAAGGAAATCAAGTTGTGGGAGATCCGCGTCGTCCTGGTCGCCCTGGCCAAGAGCGTAGGGATTGGGGAGATCGTGGAGCGGGGGGATCCAAGCCGGCGATGAAATGCTTCAAGTGCGGCCGTGAAGGTCATCACCAAGCCTCGTGCACAAACCCTCCGCTCTGCTACTCCTGCCATAGCTCAGGTCATATCTCTGCAAACTTCCCTATGTTACAGTCAAAGAGAGGTGTGAAGCTATGTGGTTTTGGTATTCCGGGTCAGGGTTTCTACAGTTTGCAGGTAGATGTTTCTGATGTTGAGATGGCCAAACACCCTGTAAGAGGTATTCTGACTGTGTTGCAGGGAGTTGCTTCTGTTGAGATGATAAGAATGAGAGAGAGTTTTTGATTAATTTCCCATCAGAAGAGGTGAGAAGCAAAATTTCTACATGTAAAAGTTTCGACTTTGATACCTGTCATATCAAGGCCAGTGTGGTTGAAACAGGAATGACTGAAGATGCTATTGATGAATTGGCTGTTGTTTGGGTTAAAATCTTTGGGGTTCCTAAATTGGCTAGATCTGAAGAGCATATTAAAGCTATTGTGGAGCTTGTTGGTGAATTTGAGATGATAGATTTGAGCACTCTTAGAAGGGATGGTCCAGTCAGAGAAAGATTAGCTTGTAAGGATCCAAGGGAACTTCACTTTGCTATCCATGTATACATTAACAAGGTGGGGTACATGATAAGGTGGGAACCAGAGGGTTATCCTCCTTATGATAATTCACAATTCCCCCCGGATGATGGTGATGATAAGGACAAGAAGGGTAATGGTGATAATGATGACATGAATGTGGATGAAGATCAAAATACTCAAAGCCCAGCTAGAGGTAGATCAGCCCATGATAGAAGATCTTTCATGGGAGGTTCCAGAGGTGATGTTCAATCAGCCCCTCCTGCTTACAAAGGGAAAAAGGCATTGGAAGAGACATGCCTGAGTGAGACTCAGCAGTGTCCTACTAAGAGGGCTGCCTGTAAAAAACAAAGTCTGCTGGTGGTGGAAAAGGAGAGTATGGTAGATCAAGAGGGTGACTCTAAAGCAATGATAGTGTGGGAGGGAAACACAACACAAGATGTAGAATATGAATCTCAGGAGATTGATTTCCCTGTCACACAAAAATCGACTGAGGAAGGTGATAATGAGGATGTGTTGACTGGAATCTTAGAGTTTGAAAAATGTGACATTCCATCTTTATTTGACATTGCAATACAGAGAGAGGAGGAAGAGTTGGATGAGGAAGATAGCTTTCAGGAGGTTTCCTACAAAAAGAACAGACCTAAAAAATCTGAACCTGCGATCACTTCTAGAATGAGTTTGAGAAACAGAGACATGGCCTCAGTCCCCATTCCTAAGATAGCTGAGCTGCTTACTCAAAAGAAGAACCTGGAGACTGGAGGTAACTCTAACCCCTTTGTTGTTTTTCAAATTATTGATCCTGTTGAGCTGAATAGTATTGCTATAGCTGCTAATATCTCTCTAGGAAGTAATGAGGAAGAAATTGCAAATACCATTGAGACCATTAAGGCTAAAGAGTTGGTTCAAGCTAAATTAGCTGAGATGAGATGGAAAAAAGAGAAGGAAAAGGAGATGACAGATGTTGACTCTTTATTGAGAAATGAGAAAGAGCTCCCAGACAACATGGGGGAAGAGGTTGACAATTTAAATACCCCTTCTCAAGAGATGAATAATATGGAGATATCTTCTGAGAGTTTAGAGCTGAAGAAGAGAGGTGGTGCAAAAAAACATAAGAAAAAATGAAAATCCTCTTTTGGAATGTTAGAGGTTTGGGAAACATTGCTAGGAAAAAACAATTGAAAGAGGTGATTAGAGATAGAGGAGTTGATATTATTTGTCTGCAGGAGACCAAAAAAGAGAGTTTTCATGATAGAGAGTTGAATTCTTTCCAAGGTTCTAAGGATTTTTCTTAGGCTTGGAAATCTTCTAGAGGTGCTTCTGGTGGCATCCTTATTGGTACCAATGATGAGTTGATTGAGAAGTTAGGTACCCACGCTGGTGCATTCTTCCTTAGTGTTGAGTTCAGATATAAAAAAGATAATAGTGTTTGGGAGGTTATTGTGGTTTATGGCCCTGTGTTAGAATCCTTGAAACCTGATTTTCTGAATGAGCTTAGATGGTATTTGCAAGATATTCATCATCCTTTTGTCATAGGTGGAGATTTTAATATGTATAGGTTTGCCAGTGAAAAGTCTAATGAACTTGAACTTGAGGTCTATGGATCTTTTCAATTCTTTCATTTCTGATCTTGAGCTTAGAGATATTTACAGATGTGGTTCTAGATATACTTGGACTAATAAACAAGACTACTCTACCCAGGAAGTCCTTGATAGAGTTCTTACTAGTTCTAGTTCGGAAGATAAGTATCCAAATTCTATTCTCTCCTCTCTTCTCAGGGTTGGTTCTGACCATTCCCCTCCCATTCTTAATATTGGTGAGGATATTGAGAGACCCCCAAAGTATTTTAGATTTGAATCAGCCTGGCTAACAATGGAAAATTTTCATGAGTTGGTAAGACAACACATGATTCCAAGAGATGGTTCATATATTTTAGATTACTCGAATAAGAAGCAATCCTTTCTGAGAAGATTTTTGAAAGGCTGGGAATTGAATCTTAGACAGGAGAAGAACCAACAGAAAGCTGTTATTCTAACCCAGATCCAAGAGTTGGATGCCCAAGCTGATATTAGAGATTTAAGCCCTGATGAATGGAATAAAAGATATGAGATGGAGGCTGACCTTGAACATATCTATGAAATGGAGGAATTGTTTTGGCACAAGAGATGTGGGGAAATGACTTTATTACAAGGTGACAGAAATACAGAGTTCTTTCACAGAATGGCTAATGGCAGAAGGAGGAAATGCTTGATCCTCTCCCTAGAAGATGAGGGTAGAGAGTTGACCTCCAAGGAAGATCTGAAATCCCACATTATTGAGTATTATAAGTCCTTGTTCAGAGCTGATAATCTTTCTACGGTGCATCTTTCTCCCCAAATTTGGCAATCTGAGCTGTGCCTTAATGCTGACCAAAAGGAGGCTATCACTAGACCTTTTTCTATGGAAGAACTTGATAAAGTCATTAGGGAGGCTAAGTTGAATATTGCTCCTGGTCCTGATGGCCTTAATATCCATTTTTACAGAGCTTTCTGGCCTGAAATCAAAAATGATCTGTTTGAAATGTTATTAATGTTGTATGAGGGTAAACTAGATTTAAAGAGACTTAACTTTGGTGTGATTTCTTTGATTCCTAAGAGCTCTGACCCCACAAATATCAGACAATTTAGACCCATTTGTGTCCTCAATGATTGTTTTAAATTCCTTAGCAAGGTGGTGACTAACAGACTTTCAGAGGTTGCTCCCTTTGTGATTTCTCAGACCCAAACTGCTTTTATCCCAGGGAGATTCATTTTAGAGGGGTGCATAATTCTCCATGAGGTGCTTCATGAATTCAAATTGAAAAATCAGCAGGGCATTATTCTGAAAATTGATTTTGAAAAGGCTTACGATAGAGTAAGCTGGAATTTTCTTTTTGAGGTCCTAGAGAGAAAAGGCTTTCCCAAGATTTGGATTGATTGGATCAAGGCTTGTGTGATGTGGGATAAAGTTTGTGTCAACATTAATGGTGAGAGGTCTGACTTCTTTAGAACTTATAGGGGCTTAAGACAGGGTGACCCCCTTTCCCCTCTCCTGTTTAACCTAGTTAGTGATGCTTTGGCAGCCATGCTAGATAGTGCTAAGAGAGATAGTATTCTTACTGGCCTTGTCCCTGGTATCTTCCCTGGGGGAATCACCCATTTGCAATATGCTGATGATACTGTCATTTTCATTCCTTTTGATGTCAGACAAATAGTGGCCACCAAATTTTTGTTATATTGTTTTGAAGAGATGGCTGGGATGAAAATTAACTACCATAAGAGTGAAATCTTCACTGTGAGGTTGATAGATGCAGAAAATGAAGAGGTTGCTAAGATGCTTAATTGTCCTAGAGGCAAATTTCCCATGAAATACCTTGGTCTGCCCATCAGTCCTGACAAGATTCTCAACCAAGAGTTTAATTTTCTTCCACATAAAATGGAGAAGAGGTTGTCTCTTTGGAATGGGGGTAACCTAACTTATGCTGGGAGAGCTGTTCACATAAATGCGTGTTTATCTTCCATTCCTTCTTATGCAATGGGCTTTTATCAGCTTCCTGAGGGAATTCACCATAAGTTTGATTCTTTAAGGGGGAAATACTATTGGGCTGGTAATAGATAAGGGAGAAAATATCACATGGTGAGATGGATTGACCTTGCTTTCCCTAAAGAATTTGGGGGGATTGGGCTAACTGAAACCAGGATGTTAAACATTGCTCTGCTAGCTAAGTGGATCATTAAACTTGAATCCCATGACAATAGCCTTTGTATTGAGTTGTTGAGGAAAAAATACCTGCAGCAAGGAGGTATCTTCCAGTTTGTTGGAGAAAAAGGGTCTCAATTTTGGAAAGGGGTGTTGAATGTGAGGAAATGGGTGTCCTTAGGTTCTGTTTGGTCCCTGGGGAATGGTAGTCATATCTGGTTCTGGCAGGATGTGTGGCTGGGCACCTGCCCCCTAAAGACCAGATTCCATAACATTTATGAGATCTGCAACCAACAATACATCACAGTTTCAGAGGTTTGCACTAGGGGATTTGATTGTTTAACTTTTAGAAGATCTTTTGGGAATATAGAAGAAGAACAATGGAATGAGTTGAAAGAGATGATAGCAGAGGTTTCGCTGAGTGAGAATCCAGATACTCTGACCTGGGGCCTATCCACTAACAAAAAGTACACTACTAAATCCCTGTATGAGATGATTGCCTTTAGAGGTGTGAGAGATGTTACTATGCTCAAGATTTGGAAATGCCCTGCCCCCATGAAGATGAAACATTTTGTTTGGCTTGCGAGGAAGAATAGAATCCAGTCAGCTGAACAACTGAAAATGAAAAACTGGTCAGGGTCTGAATATTGCCAGCTTTATGGGGAGATAGAGTCCACTTCTCATATTCTCTTTACCTGCCCTATGGCTTCATTTGTGTGGTGTGTCTGTAGAGATTCTTTTGGCTGGCACCTAGCTCCTAGGAATTTTGAGGATTTGTTTCTTCTGAATGAAATGAATAATAAAGCTAAGGATAGAGTGTTTTCAGCTTTACTTGTTGCAGTTTCCTGGGTGCTCTGGACAACCAGGAATAACATGATTTTTAGAAACAAAATTGTGTATTCTCCGCTGATTTTGCCATTCCAAATTGTTTCCTTTTTGCTGCAGTGGAAGGCTTTATGTCGCTCTGAGGAAGTTGCTCTGATGGATCACATTGCTGTGAAGCTGAAAGGGATGATTTCAAGCCTGGGGGCGCAAAGAACTGGTCTAGGCTAATGTCGTTTTGTCCATTCTGCTGCTGTAGTGCGCTGCTTAGTGTTTTTTGTCTGAGAGTTGTTTCGTTTCTGTTGTTTCTCCTCTTGGGGTTCAGAACTGAATGTTGTTTTGTTTCTGTGTTGATCGGTATGTAAAATGGGCATCCCCCATATTAACTCTGTTACCAATGCTGCTTTCAATAGAAGCAAGGCCTTCTCCTCTCTAAAAAAATAACTTCTCTGTACGCAGATAATGTACAAGTGAAAAAACAAGTTGAGTAGAACAATTTTACCGGCATTGCAAAGTCGAGCTCCCTTGCTTGAGACAACCCTGTAATAAGCTTGACGAAATCACGGTCATATGAGTATAATGGCCAATCGACTGTTGCTTCCTCAAGGAACGTGAGATCACCGATCTGCCAACCATCGTCATACAGTCCAGTAATAAAAAAGTTCTGGAGATTTGGAGCCTGAATAACCCACTGGTGATACACCCCGTTTTTAGCAGGAAACAGCAACATCAGGAGTGAAAGGCTCTTTAGCAATGGCGATCTAGCGAGCAATATCTCCAATCCTTTTGCTCCATCTGGGAAGCCAACATCTGATAATCTTAGACTGGTTAGATTTGGGAACCCCGCGAAGCAGGTTGGCAACCCTGGGATGTAGCAGTCTGCAAGTTCGAGCTGGGTGAGCTCGCAGCACGAGAAGATAGAGAATGCAGCATAGGGATCTCCTCGTCCGACCGTCAGAAAGCAAGGAAGAGGGATTGGACCCCCTTCCCGGCGAGGAGGAGCAGCCAGCGGTCGGAGTAGCGGAACGGCGCCTCCTCCTCCTCCTCCTCCCCGATATACAAGTTGGTAAACTTGCGGACGAGGCCGGATTAGCGCCGGAGGGCGGTGCTGATGGCGCCGGGGGGCGTGCGGCGTGGCCAACAGAAGGTGAGGTAGGGGACGGACTCCCAGCAGCGGCGCGACACGTGGGAGAGCGCCGAAGTGCGGACGGTCTCGCGGATGGGGAGACGGGAGATGACGTCGGCGAGCATCTCCGGCGGGAGGGAGTCCAGGGCCGCCGCCGCCGCCGTTCCCGCATCGCCCTGCGACGGCCACAGCTTGCAGCCAGGCGACGGCGTCATTACCATCCCGATTATTCGATCGAGCAATACGGGATTCCTGTTCGCCAAAATCCGAGCTAGGGTTTAGGGACGGCAAGCGTTAATCACCTGCGAGGAGCAGAAAGGAAGCAATACCTCGACGGACGATTGAGGTCGCGGCCGGCGATGCGGGCCGCGGAGGCGGCCGGCGTTTCGGCCGCCAGCGATTAGGAGCTCGACATCGGCGGCGAGCACTACGAGCTGGAGGGAGCCAGTGATATAAAAGAAAAAAAAGAGAAGAGAGAGAAGAAAGCGGGCTGCAGATTTATAGCCGGCTGCAACACGGACTCCAAGACATTATGTGTGTATGAGAGATGGGACCGGGTATTAATGATGTAATATATTTTTAATAGTTATCTATTATATGAATGGGCTATTAAATTGACTATAGATGATTTGGAGCCAGTAGTTGGCTATAGTGTTAAACTTGCTCTCATTCTGCTGGTCTGCCTGACGCCTGTGAGGCCCATGAAGGGAAGTGGGCTTACAGCAATTGAGGCCAATCTCGGCCCAGCAACTCCCTCGAATCTCGCGCCTGACTTTGTTTGGAGCACATCCAGCTCGATTTCAGTTAGTTCAAACTGTTGGAGCACAAAATTCTGAACAGATACTATTCGAGATCAGCTGGTTTGAGAACAAATGTAAATACCGTTGATACATCGGTTTGATTGCACCCTGATACAATAGGCAAGCGTTGGAGGGACCATTTTGTCATTAACAAATTTAAAAATTGTGGTCAAAAATCAAAATCGCACCTCGGTAGGGCGACACGACACAGTAGAAGAACCAACCATGATTAAAATGTCTTGAAAACTATTTGGTGTTAGGATAATCACTCGAAAATTACTGTAAACATTGTTTGATCTTCCAGGAAGATTGGTATTACAAGACTTTATGCAAATTTGACACCCACAACTAATATTACCGGATTTATGTCCAGTAATGAACACTTAACAATTAAGCTGTGGTTTCCCAGCGGCTCTCAGAAAGTAATATGGAAAGTGTACTTGACCACGGTCCATGTAAAAGATGTTATCTAGATCCACATCAATAGTGCTCGTCACTCAAATGTAATAATCCTGTCCAGTACAAAGAAAAACAAATAATCAGACCATAATTTTCTAAACATTTTTTGGAATATTGGTGATGAACAGTAAATTGGTACATACGAGCCTTTTGCAGTGCAACAGACCACTGTGTGAGTATCAGAAAGAGGGAATCAGGGAAATAAGAGGTGATAACCTGAATTTGAATAGACAAAAATAAATAGGTATATTTGAGTCTTTCCAGTGCAGAAGTTCATTTTACCAAGGCATTTTGCAAGGTTGAGTATTTCTATCCCAAAATCAATTTGGTTGGGTATTTCTAGATCAAACATGATTGGTTGCATTATCTGCATACCCAAACTTGCAACATAGTTGACAATACAAAGCACTTCGCAAACAATCTTTTCTAGTAAGTTAGACAACTGTTTGCCTGATAATGCTTTGAGAAGTATTTGAATGGTACCTCACAAAGAAAAAACTTGTGTTCACAAGCAAACTTCGCACTGACTCGTGCGGGCTGTTTCAAAAATACAAAATGGTACCTCACAAGAGAATGAATGAGAAGAGATTATTATGCTGACATTTTGGTTTTAACTATCTTGTGTGGATTTTGTTAAAACCAAACACTGTACAAAGTAGCCAGCAGTTCAACCCAAACAAGCCAAGTAATATATTGCTTCTACTGTAACTAACGGATATTTGTAGTTTAATGCATATGTAACATTATATAACAAGAGAATATTAGAGAGAAGTAAACTCTTCTGGTGATATATATTCAAAGGACGATACATGGATGGTATATACCTTATGTTCTCCAAAGGTAATGCCACGTTATGTTCTAAAAACATCCGCTGATCTGACCATGGTCAGAATTAAAAACCATAAGATAGTTTGACAAGGGAAGGAAATTAAATTAGCAAACTTTGAAGCTGTGATGGACTTCTGCATACACAACGGGAAAAAATCCGTTGGAGGGTAGCTATTCCAGCATCACATCATAATCGTACTAAAGCTACAAACATATTTTATGTAGACCTTGACTCCAACGGTGTAAAAAGGTTCATATATGCTTGTTAAATGCATCTTAGCAGCTAAATTGTTGCCTATTTCATTAAATTCCCATTCCAATTTCAAACAGCAAAAACACAATTTTCAGTTGGTTTGTCATACAATATGGATGCAATTGAGATAGAAGGAAAGAACAGAATAAATAATTTTACAGGTTATAGTCACTTACTTCCATGCTCCTAAAGAAGACTCTGGATTTTGGTGAAGCTCTTCTATATTTTGCTATCTCAATAACTGCTTCTTCACTAGGCTTTGACAATGAATTACTATCATCTCGAAAAACCCAAAATTTACTAAGTAGCCTTACTCTTGACAGAACAAACTCAATAAAGTGCATATCATTTGACAAGCATGGGGCATTCCTCAAGGTTATGTCATCTAGATTAGTGAACAGATCATTGGTTTCCAGTGTATTGAAAAATTCTGCATCTATCTCATCATTCTGAGGAAACTCACTTCCCATAATCTGCCAAAATGTAAAAAAATACTTTAAATACTTCCTGTAAAAACATTTTCGAATGACAATATTAAAGTGGAAAAATACTGATGTAATATCACCTCAATGTCCAGAACTCCAATGTTGGGGCACCTCATGAGTAAAGAAAATATACATAAAATGCTAGACACACTGCGGAAGTTTGCATGAAGTGTTAAGCTCTTCAGTTTCTCCAAAGAACATGAAAGTCCATCTAGAGCATTATCCTCAGTTGCCTGAAACAAATACAACAGTTACACTATATATGAGAAGATGGCTCAAGAAAAAACAATATTTTTTTAAGAAGTTTGCTCTTTTTCTTCGAGTCTGTCTTATTTGAACAGAATCGTACATAATAACATTATTTTCAACTAATGCACTGATGACACAGACTAACAAAATAACTTGAATTTAACTTGCTTAATGACAATTAGAACTCATTTGGAAGAACTTTAGTTAGAAATATTAGCACTCTTGCACAGATTTGCCCTCATCAGCCTCACATCTGGTATGTGGTACCACTCCGAACCCAACAACTCATTTTGGTCTTCTATTCCACTTTCTTCTGCTCTAACAATCTCACACAAGACACGCATACAACCCTCCTTGCTCCCTGCTCCCCTAACACTCCTAGTGAACTTTCCTCCAAGTAAAACAGACCCATAGAATCAAGATAGGAAGAATTTTATTCTTTGCCCTGTGCAAGAATTACAAGAATGCTCAAGAAATTGCCCAATGTGAATAGACAGCCATGTAGTCTTGCAAGACTCCTTGACAATTGTCTACAAATTAATTTCATTTATACGGAGGTGGATGACTTAACAAAGAGAGGAGCCAAGCAAGCTTCAAGGGTTGTGTGGAGAACTTACAAAATTCCTGAAGAGGCATTGGCCTAGGAGAAGTGCTACAAGACGAGATTTGATAGTAAAAATTGCTACCTTTTGCATCTGTTTTGGGGCCTGTTTATTAGTCAGAGTTGTAGGTGCTAATCATCAGGTATTGTCTTTTGATGTGGTTTCCTGGTTTGTCTTGCTGCAAGCCCGACAAAAAGTGATGTAAATGGTTGTTTTCGAACCTAGATAAGTAGCTGGTAACCCCAGCAGTTAAGTGTCCTTAACTGTGCTTGTAAAACTCAGTTCCTACTGGGCTTTATGTAAATCAAAAAATATTTCATCTAAAACTGAGGAACTTGCAAGAGCAGGGTATTAGCAAGTCAGGGGAGCACGACTCCAAGGACATGTTTAAGATCAATGGGCAAGAGAATCACAGAAAGAACTGGAGTAGGACTGTAATAGAACCAAAAGCAGAAGCAAGGATCATTCTTCAGAGACTGGATTACCAGTGGCGGACCCAGCACTAAAATTTAGCTATGGCGGTCGATTGATACGACTAGTGTATTATACTATTATACATTTAATTAATGAATTAAATATAATTATACACAAACTACATACTACAACTGCCATTAAAAGATAAAATTACCACTATAATTCTACATTTGTCATGTGATTTTTATAAACGAAATTTTAATTTTCTCTATTTTACATACGTTGTCACTCATATTGAACTTTTTTTCTACATGCTGCTGCCTTTTGTGCCTATGTTTTAGAGCTTGGATGGTCAGGACAATCAACAGTTCTTTCTGAAAGTAGAGTCGAAGTAGTAAACCACCGTTACACTTACATCCATTTAATTAAACCCATAAACTTGTACCAAATCAGATTACCAATTAATCATGTGATTATCATCTAAAATAAAAATGCTAACGACCAATGGACAAACACCTACTTGCTTTGCCGGTGGCCTAGCTAGGCCAATGCCATGGCATGCCACAAGAGAAGGTCTGCTACTGTGGATAGTCAACTGGCATAGATCGGTGACAGTAATTACGGAAATTCAGTAAAAATACACTTCAAGTGATATGTCACTAAGAAGAAAGGTCTAGGTGGGTTATTCACTAAAGATAGCTTAGATACCAGTCGTAAGCATCCCAATTCAGAACAAAACTACACATTGCAAATCCAAAAACATAATCTGAACATAAGTGGGGAAAATCCAAAACAAATTGGATCCAACAGCCTGAAAAATATAAAACATTTCCTTTCTTATAGGCCACTGAAAGAAAATATCACAGAAAAAATGACATGATCCTAGTGTCGCATATTTGGGTTGCTTCTGGTGGTACATTTCAATAAATGACAGAAGAAATTATCACTAACATAAGGTAGATGGCCTCAGTTTTGAATCAAATAGAACTTGACAACTGAATGGTTCATAGCTAGAGAGTTAGAAGGAAAAACATAACAAATGGTCCATAGCTAGAGATTTAGAAGGAAAACCCAACAAATGTTCAAGATGACAATGATGGAAGAAGAAAAAAAAAACAGTTGGGTTCTGTAAACCAATTTACCAGCAAATGAAGCTCAAGCATGCTGACTTGGGCAAAACATGTGAGTAACTGAACAAAATCACGATCAGTAGAATCATCATCAACCTTGACAGTTGCCGTCTGGAGAGAAGGGAGCTCCTCTACCCTCCATAAATAATCGTAATCTGATTCAATAGTCAAATGCTTGAGATTCGGCGCCCGAATCACCCACTCATCCATCTGGTTGCCATCAGTACAAACACTCCTAAGATCCAGCCACTCAAGCAACAGAGACAAGGAGATCATCGCCTCCAAGGTACTCTCCCCATGCTCTGGAAGATTAACCATGGTGAGAGACTTAGCGTGGTTAGATTTGGGAAACCTAAGAAGCCCGAGGGTGCGGCCGGGAGGCGGCAGTTCTCGAGGTAAAGCTCGGTGAGCTCGCGGCAGGAGAACATGGCGGAGTGGATGGTGTGGAACCGCCTATCGTCGAACTCCGCGAAGCCAAGGGTGAGGGACTCGACGCTCCTTCCGGCGAGGAGGACGAGCCACTCATCCGTGACGGCGGAGTGCTCCCTCTCGACCCACCCGGAGCGGAAGGAGGCGACGGGGCGCGAGTACCGCGCGAGGACGGTGGCGACGATGGCGGGGTCAACCTCGCCGCGGTCCCATTCGAAGCTGAGCCCCGGGGAGGTCTCCCAGCGGCGGCGCCATGCGCCGGAGACCGCCGAGGTGCGGACGGCCTCACGGATGCCGAGGCGGGCGACGATGTTCTCCAGGATCTCCGACGGGAGGCAGTCGAGGCTCGGCTGCGCCGCCGACCCCGGCGGCGACGGCGGCCGCAGCTTGCGGCGAGGTGGCGAGCCCTCCATTTTTTATCGGACTCTTCTCCTCGAGGTGGTGGAACTAGGGTTGAGACGGCCGGCGACGCAGTCGGAGAAGAAGCCAGTGATGGCAATAGTTGATGGGCCACAATCAATTACAAAGGCTGAAGCCTATGGGCCATATAGGCTGAAGCCTTTGTAAATTTTGGAGAGGATCCTTGTAAACAGGACTCAAAAAAGAAATGAAATTGAATTTGACAAACTTTCAGAAGAAAGAATGCCAACTTGCCAAGATTCATCATACTTTCATTTGTAAAATACTGACATGAAGCATGTAAACATTAATCACAATGCATATGCACTGCGCAAGTGCACACAACCAACATATAGTATATAGTTTGCGGTATAGGGTCAACTCATGCGACTTGTAAGATTGTGCTACAACTACGACGAGGAGGATGGAATGCCCCATCTCCAGTAAATATACAGATTTGCCAATCGATCGAAGCTGAGTGCTGTAATTACTCATGTTTATTCAAGAGACGACTTTCCATTGAGAAAGATAATGAATAATCACGCCATGATTATCTGAAGCATTTTCAGGAATGTACGGAAGTATGAGTAACTTGGTATAATTGACCATGTGAACCTCCTGTGGATCAAAGGTGCAAAGAGTGCTTCTCTGAGTCTCGATTCTCATGAGTACAGCCATGTATCCTGTCCACCAGAAGAAAATAATAAATATCAGATCATGATTTTCTGAAGGTACTTACAGAAATATAAGAGGGTCAGTTAAAATGTTGTATTCAAATATTTGACCTACTTGATACTACAGAACTATTAAGATCACAATTAGGGTGCAAAAGGGGGAATAAGGTGTTCTACCTTGAAGACCCAGCTAACATGACATTCACCAGCATGGCATTTTTGTAACAAGAGTTATTTAGATATGTGCTAATGCAAAGTGGAAAATTTCGAGACGACACTAAAAAGGTTTCTTTGATACAGTACTGATACAGATGAGAGCGCAATGGCACTCCTCAACCTCAACAGAGACCTAACAATCACTACATTCCTCTACCTCCAGTTGTCTCACCCTTCTCGTTCCACATCCTTTTGGCCAGCAGAACCACTATAGATGCTGGGGAGGCAAAAATCTGGTTTGTGGGTTTGGGTGCTTTTAATAGCACTCGGGTTAGCTGCCAAAATTTGTCATAACTAATTTTTTGTAGCTAACAAAATATGTGTTCCATTGGTGGCTAGAAAATTAGTGTACCTCGACATATGGATTGTATGGCTAACAAAGTGTGACATACTGCAATTGTGGAAACAAACTGAACGCGTGACATGAAAAGTCTACCTTCTCGAACCTGAGTAGGAAGCTCTGGCCAGAAATAAAACAAACAGGCCCTGATAATCAGTTTTATAGCTAATGAGTTATGTGAACATTTTGCATAAGTTCAGGGCTGTAAAATGGACTCATTCCTTTCAGATAATGACATAGCAGTCACTACCTAGTATTAGTAATCAGTGCTTGTTATATTCACCTTAGAACAAATAGTTTATGCATAATTAATTGCTTCCTTGCATCCTAATTCCCAATTCGAAATAGAAAATTGTATGGTTTTCATTTTGACTGCCACAGAGCATATGTCAAATTGATCTGAGAGCATATAACACAAGCAAGTATATGGAACAGGACTTTCAAGAACGAGCCTCTGAAAAGGCTTAAAAATAATCAACAGATAGTTAACAGGCTACTCACCTCCATATCCCTGAAGAATACTTTTGCCTTTGGTGATGCTCTTTTATATTTTGCTAACTCAATAATTGCCTCTTCTCTAGGCTTCGAGTATGAACCAGTATCATCATGATAAATATAAAATTCACCAAGTAATCTTGCTTTGGATAGAACAAATTCAATAAAGCGCATCTCATTTGACCAGCAAGTGGCACTCTTTATGCTAACAAAATCAAGATTTGCAAAAAGACTGTTGGTCCACAGTGCATTTAAAAAATCTATATCTACTTCATCGCTCTGATTCTCATGATCTGTGATCTGCAAAAATCAAAAGACACATTTTAACGGGGTCATGTATAAAGAACTATCAAGGGACAGCATCAACAAGAATGGAGAATAGTAGTAAACATTACCTCAATTTCCAGATGTAAAAGATTGGGAGCTCTCGTGAGTAAACCAAATGTAGATAAAATGCTAGATGCTTTGTAGAAGTTTGTATGAAGAGTTAAACTCCTTAATTTCTGAAAAGAACATGAAATTCCCTCTAGAACATTACCATCTGCGGACTGAGAAAACATACCCATTAGTCCTTAAGAGAAAATAATTTTATAAGAAAAATTATGGAAACATCATGCATTACTTGGTTAGCCACTATGCAGATTTTGAATTACTTAACTAACGAGAAGTACTTTCATTCTGAAAAGCAAACATATATATATATTTGTCATACTAGCTTTTTGCTGGGGGCAGTTTGTTGCTTAAATGATGAATTGTGTAAAACAACATTACATATTCAAAGCAATGCTGATCTGCAGCTTCTATACAAGCACTGCACATTAGAAATAATCGTTTATGTTGCAGAATACGTTTTCAAATACTATTGTACAAGTTTTCAATTTGAACTGAGAAAATTGCAGTAGTTAAAAACGACCCCTCTTGCCCATGAGTCAAGCTACCACTAGCCCCCAATCATGCACAAGAATCAACCTGGCAAACTCATGCATGCGTGTTCATGACCAATTATAAAAAAAGAAAAGAGACCACAATAGAATTACCGGTATAAACAACTCGAGCTCCCCGACTTGGGCCAAAGATGTGAGAAGCTTGACGAAATCGCGATCAATTGAGTAGTCTTCAATATTGATATTAGCATCTTGTATAGATGGAAGATCCTGGATCTGCCATCCGTAATCGATATCGGAAGTAATAGTCAGCCTCTCGAGATTCGGAGCCTGAATTATCCAATCCTCAAAGTCGTCATCAGTAACCTCAACATTGCTAAGCTCCAACGAGACAAGCGACGGGGACATGCGGATCATGGCCTCCAATTTCCTCTCCCCATTCTCCGGGAGGCCAACGTAGACGAGGCTCAACAAGGTGAGATTCGGGAACCCTCCGAAGCCCTCGGGCGCGGTGGGGAGGAAGCAGCGCTCGAGGTGGAGGCTGGTGAGCTGGCCGCAGGCGAAGATGGCGGGGTGGAGGGTGTAGTACTCCACATTGACATCGCTGTAGTCCCAGAACGAGAGGGTGAGGGTCTGGACCCCCTTGGCGGCGAGGAGGGGGAGCCACTCGTCGATGTGGGGGAACGCGTCCGCGCGGATCCCCCAGGTGCAGAACTGGCCGACGCTGCGGGAGTAGCGCGCCAGGACGGCGCAGATGGCGTCGGGGCGCGAGCGGCGGGGCCAGTAGTGGCGGAGGTCGGGGGCGGACTCCCACCGGTGGATCCAGGAGCGGGAGATCGCGGAGGTGCGGACGGCGTCGCGGAGGGAGAGGCGGGAGACGATGTTCTCGAGGAGCTCCCCCGGGAGGGATTCCAGGCTCGCCCCCACCGCCGACGCAGTCGGATCCCCCTCCGGCGGCGGCGGCGGCAGGCGTGGTTTGCGGTGAGGTGGCGAGGTCTCCATTTCGGCCTACGGGGAGAGGCGGAGTCGCCGAGCCGGTGGTCGGCCCGGCGGTTAAAGCCGCCGCCGCCGGACGAGATGGGGGCGGAAGGAGACGTGGAGATGCGGCGGGGTCCAATCTCCAAAGCAGTAGTACAACTGTGGTGGGGTGGGGAATAAGTTCACTTTAGGTCCCTTAACTTGTCAACGAATCCGATTTTCGTCCTCCATCCGCAAAACCAGATACAACGGGTCCCTTAACTTATAAAACCGGTGCAAATTTCGTCCTAAGGCAGTATGGCTAGCGGTTTAGTCCGACGTGGCGCTTTGACCACGGTCAGCGCGTCGCTGAGTCAGCGTCCGTGGGGGGTTCGGTTTTACAGTCAGCAGCGAGGGGAAAAAAAGGCGCGTGTTCTGGTCCTCTCTCAGTGCGAACCCTAGATCGAGTTGTCTCCGGCAACGAAGAGGGGCGCGGCGCCGCAGTTGGAGGCGGAGAGGGCGACGAAGAGAGGAGCGGCGCTAGGGAGGCGCGGCGCCGCCGTTGGAGGCGGAGAGGGCGACGGCGAGGGCCGCCTTAAGCGTCGCACGGCGGAGTGCGTGGCCGCGCAGGAGCAGGAGCTCGTCGGCGTTGTTAAATAGAGGAGCACAGGTAAGCTATTTTGAGCACTGTAGGCTCGATTTAAGTAGTTTTGTTATGGGGATTCTCTTGGATTTGGTGTTATTTAGTAGTTTTGTAGGACAATATTGTTGGATCCGATGGAATTTGGGGCTATTATATTTGCTAGTGGGGGGACAGGGATGTTTGGGATCTGTATGTAGGGGATTTAAATAAGCAGCGGGTTGATTGTTTACTAAAATGTGCATGCAGGACTGTTGTAGTTTGGTGTGATGGATTTGCTGGACAAACTAGTGGTTAGGTTCCATTTCAATGGGGAGTTTGTGACATCTGGGAGGGAGAAGAAGTATTGTGGGGGTAGAGAGGCATTGTCCTATATTGATAGAGATAAGATTTCACTGCCAGAGATATTTGGACACTTGCGAGACCACTGTAAGGTGATGGAAGGTACAATGTTGCATTGGTTGTTCCCTGGGAAGGATTTGAATAGTGGACTTAGAGCTTTGTTGGATGATACGGTTTGTAAGTTAATGGAAGATTGCATAGATGATTTAGGTGTGGCAGAGGTATATGCTGAAGAGCCAACCATAGTTGACCTATGTGACTCATCAGATGATGACAGCAGTTATGAGGCTGATGAGAGTGAAGATGATTCAGAAGAGATGGAAGTGGCAGAAGGTGGTATGGAGGGTACTGAAGATGCAGTAGCTCTTGAAGGAGGTGAAATTAGGACCAAGACAAATGAAGTTAGGAAGGGCAAAGCCATTAGTTCTGAAATTCCTGAGAACCGACTTGTGGTTTATAATTGTGACAATGATCCATTGGCAAGCCAGGCACCTTCAGAGAGTGAGTCTAATAGTGAGTACATTCCTGGAGATGATGCAGGGTCAGATGATGATGAGGAGATCATAGAGATAGAGAAGCACTACAAGGATATGAAGAGAAAGGTGAAGGCAGGACAGCTGGATAATTTAGATGATGTATATCTTGGAGGACAAGGATGGCAAAACATGAATAATGAAGCTGGTGGGGAAGGTGATGGCATTGCTGCTGAGAGCCCAGAGGATGAATCAATGGAGGAGATTGGCACAGATGGTGAGGTTAGCACTAAGGAAAACAAGTTCCCAAGATACAAAAAAAAGGTAGGGACTCCTTGTTTTGAACTGGGCATGAAGTTTAGCTCAAAGAAGCAGTTTAAGAAGGCTGTCACTAAGTATGCTCTAGCTGAGAGGAAGGTTATAAACTTCATCAAGGATGACTTGAAGAGGGTTAGGGCAAAATGTGATTGGGCAAGCTGTCCTTGGGTATGCTTGCTGTCCAAGAATACTAGGAGTGATAGCTGGCAGATAGTTACTCTTGAGAGCTTGCATGCATGTCCACCTAGAAGGGATAACAAGATGGTTACAGCAACTAGGATTGCAGAGAAGTATGGAAAGATTATCCTTGCCAACCCTGGGTGGAATTTGGCCCACATGAAGGCAACTGTCCAAGAGGAGATGTTTGGTGAAGCATCTGTTCCAAAGCTGAAAAGGGCTAAAGCTATGGTGATGAAGAAAGCAATGGATGCAACCAAGGGGCAATATCAAAAGCTATACAACTACCAGCTTGAGCTCCTTAGGAGTAACCCTGGCAACACAGTAGTTGTCAACAGGGAAATAGGCACTGATCCACCTGTGTTCAAAAGGATTTACATATGCTTGGATGCCTGCAAAAGGGGGTTTGTAGATGGGTGCAGGAAGGTAGTTGGCCTGGATGGCTGCTTCTTCAAGGGGGCAACAAATGGAGAGCTGTTGTGTGCTATAGGTAGAGATGCAAATAACCAGATGTACCCCATTGCCTGGGCTGTTGTGCACAAGGAAAATAATGAAGAATGGGACTGGTTCTTGGACTTGCTGTGCAGTGACCTCAAAGTGTTGGATGGAACTGGATGGGTGTTCATTTCAGACCAACAAAAGCTACATTATTATTGTGTTAACATTAATTTTCAAATGCTGCATGTTTGTGAGATGATAACTAAATGCAATTTTGTTTACAATGCAGGGAATCATCAATGCAGTTGAGAAATGGGCACCACAAGCTGAACACAGAAATTGTGCTAGGCACATTTATGCAAACTGGAAGAGGCATTTTAGTGACAAAGAATTCCAGAAGAAATTTTGGAGATGTGCTAAAGCTCCATGTAGGATGCTCTTCAACCTGGCAAGGGCAAAGCTAGCACAGGTGACACCTGCTGGAGCACAGGCCATACTTAATACCCATCCAGAACATTGGAGCCGTGCATGGTTCAAGTTAGGCTCAAACTGCGATTCAGTTGATAATAATATGTGTGAGTCATTCAATAAATGGATCCTAGAAGCAAGATTTTTTCCAATTATCACCATGCTAGAGACAATAAGGAGGAAGGTGATGGTTAGGATTTCAGAGCAGAGAAAGGTTTCTGCTAGATGGAACACTGTGGTCTGTCCAGGGATCCTAAAGAAATTGAATGTGTATATCACTGAGTCAGCATACTGTCATGCTATATGCAATGGAGCTGACAGCTTTGAGGTAAAACACCACACCAATAGGTTCACTGTGCAGCTGGACAAGAAGGAGTGTTCTTGCAGGTATTGGCAACTCTCTGGTCTTCCATGCCCCCATGCAATTGCATGTATATTTTACAGAACTAACACACTGGATGAGTTCACTGCTGATTGCTACAAAGTGGATGCTTTCAAGAGCACATATAAGCATTGCCTACTACCAGTGGAGGGCATGAATGCATGGCCAGAAGATGATAGGGAGCCACTGACTGCACCTGGGTATATAAAGATGCCAGGCAGGCCCAGAACTGAAAGAAGGAGAGAGGCTCATGAGCCAGCTAAGCCTTCTAAGGCATCAAAATTTGGCACCAAGGTCAGATGCAGGACTTGCAAGCAGGTTAGCCACAACAAATCAAGCTGTCACAAACACAATCCAGCTCAAACTGCAGGTGGCAGTTCACAGCAGGTTGCAACACCCAGCCACAATCTTGTACTGTCCAACACCCCCAGAGTTGTGCACAAAGTAGAAAAAGGAAGGCAACTGGCACCTTGACTACCACTACTTCAGCCTCTCAGTCAAAGGCAACCAAGCCGACAAAAAAGGTAAGCTAAATCAGCCATGCCATTTCATTGTGCATATTTTGATTTAAACTAATGTGTGCTTCATCTGATTCTACAGGCACAAATGGAGCCCCTCCAAATTGTCAGAGTGAATGCAAGGGCAAAAATTTCTACACCTTCTGGTGGCTCAGCTAGGGTTGATTTGCAGGCCAATGTTGCAGGCTCCAACAGCTCTACAAGTGCAGCTGTCACTGTTACTTCAGGGAAAGCATCTGTATCTGTTTCAGCTCAAGAACCTGCCAGGACAACTACAAAGAACAAAGCTAAAGTACCACTGCTTCTTCTCCCTCCATGGGAATCTGACAAACTATGATGCATTGTCATTTGTAATGCCAAGCTTTTAGGAATGCTGTGTATAGCAGCTCTGTGATGTAATGGCAAACTTTGAGCCAGCTATGATGTATTTTGTGCAAACTGAGACCTCTGTGATGTAATGCCAAACTTTAGGCCATCTATTATGTGTTTTGCGCAAACTAAGACCTATGTGATGTAATGGCAACCTTTAAGCCAATACTGTGATATGTTATTTGCACTGCTAATGTTTGTCTTCCAGATTTTCATTATATGCATGTGTGCTCAAAACATAACACTTGTTTAGTGAATGCATGTCTGCTGAGAAAGAATATTTGATGACATTTGTTACTCCAGATGCAAACCAGATTTGGTGACTGACAATGTGATGCAAATCAATTTTTGATGCAATGCCACATTTGAAGCAGCTCTGTTGACTGACATTTGGTTCCTGTGATGTTTCCTAATTTATATTGGCTACATTCTATCATACAAAACATAATTGCTGCATATTTGTACACAACACACATACATGACATTGCATTCAGCAATTTTGGCAAGACATTCAGAACTTCACATTTCATTGATAAATTTTTGCACCTCACAGTTCTGCCACACATTTTTTTTCCATCAAACATTGAGGCCATGCCCACACAATATCAGTTCTTGCCCAGCACTAATAGAATAACAACACACATACATGACAGGATGCACCAAATGAGCACAGTTCGCTCCTTCTCTAACCTACATTTGCTATCAATTAAAACAGCATTTTTCACATCCAACTCACTAACCAACTCCCTCACTAAAGCCAACTCCCTCCCAACTGAAGCAAACTCCCTGCATTGCTCTTCAGACTTCACACGAAGTTCCTCAACCTCCTTCACTGCATCTGCCTTCTCCCTCCTCAGAGAATGCACAGCACCTCGCAAATCATTCAACACCTCCCTCGGAAAGCTGCTTGTCGGGCCATCATGCCAAGCATAAAAATCGCAGCCCCCTTTCTGTGCGTCAAAAACCCTAATATTTAGGCCCCCAATCCGAAATAAAACCAATCCAAAATTAACACGGCAAATTCACTCACCCGAGCATTGCGGCACTTGAAATACCGACAACCAGGGTTGTCGACGCTCCAAGATATCCACCTCGCCGCCTTCAGTTCGCACCGACACAGCACCGCTGGTTCGTACTCGAACGGACCAACGCGATAGGGAATAGGCGAGCCATACGGTTGCCTGGCCGAAGACGACGACGACCCCTCACTCCTTGAGCTTCCCATCGCCGCTCCTCCGCCGTCCGAATCACGACGCCGCCGCCGTCCGAATCGCTGCAACCTACACGCCGAAAAGCTAGGGTTTCTGAAATGTGAGAGGATTGGCGCCGAATGCGCGAGAAGCCTTTATTCCCCAACGGCCGTGCTGACTCAGCGGTCAAAGCGCCACGTACGACAAGTCAAAGCGCCACGTCGGACTAAACCGCTAGCCATACTGCCTTAGGACGAAATTTGCACCGGTTTTGTAAGTTAAGGGACCCGTTGTATCTGGTTTTGCGGATGGAGGACGAAAATCGGATTCGTTGACAAGTTAAGGGACCTAAAGTGAACTTACTCCGTGGGGTGGAGCAACAGAGAGGACGTGAACTCGCAAAAGGCCCATGGGCTAATGGGCCAAGGCCGAAAGCTACTCTCAGCCTCGCCAGTTACCCATATTTCCAAGGAATAAGTTCACTTTAGTTCCCTCAATTTTTTTGCCGAGTCCGAAATTCGTCTCTTGAGTGCAAAACCGGGTAGAACGGATCCTTCAACTTACAAAACCGTGCAAACGAGGTCCCTTGGTAGTATTGTGCCTGGTTTTGGCTGATGTGGCGCCTACGTGGCTGCTTTGACTAGGTCTTCATCCCATGTGGCATCGACGTGGCGCTTACGTGGCAATATAAATAAAAAAATATAAAATCATGGGACCCACATGTCAGTTTCACACACCAAATAATAAAAAATGGCGGGACCCACGCGGGTCCCACATGTCATCCTTACTCCTCTCTCTTCTCTCTGTCCCCCTCTCTCAATCTCCCCTGCTCTGCAGTCTGCAAGAGAAGACCGGAGCGGTGGCGCGCGAAGTCGGCAGGGCGACGGCGGCCCGAGCGGCAGCGCGTGAAGCCGGCGAGGCGGCGGCGAAGAGCCCGCGGGAGTCGAGGTCGTCCGGGGAAGCAGTGGCGACGGCGGCCGGACCGGCGACGCGGCGGTGGGTGGGCGAAGCGGCGGCGGAGAGCCCACGGGAGTCGAGGTCGGGGGGCGGGGGGGGGGGGGGCGGAGCAGCGGCGGCCTTGGGAACGGCGCGTGGGCGCCGGAGTGGCGGCCTCCCTCCTCCCGGCCAATGCGCCTTGCTGCCTCGCGCCCAAGCCGGATGACGCCTCGATCTCCCGTGAGCCAGGGCGTGCATTGGGCGATGCCAAACCTACCAATTTTGTTCTTTGGAGTTCAGTTTTCCCTTAAATCCATCCTTTTGGAGTTCAGTTTTCCCTTAAATTTTGGCAAACCTACAAATTTTGTTCTTTGTCCTCAGGAAAGCTTGAAGCTTCATTGATATAAAAAAAAGAGAAATATTTTTTGCATGATGCGAAAGTACTTGTTCTGATTCTTGCAGAATCTGATATGATCATTGGCTTTGCAGGTGAAAACAAGACAGAGTTGCTGTGCTTCTCCTTGCAGTGAGTGATTAATTAGGGTTGTTAATGCCATGAACCAGTTCGTCCCTGATTGGAACACCACCAGCATGGGAGACAGCTTTGCACCATTAGGGTTCGTGCGTTCCTTAGATCGAAGCTGGAGATCTTTCCATGGATTGGAGGCGATCAGATGAGTGATTCTTTGGTTATTGTTGTTGCAGCGAAGACGACGGGCTCATCGAGCTGCTCTGGTGCAATGGCCACGTCGTCATGCAGAGTCAGGCGCCCGGAAGCCGCCGAGGCCGGAGAGGACGGCGACGGCGGCGATGGCGGAGGATGAGTCGGCGTCGTGGTTTCAGTACCCGGAGGAGATGCTCCCGCCGATGCCGCCGCCGCCGCCCTTCTCCACAACGCCCGCAGTCGCGGCCGTCTGCGCTCTATGGCCCCGCGCGTCGCCCGCTTCTGCCGACCGCCACTCGCCCTGCTCCATCAGCCGGAGAGAGAGAATGGATAGAGGGAGAGGATAGAGAGAAGAGGGAGGAGCGAGGATGATAGGTGGGGCCCAACGTGGGTCCCACCAATTTTTAATTTTTTGTGTGTGGAACTGACATGTGGGTCCCACGGGTTTTTATTATTTTTTCAGATTAAATTGCCACGTAAGCGCCACGTCATATTAAGACCGAGTCAAATTAGCCACGTAAGCGCCACGTCAGCCAAAACCGCCCTAAAAACCGCCGAGGGACATCATCTGCACCGGTTTTGATAGTTGAGGGGCCCATTATATCTGGTTTTCCGGTTGAGGGATGAAAATTAGAGTCGTTGACAAGGGACCTCAAATGAACTTATTCCTATTTCCAAATAAGTCATTTTAGCTTATTAGAAAATAAAAAAATTAATTTAAAGATACTTTTATATGTATTCTTAACGAGTTAAAAAGTCAATATAAAAACTATGTTTAAAATATCTTAAAATTAACTTCTAAAATAAGTTTCAAAATTTATATTTTGGCTTTGGCTTTGGTTTATTAGGCCAACCGATGGAGCCTTATGTTTCTTCCCACTGAATTTTCGCAAGAGTGGAGGAAATTCATAGCTCCAAAAAGAAAGTACAATTTTTTTTCTTCCGTTCTAATAGTAGTATTTTTTTTCTTCTTTCGTTCTTTTTGATGATTTTTTTTATCCATAATTCACCGGATAGCAGACGCCCGATTGGCCTGAGGAAGCTCAACTCTTATCATAACCAATTTTACTAGTCCGAAAGGAGGGTTGATGCAAGGTATATTAGATCATACTTTTACAAAAGAGAAAATGTTGAACCAGTACCACCAATTGGGCTGGAAATTACTTATAACCACCATAGCTTGCTTTGAGCCTGAGCATTCTACAAGGAAATGTTTTTAAACACAGGATTCCCCTATGGCAGGAACTACCATGGATGCTCTCTGCCCAGGTAGAACAAATGGGACAGCACAGCAGTACAGCACTGCCATCATGTGCTGGGATGCCCCTCTAGTGAACCATAATAAGATAACTAGAGCACAGTGATTCTAACTGAAAACCTCAATAATGGAAGGTAAAAGGGACTGAATCCTCATTCCTGAATTAATAACATTGGAAAGCACGATTCAGATCTCATTTCATCAAAATATATAGGCAAGATGTATGCCAGGCTGCCACGTACTCTTGCAGATGTCATACATAATACATTATACATGTTTACTGGAGATGCAACACATCTAGGCAGCTAGGGAGATATGCTTCCACTGAATACAAAGGACAGAAAGGAAAAAACAGGAGAAGTTCAGGTGCCCTGCAAAATCAAGCTAGCAGCCTGTAGCCAGTCATCCACGGATGAATCTGAGCCTAGCTAACGGCGATGCTCTTTTGTATTTTGCCATCTCTATGCATGCCTCCTGGTAAGATGGTATACCGCTAGAGGTAACACGAACACGGAGCTGTTCTAGCGATCTTGCTTTGGATAGGACAAACTTGATGAAGCACATCTCATTTGAGGAGCAGCTGATACTATGTAACCAGACATCGAAGTCTAGGGAAAATGTCGTCGCTTGTTTGCGCATTTGCGAATCCTTCGACAGTTCCATCATCCACTAAATCATCATAACAACCAACCTACCAAAAAAGAACACAATTGCAAATGTTGCAAATGGAAATCAATAACTCAACCAGACAAAATAAATCTTGTAACTGTTGCTTATTGAAAAGATGTGCAAAATCTTTTGAGTATTCACGATCGTGGAACTATAATATGTAAAGAACTTTCTAGGGTTTTCTATATTACCTCGATTTCAAGTTTTTCCAGGTTTGGGGCACATCTTAGTATAGAAAAAACCAATGAAGTACTTGAAATTTGGTCTAGACAAGCATGCAGGTCTAATGACCTCAAGTTCTGAAATGTGAATGAAAACCTCTCTGGTGGATTATCACTGAACTGCAAATCACAGTAATATGTTAGATTTGCTCTAGACAAGCAAGCAGGTCTAATGACCTCAAGTAATGCAATATGAATGAAAATCTCTCTGGTGGATTACCATTAAACTGCAGGTCGTAGTATATATATATATATATATATATATATATATATATATATATTGGTAAAAAGCAATGCAGGTGCAATGACCTGTCTGAAATGTGAACGAAAACATCTCCGGCGGATCACTATTGAACTCAAATTCGAGCTTACATTGAGATGCTCTAGTCTTAAGCAGTGGAGTAATACATAAAAATTGGAGATACTATAATACTAACTGTAAAGGACTCTCTAAGCTTCATGTTTATGAACTGTTTAAATTTAGAGAGTATATGGTGTAGTAAAGTACCTGATGCATAAGTGCATTGAAGTCGAGGCTCTCCACATGAGCAATCCCTTCCAAAGTTTTGCACAAGACTTGAGTGGTGACTTCTGAATCCAAGAAGATGACAGCATCCTCCAGACGCGGGAGCTCCCCTATCCTGCAGCCAAAATCCTGATCAACTGCCCAAATCCTAAGGGACCGGATGTTTGGTCCCCGGACGAACCACACCTCCGAGTGGTGGAAGCTGTGCACGTTGTCGAGAGACAATTCGAGGAGAAGCGGCGAGGCGGCGATCATCGCCTCCAGCTGCCTTTCCCCGTGTGGCGGGAGTTCGACCTCGGAGAGGGAGAGCTTGGTCAGCTTCAGGAACCCCACAAACGACGGCGGCTGCGGCGGTGGGAAGGTGCAACCCGCAAGGCTCAACGAGGAGAGCTCTAGGCAAGAGAAGATGCTGGGATCGAGGTTGTGCTTGCCTTCGATGATGGAGATCATCTCGAAGTAGAGGTGGAGGGACTGGACGCGCTTGCGGGGGAGGAGGCGGAGCCAGCGGACGGCGCGGTGGAACCAGCGCCGGGGGACTCGGAGGGTGACCGTACGGACGGGCGCGGCGGAGCGCTTCAGGACGGAGGAGATGGCGGCGGCGGGGTCGGAGGATCTGAAATCGAGGTCGAGGCCGCGAACTGAGCGCCATCGGCGGCGCCAGGCGTGGGAGAGGACGGAGGTGCGGACGACGTCGCGTACGCCGAGGCGGGAGATGATGTTGTCGACGATCTCCGGTGGGAGCGCGGCTAGGTAGTCCGGCTCTACCGCCGGTGAACGGCGGCGCTTGGCCTCTCCGGACGGCATTTCTTCGTTTTCTTTTTTGAGGCGACGATTGAAGTTCGCAATTGAGCGCCAAGAGAAAGCCCTCGTCCAAAATTTGGGCGCCAAAAGCCAGTCCAGACTGTCCAGTGCACGACGGTACGAGTGGGCCGTTGCTTGGGGAATTCGTTCGTCCCAAAACCCAAAAAAAAAACATAAGGGCTGTTCACTTTAATGTCATTTTCAATCATATCATTTTTTATAAAGTTACTAAAAGAATGTCTACGTTTATTTTATTGCTAAATTTGGTAATTACATAAGAAATCTTGTCAAAATTTTAGCAATAATAACAACTTGCCAAATTTTGTTAAGGTTTATTTTGGCTACAATCTGAACAGACGGAAATGCTAATGGGCGGGTGATCGCTCCCCCGTCCGCCCAGCGATCACCCGTCCGCCCTCTCCCCTATATTCGATACACTCCTCCCTCCTCTCCCCCCTTCCTCCTTCCCTTCTTCTCTTCCTATTACAGTACACCACACAATTTTATTTAAAAAAAACAAAAAGTTAGAAAAAATTTATGTATAGAATACTATATAAAAAAATTGAATTTAAATTCAAATTTGAATCGGCTATGTAAACTTTTGGCTTATAAACTTTGGGTCTATAAACTTTAGGTGTAAATATTTGAATTCAAATTCAAATTTGAATCAGATATAATTCAAATTCAAATTTGAATCGGGTATGTAAACTTTTGACTTATAAACTTTAGGTCTATAAACTTTAGATGTATAAACTTTAGATGCATAAAAATACTATATATAGAAAATATTTGAATTAAAATTCAAATTTGAATCAGATATAATTCAAATTCAAATTTGAAACGGGTATGTAAACTTTTGACTTATAAACTTTGGGTCTATAAACTTTAGGTGTATAAACTTTAGATGTATAGAAATACTATATATAAAAAAATTTGAATTCAAATTCAAAATTTGAATCGGATATATAAACTTTTGACTTATAAACTTTGGGTCTCTAAACTTTAGATGTGTAAACTTGAGGTGTATAAACTTTAGGTGCATAAATTTACTAAAATAGGAAAGTAATACGGTGCCAAAAAAGAAACCAGGTGGAGGGAGAGAGAGGGGAGGAGATCAATCGCTACCCCCATCTCCAGGCGATCGATCGCCCATTAGGATCCCCCTGAACATGCCCTTAACTTAAACAGGGATGTGTCATGTGACCTCTCTGAATATAAATCTAAAAAAAAATTGTTGTACTAGAAGTCATATCATCTCAAAGATTGAGCTTTTTTTTGAAAGGAGTACTTATGGCATGTTTAGTTGGTGAAATGAAATTTTTTTTGTGTTAAATCAAACGTTTGACCGGATGTCGGAAGGAGTTTTCGGACACGAATGAAAAAACTAATTTCATAACTTGCCTGAAAACTACGAGACAAATCTTTTGAGCCTAATTAGTCCGTCATTAGCACGTGTATGTTATTGTAGCACTTTATGGCTAATCATGGTCTAATTAGGCTCAAAAAATTCATCTCGCGATTTACATGTAAACTGTGCAATTGGTTTTCTTTTTATCTATATTTAATTCTTCATATATGTGTCAAAGATTTGATATGATGTTTTTGGGAAAAATTTTTGGGAACTAAACAGGGCCTTAACATTGCCATAAGATAGTTTGCAGTAATGAACAGTGATATAATTATAACATATCATCTGTGATGAAATGGGGTTCCCAGAAGGTTGACCTTTCCAGCTTAAAGGTTGATGAGAACAATAAGCGGAATACATCAACTTAATGTTGATAAAATGCAGAGGAAAAATTGCAAACCTTGTCATTCACATCTTTTTTTTCCAACTCAAGATGTAAACAATGACACGTAAATTGTATTTTGATTAACTCTTATACTACCTCCGGGTTAGTAATACATGTCATCTTGGATGAGGCTATTATTCAAATTAAAAAAATTAAACTAGAAATAACATCTGAAATATTTATCTTATAAAAAACACTTTAATGAAATAATATATTTATTGATATGTCTACATATATTGTAATAAAAAATAATGATCAAAGTTGCTATTTGAAAACTACGTCATTATCTAAAATGATAAGTATTATCAGCCTTTAGAGGGAGTATAACAAATTAGCAAATGATATGAGGATAGAAGATTAATTTTCTGATCGTATTTATAAATGGACTGGTAAGGTCATTAACTCATTATTGATTACATCGAATTAGATGTTTTTATTTATTTTTTTTGAAGAGGCCTATAATTAAATAGACAAATACTCCCTCCATACTCGTATAGGGAGTCGTTTTGGATAGCGACACGGTCTCCAAAACACAACTTTAACTTCTTGTTTTTATAAAAATATTTATTGAATATACTTTTATGAAAGTATTTTTCAAGACAAGTCTATTCATATATTTTTTTACATTTTTAAACTCAACAACTTAAAAGTTATTTATGATTTATATTCTCAATGTTTGACTTAAACATTGTTCTAAACGACTTTTTTTACGAGTACGGAGGGAGTACGTGTGCCCCAGCTGCAAATGGTGATCAGTTGCACCTTCTGAGCTTGATCAAGTCACGCAACTACATCATTTGAATGAAAAGAAATGATATTATGGTGAAAAATGATGAAGAAACAGAGTGGCATAAGCTTTTAATTATTCCAAAATCACCATTTTGTTATTCTCATTAGTGAAATATGGATGGAATTTGAAGGCAGAAATTCAGAATATGATCATAAACAACCTTGCAATTAGGGTAAAGAGATAACTAAAGCACAGTGATTCTAACTGAAAAACCTGAAGATTGGAAAAGTAAAAGGGATTGAATCCTCATTCGGGAATTAATAACAATGGGAAGGCATTATTTAAACTTCATCAAAATATATAGGCAAGCAGTATGCATTACCTACATAGGCACACTATTGCAGATGTCATGCATGTTGCCTGATGGAAATTCAACATCCACACAGTTCAACAGAGATATCTTTCACTGAATACAAACAATGGGATGAAAAAGCATGAGAAGTTCAGGTGCTCTGCAAAGTCAAGCTAGCCAGTCATCCACGGATGAGTCTGAGCTTAGCTAACGGCGATGCTCTTTTGTATTTTGCCATCTCTATGCATGCCTCCTGATAAGATAACCTACTGGAGGTGACACGAACAGAGAACAGTTCTAGCGATCTTGCTTTGGATAGGACAAACTTGATGAAGCACATCTCATTTGAGGAGCAGTCAATACTATGTAACCAGACATCTCGAAGTCTAGGGAAAATGTCATCACTTGCTTGTGCGTTTGCGAATCCTTCGACAGATCCAGCATCCACTTCATCATCATCACAATCAACCTACCAAAGGAAGAACATAATTTGTGAATTGCAAATGTTATAAATGCAAATAAATAACTCAATCAGCCAAAACAGATATTGGAACTCTCTGCTTATTGAAAAGATCCGCGAATTGTTTGCGCATTCACGATCTAGCCATCTAGGAACCATAATATGTAAAGTAACTTTCTGGGGTTTTCTACATTACCTCGATTTCAAGTGTTTCCAGGTTCGGGGCACTTCTAAGTATGCAAAAGACCCAAGAAGTACTTGAGATTTGATCTAGACAAGCATGCAGGTCCAACGACCTCAAGTTCTGAAAAGTGAATGAAAACCTCTCCGGTGGGTTACCATTGAACTGCAAATCACAATAGTACATTAGATTTGGTCTAGACAAGAATCCAGGTGTAATAACCTCAAATGTGAATAAAAACCTCTGGTGAATTACCACTGAATTTAGATTCGAGTTTACATTGAGCTGCTCTAATTTTTACCCACTAGTGAGTATAAAAACTGTAAAAGGATTTTAAGTTTCATGGTTTGCTAACTGTTAATTAAAAATTTGGAGGGCACGGGACGCACGGTGAAGCAACTAGCAAAGTAAAGTACCTGGTCTGTAATTGCATCGAATCCAAGAGTCTCCGCATGACTAATCCCTTCCAGAATTTTGCACAAAACTTCAGTCTTGATGGCCGACGCGAAGACGATGGCGTGCTCTAGCCGCGGGAGCTCCCCTATCCTGCAGCCATAATCGTAATCCGTCCAGATCCAAACGGACCGGAGGTTTGGTCCCCGGATGAACCACCTCTCCCAGTGATGGAGGCTGCGCACGTTCGAGAGAGACAGCTCGACGAGAAGCGGCGACGCGGCGATCATCGCCTCCAGCCGCCTCCCCCCGTGGCGCGGGAGGTCGATCTCGGAGAGGGACAGCTTGGTCAACTCCGGGAACCCCACAAACGACGGCGGCGGCGGCGACGGCGGGAAGATGCAGCCCTCGAGGACCAGCGTGGTGAGCTCCAGGCAGGAGAGGATGCTGGGGTCGAGGCTGGGCTTCTCGCCGAACACGAACTCGAAGTGGAGGTCGAGGGACTGGACGCGCTTGCGGGGGAGGAGGCGGAGCCAGTGGACGGCGCGGCGGAACCGGCGACCGGGGACTCGGAGGCCGAGCCCGCGGACCGGCGCGGCGGCGCGCTTCAGGACGGAGGAGATGGCGGCGGCGGGGGCGGAGGATCTGAAGCTGAGGTCGAGGCCGCGGACGGACTCCCAGCGGCGGCGCCAGGCGCGGGAGAGGGCGGAGGTGCGGACGACGTCGCGTATGTCGAGGCGGGAGATGATGTCGTCGACGATCTCCGGCGGGAGGCCGGCCAGGAAGTCCGGCTCCGCCGCCGGCAAACGGCGGCGCTTGGCCCTATATTCTTCGCGCGGCATTTTTCCCTTTTTGGGTCGCCGTCGATTTTACTTCGCAAATCGCATTTGAGCCCGGGCTTTAAAAGCTAACCAAAATATTTTGCCGCGAAAGCACGATCTTAGCCACATTTTTCGCGGGAAAGAAATTGTTCCCCAAAAATTTTCGGCGGTCAAAAACCAGTGACACAAACTCCGAAAAGCATGATGGGCGATCACCCCTCCTCCACCTCCACGTGATTTTTTTTACACCACATTACTTTTCTATTTTAATAAATTTATATACCTAAAAATTATACACCTCAAGTTTACACATTCAAATTTTATACACCTAAAGTTTATATATCCGATTCAAATATGAATTTGAATTTAAATATTTTTTATATATAATATTTCTATACATCTAAAGTTTATACACCTAAAGTTTATAAGCTCAAAGTTGATAGTAGTAAGTCAAAAGTTTATAAATCTGATTCAATTTTTTATATATATATAGTATTTTCATACATAATTTTTTCTAACTTTATCTTTTTATAAAAAAATATGATGTAGTAGGAAGAGAATAAGGGGAGGAGGAAGGAGAAGAGGAGCGCGTTAGGGGGGATGGCCGGATGGGGGTGCCCATTAGCAACCCCCACAAACCCACAACTCACAAATAATATACTATCTTCATCTCAAAATATAACTAGCTAGGACAGGATGCGAGATATAGGTATATTATTATAGTACAGGGGAAGTAATCGCTTGTACTCCATCTACACGCCTACGACGATCCGGAACTTATCATTGGCGAATCCGATTCTGCTTCGAGTTGGTGCTCTTCTGATCCGATTCGGATTCGAGCTCGAGCCCCTTATATCGAGGCATCGTCACGGCAGCTCAGGCAGTCAAGCTCTCAGCTCAGACGAGAACTCAACAACTCGAGCAATCACACCGGTTCACCGTCGTCGTTGCTCTAGCGCCGCCGCCGCGAGCTCGCCCGCGTCATCATGCCGACACCGTACGCTCCGCAGCAGGTGAGGAAGCAGGGGCGGATCCCACGTGATTCATGGGTATTCACCTGAATACCCATATAATTTAAAAAAAAATAACTATATATAGGTATGTTATGCATATATACATGAGAAATTAGAAGGAAGTACAGCATGTATATCCCAAATGAAAAGAAGCCCATTTATTCGCAGCAGACCATACATTCCTCCCCATCTTGGCCCAACGAATAGGCCCACTGGCCCAAAAACGAACAAAACCCTAGTCTCTATCCCCCGGTCAGCCAGTCCCCACCCCTTCTGTCGTCCCAGCCCCAATCCGCCGCGCCTCCACTCATCCCCACCGACGGGCGACGGGGCATCGAGAGCTCAACGCTCGGCGGCGCCGGCCGCCGGCTCGGCGCGTCGCCAGAATCGCCACCAGCCTCATCTCCCTGGACCCTGGTCCCTGGGCCTGCTGCTGCGGAGGCGGCGTGGCTTGCGACGACGCCGCCGCCTCCTCGGGGACGGGCAACGCTGAGCAGCTGAGGTTCGCACGGACGGCGGCGGCGCTGCGGCGCACGGCGGCAGCCGGTTGCGGCGACGCACCCCCGCGTCGGCGCGTCCCCTTGGTCCCTAGACAGCTGGACAGTGGACTGGCACTGGTAAAATAAATCCTCTTGTCAAATTCCCCAAGCGATTGGCCATTGCTTAATTGCTATTGCTTAGAAGTTAAATTAGTCAGAAATTTGAACTGGAGGTCTTGAAATTTGAAAAATGAAGAAGAAGAAGACAATAGATTTGAAGTCTTTGTGGGAAAGGTCAACCAAGTCTCAGAAAGTAGCTTCCACCTCTGATCCAAAACCATTAACCATTGAGAGTGAAGTTCAGATCCCAGAAAATACCCCTTCTAGTCCTATTCAGCTACTACTTGAAGCACCCAATGCCCATGATAGTGATATGTCCCCAAGTGTGCAGTTGGAGATAGACATCTTGACTATTGTGCTACTGTTTGTACCTTTAAGGCTTTAAACATGTCATTACCACTCCTGTATGATTTTCCTAGTCCAATTTTTTGAGTTCTGTATGATTTTTTTTCAACTTTGAATACCCTTTGCTCAAATCCTGGATCCGCCACTGTGAGGAAGGTGCTCGCCGCGCGGCGGCGCGATGACAAGAACGGCCAGGTCAGCGGGAGGGCGGCGTCCCTTCCGCCTGCGGACGAGACGACGAAGGCGGCGACGACGGCGACGGAGAAGGAGGAGGCGGCCGAGGTCGTCGCACCGGCGCCGGTGGGCTACTTCTCAGCGGTTGCTCCGATGGCGCTGTGGACGCGCGTCACGACCGGGAGACGTTGATGCTGATGCTGCTGGTGCCAGGGTTTGACTTACCGTCGGTAACCGCGCGGTTACCGGCCTTACCACGGGGTATGGTAATAGAAAAACCGCGATAACCGCCTTAAATTCAAATAAATTTTAAAAATAATTTGAATTTTTAATAAATTTTGCACGGTTTCATACGGTTTTTCATGATTCCCGCGCGGTAATCGTGCTTACCGCCGGAACGCGGTAACCCCGGTCCCAACGGTTTTGGAAACCCTGGAGCCTGGTGCGCGAGGAGATTAGCAAACGGTCGTTACAAAACTCAAGTTTTAGGCGGATTTGTAGGGAATGATGGTTAGAATTGTTACCGTGCCATTTTGTTTTTATTTCCACTTTCGACGTGTTGTTGCTTAGCTTAGAGAGGAGAAAAAAAAAAGAGCATCTTTAACTATCTCTCCAAATCTAACTCTCCAAATATCTATTTGGCCAACTCTTTATCTAATTTAGCCGGTCAAACTCTTATTTACTCCAACAACCTCTCCATTCATCCTCTCTATTATGAGCCTATGACAGTGGGACCCACGTGTCAGTCTTTACAACCCTTTATTCTTCCTCATCTCTCCCCCCTTTTCCCCAAACCCCCTCTGCTCAGCTCGTAGTAGGTGCCGCCGCCATCGTCTCATCGCCATCCGCCGCCGCCGCTCGGGGCAAGCTCGCGTGGACGCGGGGCGGCCAATCGGTGTGGGCAGCGAACACGACGGCAGGAGCGAGACGGCAGCGTCCTCTACTACATGCCGCACCGGCCGAATCCGCCGGGGCATGGCGATGACGACGGCAGGCGACGATGACCTCGGCTGGCGACGGATCTGGCGACAGCACCGACAACGGCTGGCGATGACGTCGATGACACGGCGTCTGGCAACGACGACCTCGGAGACGACGGTTGACGACGGCGCCGACGACAGCTGGCGACGGCGCAATGACGACCTCGCGGATCTGGCGACGACGCGATGACGGCGGCGTCCGGCAACAACGGATCTGGCGACGGCGACGGCGGCGTTCGGCAACGACGACCTCGACAGCACCAGCGATGTCATCTCGATGACGACGATTGGCGGAGAGAGAGGGAGAGAGGGATGCTATCGGCGTGGGGCCCACGATTGGCTAGGCTATCTTGTCTGGCCAAATTTGGCTAGTGCAAGGACTTTGGCCAGCCGGATGGCTTGGCCAGTCCGATAGCCAGTCTGTTGGATGGTGAAATTGAGCTAAAATTGCCAAAATTTAACTTAGAGGGGGATAAGGACACTGTTGGAGATGCTGTTAGAGAACACATTTTTTACGATTGTGTACTCCCTCCGTACTCGTAAAAGAAGTCGTTTTGGAGAGCGACACAGTCTCCAAAACATAACGTTCACTTCTTGTTTCTATAAAGATATTTATTGAAAAGTGATATATGTATATTTTTATGAAATTATTTTTCAAGACAAATCTATTCATATAATTTTTATATTTTCAAACTCAACAACTTAAGAGTTAATCATGATTTATATTTTTAAGGTTTGATTTAACATTGTACTAAACAATCTTATATAGGAGGGAGTTAATCTAATTACCCAGTAAAAAAAAGTGTTCCTGCCCACTAGTCACTACCATTGTTATTGAGTTAAGATTTTTAACGCGGTTACAATGTTATTGCACTGATTTGATTAGTAAGCACGCCCCCCGTGCGCGTCCTGGCGATTCAAGTGGATCTGGGGCTTTCTTCTGCTACAGTGCTACTCCGTGCACTGCACTGCTGGCCCCGCTCCCCATTCAATGGGCTCATGCTACTGTGCCAGAGTCCCGAAACGCACGAACACGGAAGCGTACGTACGTACGTGCCCGGGACCGGACTGCACAAACCCAAACGTGTGACGCTGCCATTCTGCGTGAACCAAGTACGCTTTTTTTTTTCATCGTAAAAAAAAAAGAAGTACTCCTACAGTTTTTTATTTTATTTTTTTTCCTAAACGGAAGTTTTGGTGCGAAGGAAGAGCCGGATTCAGCAAAGAAATTAATTAACAATTCAGATGGGTCATTGGGAACAGAGGAGTAGGGGAGGACCGAGCCGTGCCATTTCTCTTTGTTTCTTGTGCACGCTCGTCGATGGCTTTAGAGCAAGGATAATAATATAGCTAACTTCCTACTATTAGTCTATCTTAAAGCCAACCTATATAATAGATTAGCTATAAGGTTAGCTACAATTTTCTTCTCCTCTCTCTATCTCTCACTTATATATTTAATGTACTTGTCTTTGAGTTTGTGATAAGCTAGCTCTTACATGAGAGTCAACATCTTTAATTTTTCACTACCTTTCTCCTCCACCTAAGTTTATAGTAGGCTTATAACTCATTATTATACTTGCTCTTATTAAACATTTTTCGTAGCACACGGGCTATGGTCCTGTGATGCGATGCCCACTTTGTCAGCAGTAGTGGTTGCCTAGATTTATATCTCTTTTAGAAAAGGTTAAAATCACCTGGAGAGTGCACGTACTACGGACGTGCCAAGTCTTTCAGTATTAGCGGCCGCTTCAGGACTCGAAGTCGAAGGTATCGAGCAAGCAAAAGCTCCGTTACCGATGGTTTTAAAAAAAAACTAGTACTACTCCATTAAGGTTAGATCAAAAGTATTTTTTTTTTCATTTCAGTTATCAATTTCTAGTTTAAAATTTCTTAGATTTTTTTCAGGTATAAAATTGTTGTAAAAACACTAAAATGATGGAAATTACAGAAATCAGTTATGAATGTTTATATTAAAGTATAAGGTTTAAATCTTAAACATCTTTAAATTGTGAATGTTTGTTTATTTTTAGATGAAGAAGTAGGAACCTCCTCTACACGTGCAGGTGGGCGTACGTGCCGTTGCAAATCTCTCATCAACTTGGAAGCTGGCTTTAATTTGCAGTGCGTTTTACGCCCCATCTTGCTTGTTTACTCTCTAAAGCCATCTTTTGAATTGAACAACTTGAGTTCTATATATCGGTGTATCCGATCCATTTGCTGTACTAATTGGGGGTTTTAAATGTGCTAATAGGGCGAACTGATGGCTGCTGGTTTCTTGGCTTAGCTTATTTGAGGACTCCATACTTTTTGCCGATCTGATTCGGTGCGCGATATACGTTGCTTTGGCCCGCAGTTTACATTTCGATTAGTATTTTCTTTGTGATCCAACCTTATTCCGTATTGCAAGTTGCTTGCTTTCAAACTCGATGCATGGTCAAAAGTCTCGCATGCGAAAATATGAAGTAGTTTAATTTTCTTTTTAAAATCCAATAGATGCCTGCTACATCCGTATTAAATATACGATGCATCCGATTTATGTAATTCTTTTGACTAACCCTATTCATATTTTTTTTGAAATATTTATATAGATGGACAAACATATAAGACACGCTTTATTTTTTTTATGATATACCCCATTTTTACTTTGTATAACTAATTAAATAATTTATTAAATGCTACTCCCTCCATTCTAAAAACAGAAGTAATTTTTGAATTTAAATCTTATTGCATAATATAAGGTTTTTTTAGCATCACTCACGGTACCATTGGTCTCATCAATCACTTCTATTTAGTTTTCTTCTCATTGATCTTATCTTCAACCCCTTCACTGCTAATTATTCCTTAATAAGGGTCATTGTTTGTAGAAAAAAACATATGAATTTTTTGAGGATTTCAATCCTATATAAATTCTTTTTGATGAAAGCATTTGAAACAAAGGATTAAATCATATATTATCCTTTGAAATTCCTGTAAAATGGACAATCTTGGAAATTTAGTACTCCCTCCGTCCCAAATTGTAAAGTTTATATTTTTCACACGGTTTTCAATAATGTATTTTGACTAGTAGTTTATTTCAATCTATGATCCCAACAAATATCATCACATGAAAGTACTTCAAAATATGAATCTAGTGATATAACATGCATAATACTTAATATATAATATAGTTAGCATGATTATTAGTCAAAAGCTACCGAGTTTGATTTTTCTTAAAAAGGAGCGCTCTATAATTTGGGATGGAGGGAGTAAGAGCTCCAACATCTTGAAAATTTTATTTGAGTCTATCTCTCTCATTTGATTCTCGCATGTTTCTTAAGATTCAATCAATCAAACAGTTACTCCTATGTTTTTCATACGTTTTACAATTCTCTATTTTATACATGTATTTCTGTTAGAATTATGTATTTTTTCTATTTATTTTATTCATACGATTTAAAGGAGCCATAAATAAGGGGACATCAAAATGTTTTCTTTTTAATCATAATCGTAAACAAAATAAAAGTATTTGTATTTTTGAACGGAGGAAGTATTAGTCAAATTTTGAGAAAATAAAAATCAACTATACCAACATACAGGACGCCATTAAGGGCATGTTTAGATCACACCCTGAAATTTCACACCTGGTCATATCGAACATTTGAACACCTGTATAGGCTTAAAAAATAACTAATTGTACAGATTGTAACTACTTTGCAAGACGAATCTTTTAAGCCTAATTGCTCCATAACTTGACAATGTGTTGCTACAGTAAACATGTGCTAATGATGGATTAATTATTCTTAATAAATTCGTCTTGCGGTTTGGCGACGGATACTGTAATTAGTTTTTTTATTAGTGTTCAAACACCCTATGCGACACCCTATATAATACCCCCTGACATGTCAAAATTTTACCTCATTCGATTAAACACCCTCCTTAGGCTGTGTTTGCTAGAAGCGGTTCCCATCCGGAACAGTGACCACGGAAAATGGAGCGATCCATTAGCGCGTGATTAATTAAGTATTTCCTGATTTTTTTTAAAAAATGGATTAATTTAATTTTTTTAAGCAACTTTCGTACAGAAGCTTTTTGCAAAAAACGCACCGTTTAGCAGTTTGAAAAGCGTACGCGTGGAAAACGAGAGAGAGGAATTGGGAACATGGGATTGCAAAACACCTTAAGGGCTTATTCGTTTCCAAGGAATTGCAAAGGAAAAGCATAGGAATATGAATGGGTTTTAAACTATCATTCGTTTTATAGGAATGCACCGTACGAAAACTGTAGAAAACTTTTACATTCCTCCATTTTTGAAGGAAAAGCATAGGAAAAAATAATCCACTCCAACCTAATGTTTGCATTTCTTTGGTTGGCTTGCTCAACAACATAGAAAAAATTCCTGTATTTTTCAATTCATAGGTTTGCACATGTATTTTTATAGTATTTCTACGTTTTTCTTATTCTTACGTTTTGAAAATCATGTGAACCAAAGTAGCACTAACAATTTGATACCCCGTTGAGTACAGTAAAAAAATTGAAAATTATTATTTGATCCTCATGCAGTACGCGCAGCTGAACCCCGGAGAGGAGTAAAAAAATAGTGAAGCCTCGTCGGCGACTCTCTGTCCTTTCACGCCGAATCCTAACCCACCATTAATGGCGTCGGCTCGAGCTCGGCCATATATGGTAGGGGAGCAGTAGGGGCGGCGAGGTACGCGCGCGAGCCGCCGTTCGCAACACTGCAGCTTCCATCTCCTCTCCGCCTGAGGATCCGAGGGGCCGGTGAGTAGGCAGCGGCGGCCGCGGCAATGCTCACGTGCATCGCGTGCTCCAAGCAGCTCGCCGGCGGCGCGCCGCCGCTGCGTGAGCAGTCCGACGACGCCGACGACGCCGCCGTTGCCAGAGGCGCCGGCGAGTGCGCCACGCCCAGCACGAGGCAGGCCATCAAGGCGCTCACCGCCCAGGTTGGTTACTGCGCCGTCTGGGCTTGTGGAGTTCTTGAAATGCCCCCCCTTTCCCGTGCCATTTTGATTCCTTGATCACAAGGGGAAAAAAACACAAGTTGCAATTTGTTGATAAATTGCGTTCCTCAAATGTATCTTAAACTGCGCGAATTTATCAAATTTGTGGGTTTGGGATATTGGGATTTGGGACGAAACAATTTCGCCAAAATCTTGGGGTTTCTAGGAATGTTGATAATTTCTCCCCATTTGTTTGTTGGTTAAGCAGTCGATTTTTTTTTTGAACCTGCGGGATGAACCTGACGAGAGATTTTTTCTTTGGGGTTCAGATCAAGGACATGGCGCTGAAGGCGTCGGGCGCGTACCGGCACTGCAAGCCGTGCGCCGGCTCGTCGTCGTCGTCACCGGCGGCGGGGGCGCGGCGGCACCACCCGTACCACGCGTACGCGGACTCCGGGTCCGACCGCTTCCACTACGCGTACAGGCGAGCCGGCAGCGGTGGCGACGCCACCCCGTCGGTGAGCGCGCGCACCGACTTCCTCGCCGGGGACGAGGAGGAGGAGGAGGAGGAGGAGGAGGAGGAGGGGACGACGGCGGACGGCAGCGAGGACGACGAGGCGAAGGAGTGGGTCGCCCAGGTGGAGCCCGGCGTGCTCATCACCTTCCTCTCGCTGCCGGAGGGCGGCAACGACCTCAAACGGATCCGATTCAGGTGAGTTTTTTGCGCTCATCTCTCACAAGTTTTGCATCGTAGTAGAGCACTATGATTTGATTCATCTTTACAAAGTTACAAACAAGTAGTGTTTTGAGTTATTTTGGTTCAGATTTATCATGTGTACTTAATATGAAGGGCAAATCCTTTGTTTATTCTGTGTTGATTGAATGTTCACTGTTTTTTCTTTATGTTCTATTGAATTTGCTTGAGTCCCCATCTCTGGAATGATTTATGGAAGAATAGAGGGAAATTGTTGGAGAAAAAAAATTATAGTCCCCAAACAGTAGCAGCTATTTATGTGTAAATGTTTCATAATTGCTCAGAAGTTCCATCTCCTAGGAAAATTGAAGAACTTGTTTCAACACAATTTTGATTTGAGCCTCAGTAATATGCGTGGTCAAATGAGACAAATATGCACTTTATCTTGCTTTTGGCCATTGTTCTTTTGTTTCTTTTCTGCCTTTGCTTTCACTGGAAGTTTGGAATTGGGAAAATTGGAATTGACAAAAGGAGTGTCCAAGTCTCCAAGATAAGCATGAAGAAAAGGATACATTTGTAACAATCTTTCAAAACGGAACAGTTAAAAAGTAAATATAATTCCTAGCTTTCTTAACAAATACTTTTGAAAAACAAATCCCTTTAGGTTTCTGTATGGTTACATGGTGCTGTTAAAGTTGAACTGGAATTAGAAGGAATTTTTTGAGAAGTACACAATTGTAGATTTCTAAATTTGGGGGCACTGTGCGAATCTCAACATCTGCAGGTTCTGTGCATAACCCACAGGCCTTCAGCAATTCCAAGAGATCTCTCTTTGCATATAATTATTTTATGTTCTTTTCTTTATTTTCTTGGGAAAAGATACCACTTCTATGGTCAGCCCTCAGCTGCCACAAAGAGTCATTTAGATGCTTTCCCATGCAGTTTAGCGTATTTTTTTCCCTAATACACAGTCGAAACGTCATGCTGTGCTGTTTGAATTGCATGGGGCAACGGGTATGAATGTGATTCCCACAAAGTGATCCGGTTAATCACTCACATGCTGCTACAGGACTAAATCTGGATCTGTCCACCAGTGTGCTACAGAGTTTATATAGAGGAGTGGAGCTTTTAGAACATATACATTAGAGGAGTAAATGAGTACATCAGTCACCATTGATACTCTATTAATACTAGGATAGCTCTGTACCCCACCTTACATAGTGCTTGTAGTATCAATCTCATACATTTTAGTCGTAGTTCTGTTGTTCTGATATAGGAGCAGATTATAGGGTTTATTGACCAGAGTGACCCACCACCCCCACAACGTCTCCTCTATTCAGTAGTCTTAAGTAGGAAACAATTAAAGAAGAGAACTGAACTTTTTTTTTTTGGGGAGGGAACCAACTCGTGGTGCTCTTTCTTCTTTGCCCTTATATAAGAGAGAAAAAGGGTACAGTTGCTTTGGTGTCTCACTAATTTAATATAGTCAGGTCCCTCCACCCCGCCTGCTTAACCGGGGAGCCATCCAACCTGGATCTTTGGATTAGTTGCACATCCTTTGCAATTTTATTGTAACCTTTATTGTATTAGTGCTGCCTTCATATGTAGATCTTATAAATTACTACTCTTTAAACCTGATGTACACATGATAATAGGAAAAAAGAATGCTAGTGAAATTTTGTTACGAACAATTCTTGATATGGATATGGAGTTTGTAAAACTATTTCTTAGAACTGTAGGTAGTACAGCATAATAAAGATTTTTTTTTTGATATATTTCTTTTGGTGTGCTGCTTTGATTGCCTTCCAGTCTGCTGGTGGTAGGGTCATATAGCTTCATGGAGAGATAGTGTAAAATGAAGGAGTGCTATTATATGGAGTGAAGACAAGCTCTGGTTCTGGTGCATTTCTAGTACTACCTCCGTCCCAGAATATAAGCATTTTTAGAGTTGGACATGGTTATTAAGAAAGTAAGTAGAAGTGAATGATGGAGGGTTGTGATTGGTTGAGTAGTGTAGGTAGGTGGGAAAAGTGAATGGTGGAGGGTTGTGATTGGTTGGAAAGAGAATGTTGGTGAAGAAGTTGTTATATTTTAGGACAAATGTTGAGGGTTAAAAGTTGTTATATTTTGGGATGGAGGGAGTACCTTATTTTCTATGTTTCAGATCTAGGCAAGGAGATGCTTTTTAATGTACGAAAAATTGTTTGTGCTCCAAAAAAAATTGAGTGTTGACGTATTTTCCGCTAATTGTTTCCTTGAGTGAGACATCGGTGACAAATAAATAGCTGTGTTAATTTATCAATGTAAAACACATAACCTCTTGACTGACAATAAGAAATTAAGTGTGCATTAGAAAGTTGCGAGAGGATCGCATCCGTGAGTGACTGACCTATTTGTACTCCTTTCTGGTACAACTTCAGTCTCAATCCTTCTATTGCATGTTCCCCCTAGAGAAAAATTAGAAATTACTGTTGGACATACGCCATGGATATCCTATTGTTATTTACTTTAGAGGTAATCAGTCTGGTTTATCCATACTCATTAAAGTTATGTAGTTTGCACATGGGGCATCCGCATAAAATTTTTCAAGGAGCGGATATGTTTATTCGAGGGAATATTTAAATAGTCCAATTTCAAGATATGTTCTTTAGTGTCTTTGGAGCTAGAGAAGGGTAGGCTGAAGATTACATGTTCTATCATTTCAATTTGGCCCCTTCTATGCTTCTCTCTTTTTTGTTTTGGTCAATATTGGTTGCCTACCATGCCTTACTGACTTGCTGTGTCTACCTACCCATGTTAACTCTCGATTAAGTGTTCCCTTTTCTCTCGCTTGTTTGACAATGTGCTTACTAGTGAGTTCTGATGCATGATAGCCGTGAGATATTCAACAAATGGCAAGCGCAAAGATGGTGGGCCGAAAATTATGAGAAAGTCATGGAGCTTTACAATGTTCAGAGGTTCAACCAGCAAACTCCCCTTCCTACTACTCCAAAGTCTGAAGATGAGGTACGAGATCCTTGTGATGTAACTAACCTTTCTTGCTATTCTTACGATTTACAAAATGCCTTCTGATCTACCTGCTGTGCATTCCATGCATATCATACAGAGCTTGAAGGAGGATATCCCAGCAACACCACCACTCAACAGTGAACGTCTACCCCACACTTTGCACAGATCACTAACTGGTGGCAGAACAACTGGGTATGGACAACCAGATTCTCTTGGGCATCAGCACAACCTTGGTAATGGTCATCGCCAACAGCACCATCACTGCTACACTGGACACCAGTGCTATGGTTCAGTTGGGCTGGCATCAACACCTAAGTTATCAAGCATTAGTGGAGCAAAGACAGAAACTTCGTCAATGGATGCATCGATGAGGTCAAGCTCATCTCCTGAAGAGGTGGATCGATCTCGTGAACTTTCAGTCTCTGTTAGCAATGCAAGTGACCAAGAGAGGGAATGGGTAGAAGAGGATGAACCTGGTGTATACATCACCATTCGGGCCTTGCCTGGTGGTATTAGAGAGCTCCGACGGGTCCGATTCAGGTTTGCTACTTTTACTTGTTGCTTGTTTGGTCAGATTGTCACTATTTTAGCGCAATTCTATTTCATTCCATCAAGGCTTAATGGCTTATGCATTTGTGAAGATATCACCGCTCAAGTACTCAAGTAGCCAATTAATCTGGTAGTTCAACAGCACTTTCAGCCAAAAATGACTAGAAAGATTAATTGTTGGGAGAGGATAGAAGCTTGGATCCGAGACACTTTAATGACAAATAACTGATGAAGTACTCAAGCAACAACATTTTGACTGCACCATCGTTCAGTTAATGAAAATTAAAAAAAATGAAATGTAACATGTAACCATAGTAAAATGGATCCGGAAACCACTATAGCAAGAAAACAAGAATCAGTTAGTTGGCAGAGATTCATGAGCATCTGCTCATTTGGTTTCGCAATACACTTAGTCGTTCCTCTAAAGAACATGTATTTATCTGTTTTGGCTGTTCTGCGTGCAGCCGGGAGAAATTCAGCGAGATGCACGCCAGGCTATGGTGGGAAGAGAACCGGGCAAGGATACATGATCAGTATCTCTGAGAAGACATGCTAATCATGTATCAGCAAATTCTTTACCACTTCATCTCATTGCAATTGACCACCAGAGTCCATTGAACTTACAGTTCGGTGCAATTGACCGCCGTCTCCTGGAGATATTTGATTTCGAAGCGCTTCTTCTTTCACCCTCCTCCAGCGTGTACATCAAACACTAACATCATATCGTCAGGAATTACTCCCAGCCTGTGCAAAAATTGGCCGAGGAACACTGCTTGCATGTGTGAATGTGTGAGCTTTTAGTGTTTATTCTTGATGTCTAACATTTAATTTGCTCCTGTTTATGCGGTAATCCGCCTGTTTCTCTCCAATACATTGTCACAAAATTTATACAGTTTGGTATAACTGCTAGATTATTTACTTCGCAGCGAAAGAAAAAAAAATGAAAGGAAAAAAGGAAGCCTTTGGAAAGCAAAGGCGTTTGTACCATTAGCTGATGTTTCAGATTCTTTGCTTCCTTTTCTGAAGGCGGTATTTCAACTTTCATATTCCAGTTTGTTGCGCACTTTGCTTTATAATCATATTTGTCGTAATCTTGCACACCGATAAACTGCGGAAAGCTGCATCATTACTTGATTAGTTCATTACAGTATTGCAATAGCTAATGACTTCACATTAACAGATGCCAGATTTAATAGTGCTAGTCTCAATCAAGGTAGCAATGATTTTTCTTAAATATAAAGTTATTGCTATACACCAAGGGCATGTTTCTTATTTTTTTATGAGAAGGTTTATTGGCGCACAACGTTTCAACAATCATCGAGATGCAACAATCACATACCTGCCAGCCTCCCAGTGAAACAATGCACTAGGACTGTAGCAATGCAAATATGCAACTGGGCTGCAGAAAAAGGTAACTTAACAAAAACAGAGATTTTTTAAACACATATTCGTTATAAAGTAAACACAATTTCAAAATGAAGTTTTTTTTTTCAAAATTCAATGTTCAGATTCTAAATACATTTTTTTTTAAAAAAAGAAGACCATGATGCAGATAAGCTAAAAAATTGGAATTTATGTGCGGTATTTGAACCAGATTCTAACCAAACTTGAAGGACAAAACTTATGTCAGTCATTTCTTTCCCATTTATGTGCAATTCACAGGAAGGACAAATGCAACACCATTATTGGAAAGATTAAGGAACCCTGAACACTAATGCATCCATGATCCATCCCATTCAAATGACGTCGGCAAATCACTTTGGATAATCAGATAAACATTGTCATTCCTCCTGGACCTAACATTCTTCGTCTTTAATTTGTCAGTGTCATGCTCCAGGAAACATGAGCTTATGATTGCATTCACTGTCCTGAGACACGAGTACTTCTGACAAGGACTTGTGTGTTCTTACAATATCAACTGTCACTATTTTATCCATAAAATTCAGAAATCGATGGCCATCTGATCTCCATATGCAATGACAAGAAATCAATTGTTATGTCCAAGTTCATCTGAACTGTCTAAAACCAGCAGCACGGTTCAGAAAGTGAAAAACTAATTCAGGGGACCAACACAAATGCTTTGATGAAGAAATTGGTCTAGAATTGGAGAAATATAGAATTCTACATTTCTACTAGTCAGGAACAGATATATGACGTGTACTAGACTTTGATCACCAGGAAAGGAGGTAACATGCATGTTACCCAAATATATATATATATATATATATATATATATATATATATATATATATATATATATATATATATATATATATATATATATATATATATATATATATATATATATATTAAAAAATAATATGATCGATTAAAATATGATATAACACTCTACACACATGTAAGTCAAATTCAATCTCCAAAAGTCATGAAAAAATAACAAATTAAACCTTAATTAGTATACGTGTGCTCACATTCATATTTGTTCCTCTTGTTACATAGAAAGTCAAATTTAAACATACACATTTGTAGAGTGGTATATCACATATTAATCCATCTTATCAAGTTTTTCATAGCTACTTGAATGACATGAAAAGAAAAAGACATCCCTTGAGATTAAAAGAGTTTCCCCTAAAGAAATATACATGCAGAATAAAAAAAAAGGAGGTTCTGAAGTTTATTAAGACAAGTTGTCCATCTATTTCAGAATAAAATTGTATAGCTCTAAAGCCACGGCACACACAAGGTTAGCCAGCTAGCTAAACTGTTTTTGGAGATTAAACCAAGAAAGCTCATGATGATTTGTTATATAGTGAATTTCACTTTGGATCACCTTTTCGTAGATTTACTTTGGACTATTCCTAGTCCAATCTTTTTACTTTGGAATAGCTAAATTTACGTTTATTTCACTTTGACCCACTCAAAACCACTTATTTGACACATTAATGACCTTGAGGATGTCAGCCTGCCATGCTGATGAAATCCTCCACATATGAGTAGGCCATACCTTTGTCGGATTATAAAATATGTAGGATCGAATCACAAGAACTAAGCCAACCAGAGGGGGTGAATGGTTGGTATACCCAAAAACCGAAAACTTTTAGCGGAAATAAAAGTTACCCTCGAATTCGATGAAATCGGTCTAACCGGAGTAGATTAGCCGGTCCGACCGAAGCGTAGCCGCCGGTCTGACCGGTGTTGATCTACCGGTCTAACCGCCAAAACTCGTCGCCGCCTCCTGTCGCCGAAGTCGGTCTGACCGCCGTGTGCCCGCCGGTCGGACCGCCGCGATGCCGCCGGTCTTACCGCCGGTGCACCGCCGGTTTGAACGTCGAAACCCAGTGAAACACAAATCGAAGAACTCTTAAAGTAGATGACGACTTTATTACTTCTCTCTGTGTTTACAAAGTGCACCAACAACACTCCTTACAAAAATCTCGACTAAACTCGAAACCCTAACTCAAAACTCAACTCAATTGCTCTCAAAAGCAATACCGGGAAGCCTCACGCTCCCCCTCTATTTATACATGAGGTAGGCAGCCTAAAGCCACGAACCAAACTCATATTAAGAGTCCTAAACACCTTAGGAAACCCTCTAGTACAAGAAACAAACTTTACATAACCAATTGTACCAAATTTGGACTCCTTCCAAATTCGACTCCGCATCCCATACGCACACAATACCTCCATCGTATGCCATATGGAATCTCCATCAACCACGTGCATCAACTCTAGCCTAAGTATCCCGCATGATCTCTGACCACCATGGACGTCGTCTTATCCCCAAGCCGACTCCCGGTCCATCACCGCAAATACTCTCCTGAGACATCGAGTCACCTACACATGAAATAAACAAAGAAACCATATTCCGAGACCAAACTATCTCCAACTTGACTCATTAGTAGCAAACAACAGTATTACATACGTATAGTATCCATCTAAAAGTCATAATCATGAAATAATCACGGATATCCAAACAAACAACCCGAAACCGAAACCGACACAACGTCGGCCGGTCAGACCGCGGGCTGGCCGGTCCGACCGCTCGATCACCGCCGGTCTGACCGGCATACACAGCCCGGTCTGACCGGTCACATAAAATGATAGAATCCTGCGATCACCTGTGAAATCCAATCATCTCCAAAACCACTTTGTGAATAAATTCCAAATAACAAAACCAATAATCTCCAATACCCAATTGTTCATCACAGAATAATAGTCAAAAACACCTTTGATTTTACAAAATGGATATGGCTAGTCCAAATAGCTTGTTTGGTTGGGGGGAGTTTATGTGATTTGAGCATTATAATCTTAGTTTGGTTGAATATGGGGGGAATTTCGGAGGGATTGGGACAGGAAATTAATTGATCCAACTCCCACCGGTCCCATCCCGAGGGAGCGTGGTAATTGAGTGAAGAATATGTTTTAAGTGAAAGATAAATACATCCCCACCGTTCATTATTACTTATGATAAAATTTTTCACCTCAAAACTCAGTCACCAAACGGAGGATATGAATTTCCTCCTAAACATGCTTTCTTATTTCTCTGTAGCAACCAAACAAGTATTGGGATTAAAAGTCAAATTCCAATATTAATTCCCTCTTAAACATGCTTTCTTATTTCTCTATAGCAACCAAACAAGTATTGGGATTAAAAATCAAATTCCCATGCTTTCTTATTTCTCCAACTCCCGCAGCTAATTCCTATGCCTCTTCCCAATTGTTGCCACAAAGTGAAAAGATTGAATTAGGGGTGATTCAAAATGAAACTCCCTCGATAAAAGATGGATCAAAGTGTAATTCACTGCTCATCATATTCACAAGTAGTCAAATAAGGTGACCAATTAATAAACCACAAATCCACAGTACCCTCAAGTTGCAAGTCACAAAGACTGCAACTACCAATCTCATTTACATCACAGACTATAGTTTGTTTGCACTGGACCCAACCAAGCCAACACTTTTTTTTCCTTTTTAGATACTACATCCGTCCCAAAATATAGCAACTTTTAGCTATGAATTTGGATACACAATTGTCCAGATTTATAGCTAAAAATATTTATATTATAGGGTGGAGGGAGTAAGGAAGATGATTATATCGCTTATGGCCGCGCGATCTCCAAAGGCTCACGTAAGACGTGACCGGCGCCACCTTTCCCAGCCTCCACGTCGTTGTCGTCGCCGTCGCCGCCGCCGTCCTCATCGTCGTCGCGGCAATCTCCCCTGACCAGCGGCATGTAACGCGGCTCCTCCGGGTACAGCCTGCACAGCCGGAGGTAGAGCGCGACGACGAGCACGACGGTGCCGGACAGGTACCAGCTGAACTCCAGGTTGACGAGCGCCTTGGCGCGCGCGAGCGCGTCGCCGCCGTCGTCGGCGCGGCACCGCGCGACGTCGTGCCCGTCCTCGCGGCTCAGGAAGCAGCCCTTGGGCAGGAGCGCCGGAGTCCACATCATGACGCCCATGGCCAGGAACCACACCCCCTGGAGCACCAGGCTCGCCGACCGCACGAGGCTCACCGCGAAGCTCCTGGGCGCGGCCACGCCGAGCACCGTCGCGGCGAGCGTGACGGCCACGACGCCCTGCAGCAGCAGGTGGTACTGCCCCTCCACGCCCGCGTGGTCCGCCGAGTGGAGGTGGAACAGCATCAGCTGCTGCGCGAACGCCACGGCGGCGACGAGCTGCGACACGGCGCGGCCGTGCGGCACCCGGGCCACGTCGAGGGCGGCGGCGGCGGCGGCGTAGACGAGCAGCGCGAGGGAGATGGACGCGTGCTCGAAGTTGTGGAGGTGGTCGGACGGCACGGTGCCGTCGGCGTCGAACGGCTGGTGCCTCGCCGGGCCGACGACGAGCTCCATGAGGATGGACGCGACGGCGCCGGCGATGACGAGGGCGAGCTCGAGGTAGCGGGCTCGCCGGACGGGGAACCAGACGGGCGCGACGTAGGCGGTTGGCCTGAGCAGGAAGAGCCTGATGTGGTTGTAGAGGTGCCACAGGCCGACGAGGAGGAAGCCGGCGCCCGGCGCGACATGGCCGACGAGGGTGCCCATGGCTACGCGCGCACTGTGTTGACACTTCACTGTGGAGGAAGAAAGGAGAGGAGACGAGGGGTTTTGAGGGTTTTCGATGGGTTTTAAGACGGGTTGCAACTTGGAAGTTGGAAGGCTTGACTTGACGACGACCGTTCTCACCTTCTGTTGAGGCGGCGTCTGTGTGTGTTTATGAACTTGTTGGTTTTGGGGCAAATTCAACGTGTGCTCGTCATGCTCCGTTAGGAAAGTCATTTCACAAGTCACAATGCAAGTATAAGAAAGTCTATTCACATTTTTATAACTCGGGCGTGCCATTTAATTTGTTACGATTTTGACAGTGTAGTAAATTGCCGTATCATCTAGAAATTATAACATATGGCGTGAAGACAGCAAAGATTTGGCTATCTAATAACTAGTCGTCGTTGTTGGAAAAGTGTTTTCATCCAATGATCATAACAAAGTTGAAAAAAATTGGTAAGATAGATTAATACGAAATACTACCTCCGTCTCAAAATAAGTGCAGTCGTGAATATCCGTGCTCAACGTTTGACCATCCGTCTTATTTGAAAAATTTTAAAATATTTAGTCACACATAAAGTACTATTCATGTTTTATCATCTAATAGCAATAAAAATACTAATCATAAAAATTTTTCAAATAAAACGAACGGTCAAACGTTGAACGTGAATAGTGCAAAACTGCACTTATTTGGGACGGAGGGAGTATATCACTACATAAACATGTAAGTTCAAATTTAACTTTTACAAGTTGTAACAAAAATAACAAAATATAATTGCAAATGTACATTAACTGGTTTCAGTTTAATTTGTTCCTTTTTTTTACGACGTATAGAAGTTGAATTTAACGTTGCATATTTGTGGAGTGGTATATATCGTATTAATCTATTTTATCAAAAAGTTCACTTTTTTTAGATTACTTAGGTGGCATGTAGAAACGAGGGATGTCCTTTCGAGAGATGAAAATACATTATATGCATTTCCTGTGCATGGCTTATATGCTTATGGAGTGACTGATGGCATCTCAATATACATCTACAAATATTTTTTAAGCTTTTTATTATTATTTTGGATATAATGTATGAAACATATGTCTCTACGCGAAACCTCCCCTCATAGCAGCGCTAGGGCAAGTAGCGGAAAAGAGGGAGTCGGCATGGGGCGGCAAGTTGTGGTTGGCCGGAAGCGATGGTGTCGGCTGGTCGGCCTCGCCAAGTCTAGATCCAGACATTCTTGGCTGGATCTGGCAAGGGAGAGGTCTCCCTCAAGAGCAGGGAGTGGTCGTGGCTTAGGCGGGAGTTGGATCAGTGATGGTTGATGATGTAGGCGTAGGAGGTGTGGCACTAGTGTTGCAGTGCCGGGGTAGTTGGCATCGACTAGAGTGGCCGACGAAGAGGTTGGCTAGTGAGGCCACTTGTTAAGGAGGTGGTTTTTGGAGCGGGAGAAGCTAGTTGGTTTCCTATTAGTTGAAAGGCCGTGGGACACAGCGAACATCATCACAGATGGCAACCCTGTGAACAGCGAAATGGTCTCATTCAATCGACTGGACCTCCTCACTTTCCCCGAGCTCCTCGCCCTCTAATGATCGATCTGCTTCCAGCTTTCAGTCGTGGGGAGCTTCATGGCAATAGTAGAGGCTTTGGTTTGGTGGATGGACTCTGTTAGGCAGAAGACGAGCAACCCTCGGAACCAACAACGCTGTCAAGAAACTTATTATAGGAGGTGTTTGAGATGGTGGAGTTGCGGTGCACGATGCCACCTTGGTACAACAACAAGACGGTGTGATGGTTGGAGTCAGAGCTGATTGGTTGATGTGGCAAGCTCAGCAAATAACCTAAACTGAAATTCGCTCCTATAAAGATTTAAACTCAGGATCTTAGGGTAGTACTCATGTCACTGCAACCACTAGGCTACATGGCCTTTCACGGTAATTTTGTACATATGCTTGAATTGTTGGAGGCAGAACACGTGTACTCCGAGTATCGGATTTTCAATCCATAATATTTTGGCTATGTAGCACCTAGTTGATTCATCTAAATCACAGCTTAGCTAGCATATATTCTTCAGATAGACCTAAGCAATCTAACCATGCACGCAGGAATCGCGCGCTCGCTCGAAAGTAAACGTCTAGATCAATCCAGGAACTCTTCTTTAAGTTAATCTAAGGAGAGATTTAGATGAGGACGCTAACACTTTCCAAAAAGCCCTAGCTAGTTACGAGTAATTTTTTCGATAGGTCTCTAGCTAGTTAATCCCGTGGAACAAGATTCTGTGTGCTTCTCAGCAGAGAGACCGCGGTTTTGCTCACCATTTCCCGTTTTCCCCTGATCAACAGCTGCCTTTTCTGAATAAGAGCTTCTGCAGGCAACTGGTAGGCGTTTCCAACTTGTCCGATCTAAAAACCAATGGTTAGCATCAGCAGCAGTGGTAGTAGTAAGACTGTATGACTGCTGCAGTGCCAGATGTACCAGAGAAACACAATAATACAAACTATTGTGCTTCAGTTTTTACAGTTTAAGATCTCCTTAGGAATGAAGAATTTTTTTTGTTGCAATTTAACTAGTTATTCGGCTCCTTTAGAATCCATGTATTTGCAGGAATTTCACGTAAATTAGCCCGATTCGATCCTGCGAAAATCCTCTAAAATTCCTCCATTCAAAGTAAGCCGGGAGAGATAAAAATGGCCATACACCCAAATTTATTGCAGAGTACATTACAAAAGGCCCAAGTGACAAATGGCACTGAATCTGGAGGCCCAACAAAACCTCGGCCCAGTTTTCTGCCATCCACCAGTGCAAACAAAGTGTTTGCTGCCGCCACGCGACATCTCCTCCCTTTCTACACGTTGTCTGACACGGGGAACACGCGTTTCTGCGACTGCGTCGCGTCCCCGTCGCCGGCGAGGGCACCGACGTCGCCGCCGCTAGGCGCCTGAATCTGCCTGTACTCCATGCTCCGGGATCCACCCACCCTGAGGCACAGGTACGCCGTCACGGCCCACACGCCGGCGAGCACCCAGCTGAACTGCAGGTTCGCCATCACCACCGCCCTCCGCGCCGCCTCGTCCGTCGGGCACGCCACCGCGCTCCGCATGGCGCCGCCGCCGGCCTCCGCGCCGTGGCAACCCCTCGGCACGAGGGCAGGGACCCACAGCGCGAAGCCCATGACGATGAACCACAGGCCCTGGAACAGCACCGACGCCGACCGGACCACCGCGACGGCGAAGCTCCTCGGGAGGACGACGGTGGCGGAGGTGGAGACCAGCGAAGCGGTGACCACGAGCTGGAGCAGCCAGTGGTAGTGCCCCTCGAGCCCCGCGTGGTCGGCGGAGTGGAACCTGAGCAGGAACAGCTCCTGGCCGAACACCGACGCGGCGAGCGCGGCCACCACTTCCCCGAGCTGCGCCTGCGCGCCGCCGTGGTGGGAGGACGACGCAGCGACACCGTCGGCGGCGAGCGCCACGGACGCGTACACGGCGAGGTGGAGGTACATGGTGGCGTGCTCGAGGGCGTCCGGCTGGATAGTGAACGAGAGCAGTGGGAAGTCGACGAGCTGGTCGACGATGGCGAGCACGGAGAAGGAGAGGAGGAGGTAGAGCTCCAGGTGCTTCAGGCCGGGCACCGGCGACGGGAAGGGGAACCACGCGGCGGCGCGGAAGCCGGAGGCGCCCTTGAGCTTGTACGCCCTGACGGTGTTCAGCGCGTGCCACAAGCCGAGGATGGCGAAGGCGAGGCCTGGGACGAAGTGGCCAAGGAACGTGCCCATGGCTGACGGCCTCGTCGCCGGCACGCTGCTAGCTTGTGCGCGCGCGTCCTCGTCGGCGCCGGCGTCGAGGTCAGGCAGCGTGCACTGATGCTGTTCAGTGACTTAAATAGGTGTGTGGATCAGCTGCAACGGTTGTCGCCAACACTGTGCGTGGTGGCGGCAAAAGCATGCATACGTGTTTGAAGTTTGGACTCCACTTCAGGTTCTCCTTTTTCTTTTTTTGAAAGATCACTATCCATTTCAAGATTACTAGTAAAGACTTAAAGTTAGTGGTTTCTTGCATGGAAAAGAGCTGCATGAATTAAAACTGCTCGTTAATAAACATTTGTTGACAAGAATTTACTAATTAATCACACATTCTTTTGAAAGCTAGCAACACTGAGCGAATGGGTTTGAAGATTCGGAAACAATTTTTAACCATCTGAAGTTTACAAATACTTCTAACATTTCGTGTTTTTTTTTTCGTGTGCGACCATTCTAGCTCTCAAGACCTCACTCTCTTTATGTTTCAAAATATTGCAGTATTTTGAAACCTTGTAGTATCTGCTATGTCAAAATATTTCAGGATGTGGAGTCGTTTATAAACGAAAATTCAGATAGTGTGCCTCTTCAGTCTCTCTTTTAGTTTTTGATATGCCACTTGAAAGAGGAACATTCTCCATGACTCTATGAGATGGGAAGAGTCCACTCGGACCGGCACATAGAAATCACTAATGCTTTAACCACTTCACCTAATCAAATTACATAATCTTGGAATGTGCACATCTCACTTATGTTGCAGGAATTAACAAGAGGCAGAGAGAGGCAGAGTCCCTATACTATAAGCCATTGAGCTGTGCTACCAATGTGCTTCTTAATTATTAGTGCTTGGACCTAATATTGCTGGGAGCCTCGAGTAACTGCATGCGCACTACCTAGTCAATGGTAGTGCTGGCTGCGTTCGATGCCATTTGTGAGAACTGTTGATTGATCAGTCATCGCAGTAATTAACGTTCTCCTGAAGTAGCAGAAAAACAGAAAGCAGGTTCAACTTTTTTGGTATTCCTTTTTATAGAACTTTTCCTTTGGTAAACTTTAGTTGGGCTCCACTGAAATTTGTTTGTTCTGTTATGTGGATGCCATGCATTCTCTGTTACAAATTAGGTATTCATGGTTAATTCAAGAAATCAGGTTTATTGTTCACTTTAGCCTCGTTCGATCTCTCTTTTAAAATAATGCATCTCATTGTTTACTACTCCCTCCGTATTTTTATATATAACGTCGTTGACTTTTTAACCAACGTTTGACCATTTGTTTTATTCATTTTTTTGCACAAATATGAAAATATTTATGTCATGCTTAAAGAATATTTGATGATGAATCAAATCACAATAAAATAAATGATAATTATATAACTTTTTTTAATAAGACGAATGGTCAAACGTTAGATAAAAAGTCAACGGCGTCATACATTAAAATATGGAGATAGTATTAGATATGATAACCGCGCGTTATTTTGGGATAACTATGTACATATAAATGGCTTTAAAAAGTTGTGAGAAGGGGCGTACAAAAGACATTTAGAAGACTTGAACTCTTTTTTTTTTAACGGAAAACAGCACATGTGTGCCTTTTTCATTGAATAGAGCAGGAAAAAAATACAACCCCTAAGGGTAAAGAAAGGGAAGTATGAGCTATACACTATATATAGTGCGGGACTAGATCACGCAATCTTTTAGCTCCCGCTAGAACCCAAAGACTAGCCTCCTCCTTGATTCTTGATTAGAGAAGCCTGTTGCTGCCTCTTTGTGGTCGAAGATCCGTCTGTTCCTCTCCTTCCAGATTTTCCAGACGACTAGCAGTATGAGGGATCGAAGGCCCTTTTTTGGGACGCCGCGTGTATTTGCTAAACTCTCCCACCAATATTGAACTGACCGTGCTTCCTCCCACTCAGTCGGCTCCTATTGTTGATAACCCGTCCAAATAGCAACTAGGCTCCAGATTCTACCTAGTTGAACTCTTCAGTGCAAGGCTAGAGAGATTAATAGTCTTCCTCTTCCAACTAAAATACATGCAAGCATTTAATCACCTGTGTTGGAGTATATATTCAGGTACTACCTCCGTCCCAAAATATAATAATTTTTAGCTATAAATCTAAACACATAGGTAGATTCATAGCTAAAAATAATTACATTTTGGGACGGAGGGAGTATTTGGAAAGGTCAGTGGAGATCATGAGATAGTCACGAAATTCGTTGCTACTACCCAAGGAGGACTTGTTCTTAATGTCGACAGTAATCACCCAACACTTGTCATCATATCCAGGTCTGTCCAGTATGAAGTGGAGAACGTCGGCCTCGTGCATGCTGAAGACCGGGAACGTCGGCGTAATCCGTGGCAGAGGTGATCCCTGGTAGCTTGGGAGAGACCAGAACTCCTCCTCGAGCTGGAGCGTGCCATCCACCTCCCACTCGAACAACGGCAGCTTCAGAGTGTCCACGTCGTGATGCTGCAACCGGGTTTTTGGGGAATACGCAAGAAGCATATTTTTTTCTATTAAGAGAAATAAAAGTTATTTACAATGTGATATAAAAAATAAGCACGGGACCGATACTGGAAGCTAGGGATCTAATGGGGATATCTCGCGCTAGATTTGGCTACCACGACCTCGCAGAGGTAAAACAGAAGGGACCCCTGCATTAACCGACTTCTAAAGTACGGCTACAACCGGGTGATCGCTCGGTGGATCGGAAGCAGCCGTCGTCAACGTCGACGAACTTTAGACAGCCTCCTACAAACGGAGGCAATTTTGTACTCTCTCTGTCCCATAAAAAAATAACCTAGTACCGGATGTGACACATTCTAGTACTATGATTTTGGACATACATCTGTCTAGCCTAACCCCGTCGAACCACATCTCAATGCCAGAGAAAGGGAGGAATACAAGCTCAAGCTCCGCATTGACGCATCATCATCGTCATCATCGTCAGTAGCTAACATTTTGCAGTACATGATGCCACGGTGGTAGTTGGGCGACCCAGTCGGTGAGAGGCGGCAGAGCCCGTATCCATGGCTAGTCGGCGTCGGGCTTGTAGACGAAGAAGTCGTCCAAGAGGGAAGTAGCAGTTGGGCGTTCGTTCGGGGCTGACGATCGTGTGGACGAGGAGGTCGCCGTCTGCAGTCACCAGGGAGGGCTGGTGGCGCCACACCATGCTATAGGCTCCGGTGTCATCGGTGTAGAACTGGACGCAGGAGGAAGCTGGCGGTGCGGCGAGCCGGAGGGAGACAAGGATGTCTCGGTCGTTGCTTGTCCTCGTGAAGACGGTGGTCATGGCGTAGTCATTGTTCCACTGGCCGATGGATCTTTCGAACAAAGCCCATGCTGCCGAGTGAATGGGCGGAGGGGCGGAGAGATCCCATGTAGGAGGGAGTGGGATGACGCCGGCACGGGCGCCGGCGATAGAGAACGCCATGTCTGCGTGATTTGACGACGATTTGCGGGGATTTAGGGATTAATAATTAATTATGTGCTTCATGTACCGTGTCTCTCGCGTCCGCACCCAGAGTCCCAGACCAGATCGAATCGCTGGCGTACGTTGCGGACTGAAGAAATGGGAAGCATTTACTCAACATCACTCTCAAAATGCACTTACTCAATATCACTCTCTTCAATTTCCATTCTCATTTGCTAAAAGGGGTCCACTTGTCAGCCTCATCTCTTACCCAGTCTCACATCTTATTCAATCAAATGAGAAAGATATGGGCCCAAGCGATAAATAAGAATGAAAATTTGGGAAAGTGTTATTTGGGCATATGCATTTTGGGAGGAGGATAACCAATAGTAAATTCTCCCGGCGAGGCCTGCCGATACACCTCCCACGGTTCTTCCGGTCTCTCTACCTCGCTGCCTCACCGTGGCACATGCCTACAGCTAGCGGCGCCGCCACGCCATCGGCATCGCGTCGATCTCCCTGCCGGTTGGGTCTCTCTTGGACCCGCTGATTGATTGATTGGTTTGTCTTGGTCGTTGGCTGTGCGCCTGTGCAGGGATCAGTCTCTAGGACAGTAGGACTAGGCACCACGAGAAGGTCGTGGAGTTTTTATCCGGTGGTCTCCCTGCCACAGGCTCCGTTGTTCGATCGAGTTAAGAAGCTCAACAGGAAGTGCTCAAATGCAGCAAAAGCCTGTTTGTTGAATGTTGCGTATTCAATGCTCAATTGAATGTTGCGTGAGTGATGATGCCCTTGTGGGACATTACGCTTCCAGATGCTTGATCTCTTGTTTGTTGTGTGCGTTTTGGTTTCAGAAATCATCTCCTCTACCTGCCATATAATGTAAGATAAATTTAAGATATAGAGAAACATAACACTATTCATCTGAAATTTATTTTTTTTCTCAAAATAAAGTTGAGTTTAGATTTAGGATTTAATGGGAATATATTTCATACGCACCTATTTTTTATATTTTATTAAAAATTAAAATTTTAGAACCCATTTTTACATGTTTTCACTTATTTGATGATTCTCATTAGGTATTTCCCCACAGATAACAGAGCCAAATTTGTTGTGATGATCTTTAAAAAAAGGGGCAATTGTGTTCTTGCCCTTGCTTTGTAATCCAATTGTGATTTTGCCCATACTTTTTAGGGTTTGTGATTTTGTCCCTACTTTTTAAAAGTGAAGCAGCCGTTTGCCCCTGGTTTTGACGGTGGTTAGGTGGGGCCAGAATTTTTAGATAAGCAAAGGGAAAGCAAAATAAAAAAAATGATTTTGCAATTTGTGAATGACTGTTATACCCCCTGTGAGTAAATCACTAAGCAGTTGTGTGAATCAGATTGAAGCCGTGTATTCCCCATCTCCAGCACGGCCTAGCGAGTGGCGGTGGCGGCGCAACAGCAGGGTGGGCGCGGCAACGGCGACCACTGGCCGGCATGCAGGAGGTGCGGCGGCGACCGCGGGTCGACGCGGCTCAACCGCGGGCCAGCACGGCGGCGGCGACCGTTGGCCAGCACGCAGGAGGCGCGGCAACAGCCGTGGGTCCGCGCGGCTCTACCGCGGGCCAGCGCGACAGCGACAACCATTGGCCGGTGCGCAGGGAGGTGCGGCGGCAGCGCGAAGAA